ACAGCCTTACCGTGCCGTAATCAAAACCACCACGTTCTGTGATATTCCCTAACATCACCCCATACGAGATGGAATCACTTTACATCTTATTCTAGACGAAATAAACCAATTCTATAATTATTCGCTAGCTTGCTTTTAATACGACTGACTGTTACTTGGGTATCCTAGCTGCGGTAAGACACAAACGAGCGTTTCGAGTGTAACAGAGCAGCTTGGCGATAGTTTCAATCTCCGCCAAGACCGTTTCAACGAACCGAAGAAACCATGCCTTACGCCGATAACTTGTTTTCCATGGGCGATGAATCAGATGGCGACGACTACGCAGATCAATTATCGCCTTCGGACGGTTACTTCGCCTCATCATCCTCGTCCCATGCTGTTCCAAACGTACCAAACGTCTTAGTCCCCGACCCCACGCTCCGGCAGACATCCGAGTCTGGCGCTGAATCAAAAGCGAGAGAGGCAGAGGAAGAAAGGTCATCGCCAAATACTCGGAGAGTAGAAGACTATTATCCCAATTCCAACCATACTGCTGCAGGATCAGGCACTACCGAACAACAACTTAGTCAGTCGGGGCAGCAAGCTACTAGTTCAACCGCACCACGTCAACAGCAATCCAATTCCGCGTTTACGCATACGTACTCACCACCCTCGTCATCGTCGTACACCCCTCTCAGAACTTATCCGACACGAGGGCGGACTCCTTCCGTATATTCAGACGCTCCACCGGCGTATTCACCATCGCCAATCTCCCCCCTTTCGTCCACCAACCAACAACCCCAATCTAGAAGCTACAACACATTTACTCCGGCCATGGGTGTGCAGGAAATTATCGAGAACGAGCGGCTGCTAGCCAGAGGTCCCGAGAGCATCGGCCAACCAATTGACGAAGAACTTGGTAACACACCGCACTGGACTCGACGAGTCAGGAGACGGCTGCCTACGTGGCTCGGTTGGAGGACCCTGGTGCTTGGCCTGATCGTACTGGTTGTCTCGATCGGATTTCTAGCGAATTCTTTGCGCATTATAAAAGAAGATGATCATGTAAGCCGGACTATCTAACTTCACCTTTTTTTCTTGGCATCGGTCGAAACCTATCGCTAATATGGTCACGCAGAGGAAAACTATTGGGCCGCAGCCCGACCAAGGATCGCCGCCCGAGTCCGTAAAGGAACCTGTGGATGGACCCGGACCCGATGCGCCTGGGGTCGCCGGCCCTTTCCCGCCAACGTATTGCGATAATGCGGTGTATCGCTTCGAGGATCAGATCCTAGGCCTCGACTTTGATAGGAACCACAATATTACTTTCATAGAGGACCAGCACGCGCACTCTGGAAACACCCAGGTGCGCGTTGCCGGTCAAGTCAATGTACGAAGGCTTGATGCCGGAGGTAGCCCGCGCTTGGTACTGGAGATCGCCACCAACGACAAGGGTGTCCTACTCGACGTCTTCGTAGACGAACAAGCCCAGGCCTTGAAGGTGAGCGTGCCTAAGAAGTACGACGCCCTAAACCCGAACATCTGGCCTTGTGTCGAAATGCGAGCGACCATCTGGGTGCCCGAAAACGCCGAGATAGGAGTCTTGTCGCTGGGCTCGGTCCATCTTGATATGCTATTTTTGGACGATCTGTCTCTCCACGTGGCGGGTTATACTAGGGCATCGTCGATCGTAGGAGATATCACATCCGGTTCGGACCACCCTACCTCGTACAACAACACTGGCTTTATGCTGTCGGCTCCGGAGTACACTTTTATTCCCGCGAAAGATTCGTACGTGCTCGACTCTCGTATCATCGAGGTATCAACTACGTCGGGCAAGATCGAAGGCAACTGGCCTCTTTACGATATGCTAGGGTTGCACACGACCTCCGGTCACATCACAGTGTCGATCACACCCAAGGAAGAACTCGAAACGGACCCGAAGGCTGCTGTCCTGTCCCTGAGTTCGATATCGGGTACTGTCTACGCCACAGAGCCAGTGCACTTAAGAGAGCAAATCCCGCTTCGCGACTACCTCGTCGATATCAAGTCGACTTCTGGAGGTATCCATGGTGCCTTCGCATTTGGCGCCGGTATCGAACTCAAGAGTACTGCTAGCGACATCGCTCTCGATTTACTCCCCGTGATGAACGAGGACAGGGTGTCGCCGGATCAACCCGCTCAACTGGAGACAGCAACGACGAGCGGTACTACAGCCATCCGCGTGCTTGAGCCGGTTTGGTACGGAGACAGGGGACTGGTTAGCGGCAGGCCACTCAACTGCCTACAAGCGCTTCACAAGTCTACCAGCGGGGACATCGGACTGCGGTATCCTCAGGCATGGGAGGGATACTTACACGCTGAGACGACGAGTGGCAGGCTAAAGGTCAAGGGAAGGGATGTCAAGATCATCAGGTCTGTCGGAGGCTGGCCAGGATCTAAATTGGAAGCTCAGAAGGGCGCAGGTGGTCCCGGTTCGACCATCCAGGTCCACGCTCTTATGGGTAATATGGACACCGTTATTGGTAGAGGATAATAAGTGAATGAACGTATGGGTATAATGCGTCTAAGGAGAGGGAGTTGAATGGATTACGGATTGAGGTATTCTGTCTGGCTTTATGTGGGAGATGGGGATACCCTCGCATTCGTTAACTACCTTATGGTTGTGTTTGGAATAGGTAAACGGCGTTATGGTTTTCGAGCATTAGTAGGCTTGGTGCCTAGATAGGTTAGTATTTTTAACGGTAAATACGAATATAATATCTGTGATTGCTATGTAGTATATTATTGTTCTTTGCTTCACCTTCCGTATAATGTCTTGTTAGTCTACAAGGTTTAGGTAGTCTAGCTAGCAGAGAGCGCTTGCTAATATCTGTATAAAATAGTGTATAGTAGGAAACTTCTAGGCGTTCATGACTTGCATATACCTTCTTAAGCCAAGAGGCAAGCACAGTTGTGTAATATGTAAGGTACCTATTCAAATCACTCGTTGTTTCGTAGATGATAGCTACCTGTCTCCCTCATGCGTTCTGTTTTCCTAGCCATCGTAACTTTTACGTCCTATTCCTCTTATAGGAGAAGTCAGTATTCTATAAAGTACATTTCTTCTCAGTCACTCGTTAGATATAAAAGAAGGGAGGTTAGCATAACTCATATTGATATCCAATCCCAGCGATTTTATAATCACGCCACTCGCTTTTAATTGAACACAGCAAGATGTGCTAGGTACACAGAACCTGGATGTTTTGCCTAACCTGCGGAGAGTTTACGATGAGCAATGTTAGGTCCGAATTATGTCCCGCGCATAACTACTGTGAAGAATCAGAGCGCATCCTCAGCATATCGGAATCATACGAATGCTTCTGTTGCATTACAGGAGGGAATTTTCCACAGAACGACATAATTGAATTATTCAGAGACATGGTGCAATTCTTGCAGTGGGAATTCATGGACTATTCCACACTTTTGACGGAAGAAATCGACGAAGAAGAGAGGACCTACACTATCAGAACAAGAATGAATATGGTCAAGCCAACAACTTTGAGACTTCCTCGAGACGATACTCGGATAGAGGTCCTGACTCGTTTATTGGCCTGGATTCAAGACTTGATTTTGGATTTCAGAGGAGAAAGGGAAAGCCCCCAATCCGGAAGTCCGCAAAGCAGGCTCGCGAGTCCTAATACACCGGCAAGCCGAGCAGTCCTACCTCCACGGCGTCACAGCCGGCGTGGCATAAGGAATAGACTTCGTAGATTCCTAAGGCGCATCGCCGAAAACATTAGAGCCTGAACGTTCCGCGGCTGAAGACATTGCGGAAGACCGAGCGGACATCCAAGAACGCGAAGACACAAAGTACGGTCAACATAATTCTAGGGACTTACGTAGAAATAATACGGAGGCTCGCCGAAGGCGTCGCCATTTTGGTTCTTCGATGGCTAGAGGGTTAAGAGGATTCCTGGATCCCCGGAGGTGATAGAAGTGCCTAGAACTGGAATATCGATTGCAACCCTGGGTTAGGAGTTGGCGGTGGTAATATGCCATGGTATAGATAGGGGGCTAATAGGAGGTAAGGAGATTTGGAAGGGTGTCAAGGACAAACTGGTCGACTATGGAGTCGGTACCGTTGTTATATGGCGTTCATCAGTATATACTGGGATAGCGTGGTCGATGGTTCAGGGTATTGCTTTGAGGCACGTTCTAGTATATGGTTCAATCGTTGTATTGCATACCTTCACAGCGTCTAGGTAGGTAAGTAGTTGTATAGATCTTCTAGAGGGTCAAAAGGTATGATACGGAAACTTTGAAATGACTGTAGGTTCTGACATATCAAGACTCCCACCACACATATTTACAAGTAACGAACAAAGAATAAAAACATAGTTCTTACTGAGCAAATATCCCATAGGAATGAAAATGGAGGGGTTCGTGAGATAGGATGAGAGCAAACAGCAATGAAGGGCTCCAGAAGAATCCCATCATAACATCCAGACCACCTAGTTAGTCACTAGCAAAAACCTGAGGATTTACTGTTTATTATGGGATATAACCCCTACAGCGTGATACTAGGTAATGGGTTCAATTAATCTCGACCACAAGCAGCTTCACATTAGAGCAAACAACTCACGAACAGCCTCGCATGATATTCACTGCCTTGTCGCCGCAAGTAACTGTTTGTATAGCTTATCTGATCTAAAACATCTAGTATTAGAGCATCGAAGGAGTCAATGCCTTTGTAACACTACCATCAATAGCCTTCTATCTCACTTCTTTATATACGACGCTCCGCCTTTTCACTGCAGACTGCCGTAATACAAGAAAGCCTAGAATAGCCAACTCGCCCTCTAGACAATGTAGAAAAGTCTTTGTACTCTGCTTGGGGGACTTTACTTGTCCTATTCACTGTGCATTGCGCACAATAGGTACCATCTGGTTACAATGATGACGAAGTAGACGGCGCGACAAACTCGAGACTTGCCTAAAATTCGTGAGCTGTGCACACAAATCGCATCCAATTCACCTCGTCGCCTTCGCCATCCTGCCCACAGTACAATTTTCCATCGACATATAAATTGGCATCCATCGCCTTCGCCATTCTTCCCACAGCACGACTTTCCATCGACATATAAATTGGCATCCATCGCCTTATTTGAATTATTCGTTTCGCCGATGCCACCCAAACAGTTTACGCAACCAAACCCTCTCTACTCTCGACCGCGCAGTCGTCCACCGCATCGCCGACATATCGCAATATTTCCTGCAGTCAAGCGCCATACCACTACCGCAAGTCATTTCCTGCACTTCAGTTACACCTAGAGACCATGTGCAACGAGGTCTATCTCAAATTCCGGGGATGCGGCCACCGAGTATGGCAGAACACATTCGCCTGCGATATCGCCAGGAGAGGCGATCCCAAAAATGACATGGTTCTAGACAAGACCAAGTCCCTACCAGATAAACGACCCAAGCTGCCTCCTGGGATGCTGTGCGAACGCCGCAAGTGTGTGAGGCCAACGGATGCCCCATGCCCGTTGTGTGCTGAGGACAAATCCAACGGCAACGCACCAGGTAAGAGTGCTCGGGTCCTCGAGACCATACCAGAGCACGTGGACGGGGCATAAGGATAAAGACAAAAAACTTACACTGGGGATAGAACAAAGGCTCGCCAGCCCATCGCCCGATGAAAAAGCTGTCGAGAGAGTGCGCGACTCGCTGATGCTCCTGGAGCAATTCCGGAAGCCGGATTGAAGAATTCCACGCGTGCTCCAGATCCCGGGGTAGCCATTATTCGTTATTTTTGGGAAGGTATTAATGATAGACGGATCAAGCTTAGGCGACGACTATAGAGTAAGGGGGCGCATTTGCTGTTCTCTTGGCCAAACCTTGGCTTCCCTGTTGAAGCACCAACACACCGTAGGGAGCTCTACACAACGTCTGGAAATACATTATTACCTAATATCCAAGGAATATCGGTGTGAAATTGGGGTTTGCTGTGCAGATATTGACTAGCTCGAGGGCTTCGTCTTGATACAGACGTGTGTCCGTCTAGTAGTAGTTCACGATAAAGGGGGCCAGTAAATAAGTTACCTAGCTCGATAGCATGGCCATTGGTAATTCGTATTCTTGATAAATGGATAATTATATTCCTAATAGCTTGTAGACATAACCTTACAGTCTATAACTTGTCGTCCGTATGAGGTATGTACGATGTTGGAGCGTTACGTATGTAGTCCTGGTTCGCGGTTTGCGGTTTGCGCATCTCGCGCAATCCTACAAACCCAGGGGGTGATGCAATACATAGAGCAGAAAAGGTACCTAACCATAGCGGGAAGATGTGGGTACGAGGAATCAACTCTGAGAGGTCGAGATCTTAAACCGGCTCGATAAAACAGTGGGACTGGGAGTGGGGTTTCCGAATATGTAAGTCTAACTGCGCGTGCGCTTGCTGCGTGGTGTTCGCGTGGGACGGGGTCCCATGGCTGAGTTACAGCACAGTAGCGCCTGAATCTTGGGGAAGCACCAATGCTAAATACAGGATACTTTGGCGTACCTACATTCAATATGTGCGTCCCATGCTGCCATGTCCCCCCATGTATGTACATACGTACGTGCAATATCCAAACCAACATCTATCTTAAGCTATTTTCCCCAGCTTCCCCCCCCAATCCCCCCATAACCTTGGTACCTCTTGATGTCTGTTAATCAATGCCATTGCGCCCATCCGAGGTAGTATCCTGTCGAATATTCTATCGAATATTCCTTCGACAATACCTCCTCGCATGTCAATCTCTTCATCTTCCCACCTGCCATGGCCAAAAAGGCGCGTCAGAGGATAAGCTATGGTTCGTCATTTTCTATTAATTCCGTCTTCTCTCTTTAATTGACCTACCTTACAATTACATAGTATACCTCTTAGTCCCCTCTACCCGTTGATCTTTGCCCACCCCCGCATAGTTGAATCGCATAGTTGAATGGTCACCATCTTATTACCTATCCACTCCAACTTTATCGTCATGTCTTGCTATTCGCTTGAGTGAAGTGGACTAAAATAGGGAGACCCTTTTTTTGACTTTGACTTTGTCCTAACTACTATATTTGTATTTCAGTTCTTGAACTCGACCATTCGTCATCCGGCGGCCATAGACTCGGTGTAAACGGACTTGCAGTAGACCGAGACAACGCTATCCTGTAAGCTTCCGGCTGCTGTCATGCCATCACGTCCCGTCCCGTCCATTAACTTTATCGCATAGTTACTCCGGGGGTAGAGATGGAGTTATATGCGCCTGGGATTTGAATCTTGATCTAAACCGTTATTCAGATCGACGGCGAGGGCGTGCGCCTAGCCAAAATGGAAAACCCCAACCGACAACCAAATTCCGCGCATCGACCCAAGCTCACACCCACTGGGTCAATGACATCGTTCTCGCTTCCAACAATTCTGCCCTCGTTTCCGCATCTTCCGACCTGACTGTAAAAGTATGGCGACCCGAACTTGGGGATACCGAACCCCACACTATCGGCCAACATGCAGACTACGTTAAGTGTGTCGCAACACCGAGTTCCGCCGACTGGGTCGCATCCGGTGGCCTTGATAAAAAGATATATCTCTGGGATCTCAATGGCAAGGGGAAGTCTCTAGAGATCGACGTTAGAGGCGAAGATGTTAGCGAAAAGGCTTCTGTATATGCCATGTGCGTCAACCAGAACATTCTAGCTAGTGGAGGCCCAGAGTCAATAGTACGGCTATGGGACCCCAAGTCGGGGAAGAGGATCACCAAGCTGGTTGGCCACACCGACAACATCCGTGCCATATTAATGAACGAGGCCGGCGACACTGTTATGACCGCTAGCTCCGACCAGACCGTCAAAGTGTGGAGCGTCACCGCCGGCAGGTGCATGTATACGCTTACTATGCACAATGATAGCGTCTGGTCGTTATTTTCTGAAGACCCCGAGCTGGCTGTTTTCTACAGTAGCGACCGGTCTGGCCTTATCGTTAAGACAGACACCAGAGGGACCGTGGAGATGGACGAAGGCCTATCCGTGGCCGTAGCCCAGGAGCACGATGGAGTCAGCAAATTGGTGGCTTGTGAGGACTACATATGGTCGGCTACCTCAAGCTCTTCTATTAATAGGTGGACGAATGTTGATACCGGCACTGATGCCCTGCTCCCAGAGGCCTTCAGGCACTTGCGGGCTATTAACACAGTTTCGAGACCGAGAAAGTCATCTACGGCATCTATAGATGGACAAGGAAAACCCGAAATTCCGGCTAAAGCGGTTTTACGAATATCGAACACTGCAGCTTTCCCGCCGGAAATCGACGATTCTTCTGAACCTAATTTGACGACCAGCGCAGCGTCTAAAAAAGGCTCGGAGATTCTTGATGACACCGTTGTTCCTGTTATCGAGCCTATACATCACTTACCGGAAGAAACCATCGAAGGGCAAAATGGACTGGTGAAACATAAACTCCTTAACGACCGACGACGAGTATTGACTCTTGACACCGCCGGCGACGTATTACTGTGGGATCTGATCAAGGTAGACTCTCTACGCGTGGTATAGGGGTATAGCTAATCGGAAGCAGTGCGAAGTTATTCAGAGATTCGGAAAGAAACACCTCGAAGATGTTGAACCTGAAGTTAATACCTTGGAAGCTGTTGCTCCTTGGTGTTCAATCGAGACAAGTTCTGGCAACTTGACTGTTATATTGGAGCCTTTTAATTGCTTTGATGCTGAGATGTATGCCGATGAGCTTGTTTTGACAGAGCCCGTCGAATTTCGAGAAGATCAGAGAAGTATGATTTACGCGAATTCCATTATAAGGAAAACACTAACTTTCTTGAAGTAAACCTTGGGAGATGGATTCTTCGATACTTATTCGCGAAGCTAATCGACGAGGAAATCAAGCGAGATGAGATCCATAGACTGAAACTCAATGAAGGCGTGGAGAAACGCCAGGCAGCTTCTCGACAAAACCCGCCGCCGATATCAATAACTATACCTACCTCAAACATGCAAGGGTGGCAACCCGGCGACTCTCCAGGAACAACCCCAAGAGCGAATGGAACCAGTCACCCTTTGAGCCCTGGATTGGCAATTGGTGTAGCCACTCCCGCTCCTAACTTGGCAGCAGGGGGTTCCGAGAATACAGCTGCACCTGTCAGTCCTCTTGAAAAGCCATCTCAGCAGGTAAACCGATCGTCTAATGAAGACTACTTTTCTGGCGGCATCAGCTCAGCAGACGCCCCTGCAAAAGCGGCGACGCCCCCAGGAGCGACGGAGCAGGCACCTACTAAAGAAGAAACACCGAAGTCTCCGGTAGAGACCAAAGATAAAGATAAGGAGAAGGATGTTAAATCTCCCATTACGCCTTTCGGCAAGAAATTCCGAATGGGCATGTCTTTCGGGAGTAAGAAGCTGGGAAGATCAGCATCTAGTAACATTGAAAAACCTACCGTTACGGAAGACAAGACGGAAGAGAATAAGTCGGAATCATCTTCAAACCACGAAAAGGAGATTGACGACAATTTTCGCGGTGTTGTCCAAAAGATCCACAACGATTATGAGAAGCAACTGTTGGAGACCCCGAATAACCTAATCGAGACCAAGATAACACCAGCTCTCCCCATTGATGCGCCAGTATTGAAGCTTCCACCTGGTACAAAGGTTATCATCCAAGAAGAGACGTCAGGCGGTAGTGCCAATTTGTATAGGGGTACGGTGATGAGTGTCGGTGTTGACGCAGATATCATCGAAGAGAAAGCTCCTATGTGGCTAGGCGAAGTCTTACTTACAGTACGTCCTCTTTCCCTTATTGTTATAGAATCCCAACTGACCTAGGCAGAACACGATTCCGCAGAAAGATCCGGTTAAGGTCTCGTTCGTACTGCACCCTTGGAAGGATTCGTTACCCAGCATTGCGACCGCGGATGGAAACAACCGTCTCAATGCGAATAGAATGTTAAGGGTAAAGAAAATTCTGGCTTATGTCGCTGAGAGGATTGACCCGCAGCCCGACGAGCTCGAGCCCGGCGCTCTCAAACCTGAGGAATACTTGGAACTGTATTGCAACGATCAGGTACGTGCCAACATATATACTCAAGTATAAAGTGAAGATGCTGACCCCAAATAGCTCTTGCCGAACACTATGAGCCTTGCAACACTGCGAGCTCACATTTGGAAGGGAGGCAACGACGTAGTCTTGTATTATAAAGCGAATGGCCGTAAGGAGATTCCGAAAGAGCTCCCACAACCGACACTTGATGACCCCGCGGTATCAGATCCCGGAGGGCAGCAGACAATACCACCTATAGCTACTGTAAGTTGATTGACTCGGAATGCGACAGAAGGGAGGGTATCATCCATTGTGTCTATATCCGGCAAATCTAAAAACGGGGTATTCTCTATCGTCTGTTGTACATACTCTCTCCCGCACCGCCGTCTTGGAACGCGGCTACTAGTATATACCCCTACGAGTTATATACAGCGAGGACTGTCCTGTTCAGCCTCGATCTCCCGCATTTGTTCGTCTAATTGCGGTCGTCACGTGGGTGTCATGACTGTCATAAGATGTTTCCCTGTAAGGCATTTACAGCCCATTGGTAACTCCCGAGGAATATGGCGCCGCCGGCACTAATCCACATAACCCGAGGCCCTATGCCAGCGAAGAAAGGTCGTATCCCATGAGTAGATAGTAATTCCTTCAGCACGACGAGTACGCTCTCGCGCTCCTTAGATAGCATAACCCGAGTCTTAAGAACATCAAGCGGCGTCGTGACGCCCGCCGCCACAGCGCCAGACACACTGCCGTACAGCGCGCTCTCACCCGCGCTCACCTCCACGTTTCCACCGCCTAGACCCTTCCGTCGTCGGCCCCAGCCCTTCAGCGCCTCCCATAGCGGGAATTGGATCACGGTAAACGGCACCTCGCGCATCACTGTGATACCCCACCCTCGATATAGTTCCCGCCACACCCCCGTTAACCCTATGTCCCGGCGCTGCGATAATATCGCGCCCAAGGCCGCGGCGCTCGAGCCCCCGTGCAAACCCGCTTGCGCGCGCTGCTTCACCACCTCCGTGGGCACGCGAACCGCGCAGGCCGCAACTTCGCCCAGACTCGCAGCGAGCATGTGCTCGAGAGGCGCTTGCCAAGTCTTGCCCGCGCCCGCGCCGGTTCCCAACTCCCCATGTATACTCCGCCTCTTCGCAAGCACGCCCTTGACGCCCTCGTACGTGCAGAAGAAAAACGCGGCGCCGGGCGCGCTGCCGACGACGGCGCTCCCGACGCCCCGGTATATGCCGCGGAAGCCGCCGGAGGGGAAGAAGCCGTCGCGGGACTGGAGGCGGGTTTTCAGGGTGTCGAGGGGGAAGAGGGATAGGTCGACTGTGGTGCCGGCTATGCCGCCGGCGAGGAGGGCCGTGGCGAAGGGGGGTTGGGGCGACGACATTGGGGAGTTGTTTGGTGGTGTGTGTGTGTGTGCGTGTGTGTAGCGAGTTGGAAGAGTGAGAAGGGGGAGTTAAGGTAAGGTAAGGTAGGTAGGGATGTATGGAAATATCAGGGCCGAAGCCGGCAGAGAGCTAGGTTAGCTAGATGTAAGTCGGAAGGTGGGATATCGAGCAAAACTTATCGGTGCATGTATGTACCTAGAGACTATCGATAAAGCTATCGATAGATAGTGGATAGTGGACATATCTATACAGATATTATGCAGTAGCTCCCGAGTTATGTAAAAGTTTCGTCAATTTATGCGTTTAACTACATCTTTTTTCTTCTTCTTTTTATTAGGTTTCTAACCTACCAACCTCATCATCGTAGCTGAGAAGGGAAATATATCAGGATAGAATGGAATGGGCACGCTCCACCATGTTCTACATACAAGTGCGAGGGCGATTAGCGTCCCCGAGTTCATGGACGCCGTGCGCGCCACTTGTACCCCTCGGTTCCCTTATGCTAGAGGGACGAGCCATAGGCGAGTTGGTGAGTTCTACAATTATATACTCTAAAGGCTACTACTAGCAATTCTAATAAACTTAATAGCCGTAGCTGTGAGCGGAGGCGTCGATTCTATGGCCCTGGCCTTTCTTTGCTCTCAAGTGCGCAAGATAGACCCTGACTTCAAGATCTCTGATAATCCTGTATCTGGATTTCGGGGCATCGTTGTCGACCATGGCCTCCGCCAGGGGTCTAGGGAAGAGGGATTCGCCGTCGCTAAGGTTCTCAAGGACATGGGCTTGGTTGATGAATTGGTTGCTATCAATTGGCTCAAGGTACTTGGCGATTCTAAGCATCCAAAGGACTTGCCCAACTTCGAGAGCGTCGCGCGCACTCAGCGGTACAGGAAGATCGCAGCTGTATGCGCCTTTCGAAACATCGCTAGTCTTCTTCTAGCGCACCACGAAGATGACCAGTATGAGACAGTCCTCATGCGCCTGTTGCAGGGACACGGCATTCGTGGCCTACGCGGTATGAGGCCAGCACACGACATTCCTGAGTGTCATGGCCTTTTCGGTGCTAATAAGAGTGGTTTTGTGGATGATCAAGCTCGCATCTTTCCTTTCTACAATATGAATCCCACCAGGAGAGAGCGGAAGCATATGCGGCGGGAGTTTAGGAATGTCATTAGTAACCTCATGGCTGAGGGGGAAACGGATGACTGGACCTCGACAAACGTCGACGACGTGAAGGAATTCTATCAGACGAAAGACATTCCAGAATTCGCACCTGAAGACCTCGCCGTCGAGGATGGTGGAGTTGTCGTCTATCGACCCCTGCTAGGATTTAGCAAGGACCGTCTGATCGCAACTTGTTTAGAGAACAAGGTTCCTTGGTGGGAAGACGCCACCAATACGGATCCCACACTTACGATGAGGAATGCTGTTAGGCACCTATATAAAGGTTACACGCTTCCTAAGGCTTTGCAAAAACCAGCTATTCTTGATCTCGCGAAGAGGTGTGAGCGGAGAGTCCAGGCTCAAGAGGCTGAGGCGAATAGACTGCTGAGACAGACCATTATTCACGATCTTGAGCTGCTTTCCGGAACTGCGACGGTCCAGTTTCCGAAAGTAGAGGTTCGTAGAGCGAGGAGTAATTCCCACTCATACTTACGACACCGAGCACAGTTGCTGAGGAAAAGGCAGATTACCGCTATCCTTATGCGTAAGATTCTCTTGCTGGTCAGCCCGGAATCGCAGCCACCGCTCCTATCGACCCTTGAAAATCACGTTACGCGCCTCTTCCCGTCTCTTGCTCTCCCCGAAGAGCTACCCATAGCTACACCTCCAAAAGCATTCAGCATTGCCGGCGTTTATCTTATGCCGGTCGAGTCTAGCCCTAGCGGTATGACCTCCGCGGGGGCATCAAACCAACAATTAAGCTGGTATCTTTCGCGCATGCCATACCCATCGACCCAACCGCTTCCAAGCTTCCGCACGCCGTACTGGGCTCCTAATCGCAATAGAAAGGGGCGATGGCTGATGTGTCACTGGCTGGACTGGACGCTATGGGACGGCCGGTATTGGTTCCATATCAAGCACCGATTCCCCTATCGCGTGCTCATCTTGCCATTCTTAAAAGAACACGCTAAAGCCTTCCGAGAGCAGCTCCCGCCCGAAGACCAGAAGCGGCTAGCTACACTCCTCAAGCGCTATGCCCCGGGTAAAGTCAGATACACCATCCCGGCTTTCTACCTCGAAGAGCCTCTCGACCTCCTCGACATGGAGAACACCAACCCGCGGCCCGGGTACCCGATACCCCTATGGAAGGTGGTAAGCACAGATAGTAATAGCGGAGATAATAGCAGCGAGGGCGAGAGCGAGAACAACGAAAAGCAAGTGCCACGTTCTATGCATCCTGCGATCCTAGATACTTCGAAGATACAGCTGCTTGCTCTGCCCACGCTGGGGATCCAGCTCCCAGCGCTCGACAACTGGATGTCGTACGAGACGCGGTATAGGAAGATAGATCGCGAGACACTGCGGACGGCGGGGACGTTTCACAGGGGCTCGTTCGCGGCGCCGCGGGCGAGCTCTTTACGCCCGTCGTCGAAGAAGGGGTCAAAAGTAAATACGCGTAGATATTTGAAAAAACGGCGGAATAGGGGTAGGTAGAAGCTGAATTCGGCTTAACCCCGTCGTAGATGATATATAGATATATAAATATTATATATATGAACCATACACGTAATCTAGGTACCTATCATTTCGATTTTCGTTGTCTCTTCGCATGCCGAATTTTATGTAGGTCTACGAAGTATTCCCTAATCAATACCTCACCTCACCTTGTATAGAATAAACTTGATTAAACCACGATCCACGAGATGGACACACCGCACTCCCATTATATTCGCCAAAACACAACCACTTTAAGAAACATTATGACTTAATTAATTATTATGCCTTATGAAAACAATCGATCGATTTGGTATCATGCAATACGCAACTAGCTACCTAAGCCTCTAAACAGCGAGACGTACAAGGTAGGTATCCTTCTACCTTTCTGTACCTAAGTCATATAGTACACTGCAATAGCAACAAAGCGAATTCCACGCCTTCCCTAAACGCCTGTCTATATTGATGCGGTTCTCCTTGGTAATCCACCTACGTCATCGCAGTTGGGAGTCCATAGATAGACAGGCAAACAGGCAGGCAAGACAGCCTTTAGACATGTAACTCAAAAATCGAATTACACCCGAATGGTCTCATCTCATCCCATCTGTGCATCCGTGTTCCGCCTGTTTCGCCCATACTAGAACTCTTTCTTTCGCCTAACACACGCCATTAATTGGGTTACCTCAGAAGACATACCCTTCCTCTCTCTTCCTATCTTCGGTTCCGTCATTCTACTAAAACGCCGCACCTCCAACCCCCTCGCCCGCAAACTTCTTCACGCTGTTCTCACTGAGCTCTATTCTCAATTCCAAGACCTTGGCCTCCCTTTCAAACTTATCCCATAACGCCAGGCTCTTTCTCAATTTCTCTTCCTTAACATACTTCTCCGCACGCAGCTTCTCTTCTTCCTCTTTCAGCTGTAGCGTGTGGGCCTGGAGCTCGGACATCACACCTGTTGTCATGGCGAGATAATGAGGGTCCATTTTACCTCCGGGAACGATAGGTGGCAGAGTCGCAAGAAGTTGCTGCGCTAGGGTAGGACGAGTACTCTCGGCAGCTGGGCCTTTGGGTGGGTTGAAGGGTTTGGCTTGGTTGACGGGGGTCGTGGGGAGAGATTGCGAAGAAGGGCCTGCTCGCGGACCGGTGGGGATGGTATTAGAGATTGTTGTTGCTGAGGCGGGGATGGGACCTGCGGCCGGTGGTAGATTACGGCTTTGAATCGTACTACCCCAGCTGGGTCCTCCTCGGCCGCCTCGACTATAGCCGCCTCCTCGTGAGGGAACGTAACCTCTAGGACCTGCCGGCGGAGCGCTAGGGCTGATATCGGGTCGACTTGCTACTGCGGGCGCGGCTGGAACTGGTCTGAGGGGCGGGCCTATCGCCCCGGCAGACTGGCTCCCGTAAGCGCGAGTATCTCTGGGGCCGGTGGGAGGAGCTCGGAGAGCGGCAGGGCCACGCGGAGGGGATCTAGGCGGAGCACTGGATTCTTTCGGAGTCCCCTGAGGACTTCGATCTCTAAGTGGTACGTTATGAGAAGATCTAGACAAAGGTCTAGAGGGTATGGGAGACTGCGGATATGATCGATCGTCGCGACGTGGTGGGAGAGGGTGGGGCGAAGATCTACGGGATGTGTCCCGAGACGGAATTGCTGAAGAGATTGCAGAGTCGCGCGGCGGGGAAGGACGTCTGCTATGCGAAGGGCCGTAGCGATCGTCTCGTCGATCCGGACTGCGGGTGCGGGCTCTGTAGGTACTAGCCCTCGGGATGGGCGGGGGTGAACGTCGGAGAGGCGATCTATCTCGGATGCGGTCTCTATCGAAGGGAGATCTCGATCTCCGTCTGTATGGAAGACTTGTTAGGGGTATAAGATTAGGATTGTTAATCTGGGGTGGTGGTTGGAACCTTGCGTCATAGCCCCTTCGCGGAGATCGCAAACGATCTCTATCATCCCGTCTTGGTGAGAACCTGCGCGGCGGTGGACTCCTTCGAGGCGGACTGCGTCGTGGAGGAGACCGTCGTGGAGGGCTTCGGCGAAGACTACGGCTCCTATCGCGTCGTCTCCAGCTGTCGCCCATATCTCTAGTATCTCTAGTATCTCGTCGGTCTCTGGAAAGGTCTCGGCGATAGCGATCAGCGCTTCGTGAGCGACGTCGTGGGGATCGACCGGGCACATAACGATCGCTATCTAGAAATGATGGGCTACGGCCTCTTGGAGGGCTTCTAGCCCGGCGTGGAGACCGGTTGGAATTAAACGGGCGGTACGATTCACCAGCGCCATATCTAGTGACTTCCCCGTCATCGTACCTATCAAGATAATGTTAGCATTATGTTGGGTTGTGGTACCCAAGCAATTAAGCTGTAATAACGATAGAATTCGAATGAAAATTACTCTTACCTTCTACTTCGTGAATCGCGATCCATCGCCCGAGGAGCGAACGCGCCGTAGTCGCGTGGGTCAGACCGTGGTGCGAATAAGATATCTCCTCGAGCTCGAGCAGAACCGATAGACGGAAGGGCTCCAACTACTTCCGGAAGATTATTTGTATGCGATGTATTTTGCGGATGATTCCTAGTTTTGGATTCTTGGTTTGAACCTTGTTGGGAGCCCTGGGCGGTGGTTTGAGGATTAGGCGGGAGGATAGATAGTGCCAGGTGCCAATTGTTCTGTACTAGATTTCTTCGGCGTATCGCAGGCCTTGCAGGGGCGTCTTGACGAAAACGTTGATTTCCATCCATGTTGACCAATAGTAACACGTTGATACCGGAGGTTTAATCTGCCTATCGCCGCCTGTACCCACCGGAAGCCTGGTAGCTTGAGGTACCTATTAAGGTACTAACTATTAGCAGACTAGGCAAGTACCTAAGGGGTAGCCTCAAAGGATCTAAGCTAACCCCTGGGTCAATTTAGTAAAATATAAACGGTGTTGGTGAAGGCCAAGAATTGAATGGATGAGATGCACGTAAAGAAGTTGCAAGTAACTAGATGTAATTATTTGGTGGTTTCGCGAGTGGGTTAAGTGGAAGCTTTCAAATAGGAAAGGAGAGAAAAAGAGAGAGCTACATACTTGAAAGAGAACTTTGCGAGTTTGGTAGCTGCGACCTAAGAGGTAGGTACCTAACCCAAGGCAAGTACGTTGTGGTATCGCTCACAACATATGCAACAACCAATATGCTACTGCAGTTCTCTTGCCGATGCCCAGCGGAACTAAGTACATAAGGTCTATATAGGTACCTCTTTCAAAACGCTAGTAGTAATAAGCCTAATCTCCTACGTAGAAAAATGAAAGCTACAGCCTACGGAATCGTTGCCTAGTCCGCAACTACCTCTAGTAAATACCTAAGCACTCCCTCTTCGAACCTTTGCACCCTCGCACTCTCTCCGGTTTGATATATACAACTACCAGGTAGGTAGCTACTATAGACAGCTACAAATATTCTCGACTTCTGAAATCTACTTCTCGTCTTCCGTGGTATTACCACTTCCGTCTTGACTACACCTCTCACCGATGAATTGATACACCTCTTTCGCGTGTGCCTCCATCATCCGGTTGAGCCCAACTTCCGGGCTCCTGTGTACCCCCCCGAAGCGTTTCTTCAGTACCTTCTTTGCCAAATCGTTGTCCTTCCAACAAGCATGGTCATTTGTGACATAGACTAGCGAGTTCTGTTTATACCAGCTCGACAGTTCTGTATCAGTTTCCGATTTCACTGGCCGTAGGTTACCCGTTACGAAATTAATCACTCCCGCGATTCGATTTTTGCAATCTGCAGTCCCGTCAGCACCAGAAGCTCTTCTGTAACGACCCTAGTCTCTATACGCACCTCTATTCGTCAGAAGGACCTTAACGCCTAGGTATGCATTGCCTACGCCTACAATGAATAGGTCTTCCACGTCGTAGAGCTGAAGATAGTTATCCCATATATAGCATACTAGTTCCTGAATCTGCCGTTGCAAAGTCTTCTCGTCTGCGCGGGGAGTATACGCGTCGATGTCCTCAGAATGAGTGATGTAATGAGGAATATTGGCGTCCATAATACCAAAGTCATTCTTATGAGCCCAATCAATATAGGACATAACACCATCCAACTACCATATATTAGCGTTTGCTCTCACAATTTGAACAAAGCTCACTTACGATGAAGCCGTTATGAGGATCAACTGTGTTATCGATAATATCCGGCATCGCCTTCAACTCGGGACTAGATAGTTTATCAGTAGAGATAGCGAAAGGTTCGTGAGTGCTACTTACGGATCATGAATGAAGAATATAACTTTTTTCTTGGCTTGCAAGCACGGCGTGACAAGGACCTGGTTCTCGAACGACTTATAGAGGATTTCCCTCTGAATAAAGAGGGGGACCATAGCATACTTATCGGACAGTACCTGTCGCTGATAACCTCGAATAACGTCGTGTAAACGAGAAGTATTATCTCCCAATTCCCGGACTTCGATTATCCCAGGTCTCATGCATTCCCAGTACGGCGCTTGCACAGCTTGAACCTTTGCTAAGAGTCTTGCTGCATCCTTGTTGAGGGGCGGTACGCCCATCTTTGGTGGTGGTTCTCCCATGAGTGTCCGGGCGACGGCCAGAGCTGAATTAGAAATTGCCTTCAAATTATAGCCTCCTTCGAGACATACGGCTACCTTTCCGCCAGCGAGGGACATGAGCATGTGCGTCATATGTGCGTAGCATGGTGGTGTGACAAAACATCCACCCAACTCGTCACCATCGGCCGCATCAAAGCCAGCAGAGATGATTACCATGTCGGGGTCGAATTCGCGAGCAATGGGCATTACAATCTTTTGGAAAGCCGCGAGGTATTCGCCATCGCCCATACCTTGAGATGGCCAGCCGATGTTCACGTTTTTCCCTTTGCCTGGACCTTCGCCGACCTTGTCTATATCTCCGTCGGGTATCATATCGTTATCTGGTTTTCCCGGGTAAAAATTGCCATCTTCATAGACGTGGAGGGATATATATAGGACATTCGGGTCTTCGTAGAAAATATTCTGAACACCATTTCCGTGATGAACGTCCCAATCCAAGATAAGTATCTTGCGGCAAGTGTCTGGATACTCATCTTGACAGACTCTGGCGCCGATGGGGACGTTATTAAAGAGGCAAAAACCCATAGGTACATCACACTCGGCGTGATGACCCGGTGGTCGAATAATAGCGAATGCGTTCTTCACTTGTCCAGAAGCAACGTTCTTGCAAGTCTCTACACAACCTCCTGCTGCAAGTAGTGCTGCTTCATAAGACATACCACCTACGTATAGAGAGGCCCTCCCTTGGTCTAGCTTATGGCTCAATGATCGTAACTCTCTCGTCGACATCTGGGAGAGATTTTGAACCCAGTCATAGAGCCTTGGAGTATGTACCGTGCAGATTTCCTGCTTTGTGGCCGGACGAGCTGGAATCCTCCACATATATTTGGTCGGACATTCTCTCAGGATGTCAAGAAGATCAGAATCGGGACCCGTGAAAACGAGTCCAGCTTTCTTAAACATCTTCATGATCTCCTCGATTCTCCTCGGGTCTTCTGGATGGTGTGGTGAGGGCCCAAAATCGGCGTTTGCGTGGAGTTTCATTCTATCATCGTAACAGCATCCCGTGGGAAGCACACCTAATCGACGCATAGATTTTATTGTTTCGTCGGTTTCACTAAATGCTTCACTCTCGTCCATGTCCAAGTTAACGCCGTTCTCGATAGAAACGTCGCCGCCTTCCTGCCTTGTCACGGCGACGACGTGGGACTCGTCGAAGCCATTAGGCGCATCAGTCATAGACTGATCCTCACCATCCATATCGGCGTGAAGCCTAGCCGAGTCGAAGGCGCAGCCTTCCACCCGGCAAGTCTCAAGTAGTGTTCGCCAGACTAGAGAAAAAAACGCGACTGCTAGCTCAAGTCAACAGATTGTTGAGCTTTACCAACAGCACTGCCTAGCCGTGAGAACTCAGGACAGTACTATGGTAGTTAGCGTGAATAGGTCTAGGCCAGGCAAACGAGAGTTGGTCTAGATTCCTTGGATGGGTGGATGATTCACATGCCCATAATACGTTGTGAGGTTATTGCCAAAGACGATAAATGTTGACAGTGATCTGCGAATTTGTAAGCTAAGAATGTATACCTCGGTGTACGAAAACGTTGACAAGAAATAGTAGAGCCGAGATAAAGTGAGGAAATAGCAATATAATAGAACCAGCTAGATGCTCTTGATATAGGACTTATACGGTAAAGTATATGATTAAGATTTGATGATTTTAAAGGGAGCTTCGACGGATCCAAAGAATAGTTTCTTAATTCAGGTCTTCGTGTCCTTCTTGGGTATTAAATATTCTCACTACGCGAGAAACAGCTCTATTTTAAGGATAATACGGTAGATATAGAAAATATAGAGTGGAGTGACGGCGTACTTACACTGGACGAATGTTGCTTGCTTGCTTGCTTGCTTGGACAGCTCACGCACTACTTGACGGGAGTATGAGACGATGCACCTCAGCGTCTCCGCAACGATGGAAAGACTCCCGTAATGATGAAAAACACTCCGAGATGGTTAATTAAAAACTTGCCGACGAGTTCTAATGACCTATCGTATTGGTTTAGGTATGTTTGGTGTGGCTGGTAGGTGATACCATTAGATGTTATTGTGTTATTGATATGCTAATGGTAAGTAAACTTGCCTAGGTCAGTAATCTTTTTGGTAAGGTCCCAAAGTTGGGGCGCGGCGTATCGGATCCAGATAACGCCGTTTTTAACACAGACACCTGCAATTAGGTACTTCCGTAGGTGCTTACTTGCCTATATCAGGAATTCAATTTAGGTACACAAGATAAAGATACCTTTATTTACACATGCACTTTTCAGTAACTACGGCGACCAATTTTAGTATTTGACCTATAATTAAGTAGATATTAAGGCAGGATGAAAAGGAGACTTGGAATTACGGGGACACAATGTACAATAATATGTACCTAATTAGAACTCATTTAAAACGGCACAGCATCCAGGTGGCCAGACACTCATACCTGTAAACGTGCAAAGGGAAAATTAAATATGTGAGACTGATACGCATTCACCTCAAACTAGTTCCACTCCTCCTCCTCCTCCTCCTCCTCAAGATGCTATGATACCGGGCAACACAACTAATACATATGCAATATCCTAATCTCGTGCCCTGCGGCCGTTGATGGGCCTTTGCACCGCAAGGTGAATAGGAGGAAATCCATAGAAGGAAAGTAGTGATAGGAAAGAAAAAGAAAAAGAAAAGGGACTTGTAACTACAATATACAAGCCGTAAGAGGAGACGCCTCACATAATGTATATGTCACAATCCCCCATGGTTCTTCGTAGTGATTCAGAAGTAGCGGACTTGGGCAATATTGCAATTACTACCTTCCAGCTATCCCCCGGATCGGCTGAGCGGCAATTATCCTATCCCAAGCTACTCCGTGGTATAAGGAGAGTCCTGTCGTAGGACCCGGGAAGGGGTAAGAGCCATTTGCAATTCGACAATAGTCTTCTTGCATCGACGGCACCGACGGCGTTGATCCTGACCCTAGAATGGAAAAAACGTCTCTGTGCCATCGTCTCCTCGGGGGACAATCGATGGTGAATCGAATGGGAAACCGAGAACATGTGCTGGAAGCGGAGGTACCCGTCCATCCGGCCATGCATCGTCAAGCCATGAGGTATCGTGTAACTCGCTTGGTCGATCCTCGTCCACAATTCCAAATTGCGGCATGTCTGCCCAGGACTGCACACCCCTATAAATCTTGCGCTCCCCGAGAACTCTACTTAGTGAAATAGACAGGGTCTCGGAATCACGAGCAAAGTTCGGTTCTAGGTCGGATAGTGAACTGATGGTAACGGACTTCTTCCAGTTCGCGTAATGGCTAAGGTAATAACGAAGCTGCTCAGGATCAAGCTTCATATAAGTCTTAACAATTTTCGCGTGGCGGCGGCCTTCACCAGCTCCCCAGGGGACGAGCTCGACGCTATATCCTTGCTATATATTAGTTAGTAAGTATATTTCGGTAGGATCTAATCTAGGATGAAGACTTACCTTGCAGTGGCAAACTTTCTCGGGAGACGAGCAGAGGTCTTTGCTCACTGTCTCTCTTACCAAGCGCCAGAGATGCCAAAGCTCACTGATCTCAGACGTTGGCATGAGTCGAATATGGTGGAGTCGAGTATCAACAGTCCACGTGCTCGGATGTAAAACGCTGAATCGGGCAAAGGCGTTTCCGTGGTGATATTTCGCGTACAACCACCAGCGAGCAACAGCCTTTCTCACCCGGGCTATCTCGCTATCTCGTAGACAGCGACGATCGTCTGAATTGTCCCTCCAATGAAGTCTGGGGTATTTCTCAACCCACCAGTCGATCACCTTCGCCATGTTCCAGATTTGCTCGACTTGCTGGGTCGTGAGTGTATACTTCGGGACCTTAAAGTCCCGTCGATTCGGAAACTCTCGAGAGGCGTCGCCGAGTTCCATGAGATTTACGGTATAGTTTTCGCGGGCATACTCGATTATACGGGGACAGAGCGTAGGCTCGTTCTTGAATTCGCCTTTGTGAGCGGTGTAAACATACAGAAGGATGTTGATCTCAGGCAGACGTTTGAGGACAGTAATCAAGATGGATTCCTTGTTTTTATTGAACACTTTAAATAAGTGCTGGCTCGAAAGAGCAAAGTTTGAGGCATCCAAGGGAGATAGTAGCTCTATGATCTCGAGTATCAATTCATTAGGTATGCTATACAGCAGGGGTTTGCCGGAGGGCTGAAGGATATCGCCGGTGGATGGCATGTTGAAGTATGGATTTATTCCCAGATTTGAGTTTGAATACGCGAGGGGAATCGATGGTCAACTCCAGCGGATGATGGATTAGGCTTCTGATTGTACTGTAACCGAATGAAAGCAACCTCCTTGGACACTTATAGATGCGATCGAAGTGCAACTTTTCCAATGCGGAACCAGGATAGACTAAGAAAGTATAACAGTTTTGCTGATCTATAGTGAAATCCGCACAAAATTCACCAAGAGAGGACTGAGGTTTCTTAAGTAATAAGGGGCCAGCAATGTGCAATAGGTATCAAATCGAAGAGGCTATGGTTCGTTAATACCAGTTCCGAGAATGACCCAGATGCCTTAGGGTGCAGCCAGAGTTGATTTTTGACGACTGTAAAATCTCCTGAGAGATCTCTGTGTACTCGAACTGAACAGGCCAAACGTTCAAAATGCCTCCAAGCTCTAGATGATGCCACTGTAATGAGTGGGAGAGTAGAAAAACAATACTGAAGTAGTAGAATGGTTGGTGTGGAGGCGAGTGTAAAATTAATAGGGAGGAATAAATAAAAGAAGTGGCAGTAAGTAAAGCATTAAACCTGGGAAAGTAGCAGCAGGAGATTCTGTAATAGAATTATTCTGCAAACACTCCCTGGCGATGACAAGTTTCCAGGACGATTGGCAGGCCTGACAGTTGAAAGTATACAGATAGCTTCAGAGGTAGTCAAGGCGATTACTGTCAACTAGGTACCTAGATACAGATTGACATGGACGGGGCCCTTTGCTAGAACGAGCTGTAAGAATACTGGGCAATCTCCACGAGCTAGGAATCAGTTAGTGCCAATACGTGATTCCAAAGTGATTAAGACTTACTCTAACTGAGCTGTCTAATGCTTCCCTCCCCTTAAAGGCGTTTGTCTCACTGGTGGAAAGGAATTCACGCCTAATGTCCTCCCGAGACGTAATCTCCTAACAATATTCCTTTCTCTTCTCACACCTCGGGGTTGAGATTATTTGAATCCTTAGCCAACCTGATACCAGGGCCTCGACAGATCTCTCTCTGTCTGACAGCACCTAGCACCCTTTGGTCAACACAGGAGCAGAGAGTTATTCAACTCAATCCGCGACAACCCCTCCCTTGGGGCTATACTGAATGAGAATAATGGGCAGCTGAACCTCATGCCGCTGAATTGGGTACGCCATAAAGGCGGACTCATAGCGTGGCAGTTCCATATTGTTGCTTGATCGAAAAGGAAGAAGTGAATTAATTACGCGAGGTCAACACGACTTCATATATGTACCTGCCCGATGTATCCCCCCCTGTCTCAACTTCCCGTATTGGAGAGCTTGGACGTTGGTTTCGGGCCGAGGTTTTGCCTAGCGCTAACTGTATTTAATCCTCCTTTACTACATAATGTAGGTAGGTACATACCTAATTGTACTCCAATGGTCCGAGCGTCTTATAGCATAATAAAGTGCACTGGGATCTAAACAAGTATCTTATGAGTACCTAGACATCTTGAACTACCTACAAGAGCTTAGAATATAATATATTTACAAGTTTAAAACATTTAAAGGTAAGCAGTATTAATTATAACCGCCATTGCTTTCGGCTAGTAACGCAATGAAAGATGATAGAAGTTACAAATGTAGCTTACCTTAACTTATGCTGGAAATGAAAACTAATAAGTATGAATTTTAGCAATAATATCACAAAATACCTACCTAAAGTAAGGTACGGAGAGGAATGAATAAACAGGCATTGCATAGGTTCGATCATAATATATGATACTGTATACTGTAGTATCTGGTTATAAAATCTTCAAGTCATTGCTACCTATATCAGATTAATAGGCGTATGGTGGACTACTAGACATTCACTTTACCACAGCAGAAGCCAGTTATTGTAGGGTATTAGTTCAGCTCAAAATTAGCATCTGTGCTAGAGAATATCTGAAGATACCTGGGTGTCGCATAGGGAACGCCAGAACGCCATTAACAAGTTAGGTACAACATCTAAGCGAACAGTTCCTTCGCATCCAGCGGATCCACCGGAGCCTGCTTGCCATTCGTCCGCAGTCCCAAATCCCCCTTCTTCGCGAGCCTGTCCACGTGCTGCTCCGTGCGAGCGTTATGCTTCGTAGCCTGCCTCCTCCGCAGGTCGGCTCGGACCTGGTTCGGCGAGACGAACTCCTTGTTCTCGTAGATGATCGGCCCACCAAAGGAGCCTTCCTGGATGACGATAGGGGTGAGCACGAATCGCGGGCCAATTTCCACCATGCTGACGTCGAGCTCCTTGTTGCGGCCTTTAGTAGCCTTAGAGTCTACCTCCGTCTCCCCGTCCTGCACCTTCGGCGCCTCTGACTCCTTTATTTCGTAATTGCGCACCCATATCTTCCCATCTGCAAATGTGAACCCCATAACGCGATCTATGAAGGGCTTGGATTTCCTCGCGCCTTGTGGTACGCCGAATGTGTGGAGGAAAAGCTCCTTGATGACTTGTAGGTAAGGTTCCTTATCGAAGGCGGCGTCGAAGGATAGAATCGGTCTCGAGCCCTTCAAGCAGTTACCCGTAAAGTGTAGCTCTATAAGAAAGAGAGTTAACAATGAAACATCCCCACCGAGGAGAGGGTCGAAGAAGATATAAACAGAGTCTACCAACCTTCCATTGTATGTAAGTTCTGGAGGTGCATCTTGACCGTAGGGCCATTGGGAACCTTGCTCAACCACACGTACAAATCCTTGCCCTTGCGCGCCTCGAAGAAAAGCACATTGTTGCAGTTGTATAGTTCCGCAAGCTCGTTGAGTTGGTAAAGCTTCGACTTCGTGTCTAGTTTTGCGTCCTTTCGGCCATGAGGCAGCATAGACGCAAGGTCATTAAGTAAATGTCGATGCCTATGAATAAAAGCTGTTAGATATTTCTCTGCGCAAGCGGTCACGAGCCTGCAGATTGCGAAAATACCTGTATGTGACACCTCTGGAAGATAATATTAAAACTCTTTGCTTATTCTTTCGGACTCCATTGGCAGGCGCTTCGGCCTTCTGGCTACTGGTCCCCTTGGACAACGACTTATATACGGCTGCCATTGCTCGTCAAAATTCGCGATGCTTAAAATGGTCACTGGATCATGTCTTCAATTCAATTCGCCATCAGAACGGGAACTTTTTTTTCTGCTGGGCTTATCGATAGATGATAGCGGGGCCGGAACTAAAACGAACCATTCGCGCGTGCGCGTGGCTTTCAGTGTTGTACCTATGATGATGTACCTTATCTACGTAACTTGGCCGACTGCCCGATTACATGTACGAAATACGAAATCTATGCTGGTAACCGTATCCATTCACGATCGCCAAGCTGCCAACCAGGATTATTTAAAAAGTCTAATATTAGACATGATGTATCCCTTTGAGGGAATAGAAAGACATAGACAGCTTAGGTACTTACGGCTTTTCTTCCGGGGCATGTGATCCTCGATCCAACCCATCGGTAAGACGAAGAAGCCACGTTGATTCATAAGACTAGGACCGGACATTAGTTAGAAATACGCATAGCAACGAGGCAGTCTTATATTATCAGGGGCAAGAGAAAGATAGCATTTAGTAACTACGTTTAGTAACTACGTCGGGTGTGGTAGATTAGACTTTGTCCGTGACCCCCTAGTTGTCAAAATCTTAGGCTACGGCCACGAACGTCAATAAAAGCAGGAAAACAAAACAAGAGAGCCATGTCCTGTGTAAGGTCAATATCCCGAACCCCCTGACGCATCACCCTATCGTAAGCGTATTCGTTCCGGGCCATACGTGACGCCATATACGCAATGTCATATCAACCGTATAACCGTCGTATCATCTCGTCGCGAGTATTGAACTAACAGCACTTCCCGCCCTGTTTCGCGGCATCGTCGGGGGACTTGCTCAACGAAATGTTGGTGCCTGCCATCGGGGCTTGGGCACCCTCGCCGCTATCCAACGCCTTGCTCGAAACGATGCGGTAGATTTCTAAAAGTAAAACATCTTATTAGTATGTGCTTGCCTTAACTAGGGCTTGCCGTAAGTCAAATGTGGAAAAGGGGATGCTTACCAGTAAGGATGTTCTGGAAGGCAAGCTCAACATTGCTGGCATCGAGAGCAGAAGTTTCTATGAAAGAGAGGTGGTTCTCGCCTAGAGGTCCCAAGTTAGCAATTTAGGCATCTTCAATAAATAAATTGGATTACGGATATGGACATACTAGCGAACGCCTTAGCCTCCTCCGTAGGTACTGCTCGGAGGTGCCGCAAATCGCTCTTGTTACCGACCAGCATGATGACAATGTTGGCATCGGCGTGGTCTCGGAGCTCCTTCAACCATCTTGTGACATTCTCGTAGGTCTGATGCTTGCTGATGTCGTAGACAAGGAGCGCACCAACTGCACCTCGGTAGTAGGCAGAGGTAATAGCGCGGTATCGTTCCTGGCCCGCAGTATCCCAGATCTGCGCCTTGATTGTCTTAGAATCGACTTGGATGGATCGAGTCGCGAATTCCACGCCAATCGTTGACTTGGAGTCTAGATTGAACTCGTTACGGGTGAATCGACTAAGTAGGTTGGACTTTCCGACGCCGGAGTCTCCAATCAACACCACTATAATTCCATCTTGTTAGTAATTATTGCTTCACGAGCTCGAGTAGTTGGCAGGGGGGCAGGGGGTTCGCACCTTTGAAGAGGAACTGTAGTAAGTGTTAATTAGCTAGATATTCTAAAGACAAGTCTAATGATTCAATATAGAGGGTAACAATAAGCAAGACTCACATCATATTCGTCGTTGGCCATGTTGGGCGATAAACTTGCGGTCGAGGTAAAGTACTGTCAAAGAGAACAGGAGAGACCGTAGCGGCGGTGATAGATAAAAAGGAGCTAGACCGTGGGGCCTATATGCGACGCAACTATAACAAAAGGTCGAGGTTGGCGCTATGTCCAGAATTTAGAATCGAATGTTGTTAAAATCTCTACGGACACTTCCCAAATCTCGTCCGTTGTCACGGTTTCGGTTGGTTGTCTGGAAAGGTTTTAGATTTGTCTTGTAGATGCAGACAATCGAATATACCTGAGTGGTGGAGTTGTGAATGGGAGAGAATTAGGTACAATTGTTAAGGCAATCGTTAAGGCAGGCGGTCGGATTGCTGCTAAAACCGTCAAAGTGTAATAAACTTTCGGCCTACGGCCTAAGCAGGTACAATACCTTACTACCTTGGGTAAGGCAGGTGTTATCCAGCTGTTAGCAGGGCTCGAAAGTGCGCTAAGGAAGTATGCTAGGTTACAGTCGGTACCCAAAAGCCACCTACGGTCGGGGATTGTTGCACGGTGTCAGGAGTCAAAGCGGATCAGAATTGGTGCAGGTGGGGGGTGCTGGGGTGTATCACAATAGGAGGCGGTGCAAATAAGTTAAACTATTTGACACGTGACTAGATCTACTCCACTCGAGTACCTTTTATCTTGTCTTGGTGGATTTGTATAATTTCATGCGTCTCTCCCAAGATATATACAAAATTTCATTCAATGGGCACCGCGCTAAACAACAAGCCTCGCCTTACATACATAGTAAACGTAGTCTTTGTTGAACTAAACTATTACGATCTCATAGTTACGATACTAGAGATAAAGGGGAGTCAAGAGTCAATGAACTACCAGCAGATCAGAAACCCAGCGGGCACAACAAGGCAATACGTTCATGAGATCTACAAACTTCAAAGTCATCGGTTTTCAGTCTCCTAATATTAATTTAACAAGTTCAAACAAGTATTCAAAACAGAAAGTCCTTGCTAATAGAAAGTTATATAAGTGCCTCTCATAAAGAATACAGTAGATGAACATGCTTACCCCTATAATCATATCTCATCACCACCTCTCAAGAGAATGTGTATGAAACGCCGCGACCTTCTACCTTAACTTCCCTCTTACCCACATCTCACCCACATCTTCGCCCTAGACCCTTAGCCCCTTAACTCTAGCATTCCACAACTAATCACTCAACTTAATCCATCCCGAGAACAGCTCGGAACCGAGGTCGGCCACTCATCATTGCATCTAGGAAAGTTAGCATGATGCTGCAATATTATTATACGGAGAGAACATGTGCATACCCTAGGCTTCCTGAGCCTAGTCCATTGAGAACGTCTCAACAGTGCGCCATACATTATAGCGACAAGCAAGCTCAATTCGATAGTCTTCTCTGAGTCGAGGTTAACCCAAACAGGCCACGCCTGTAACCGGGCTGGCCGAGATTTCGCGCTGGACCATACCGATATGACTGAGCGTCATGTCCCCGGGAATACCAAGGACCATCAGTTTACCCATGACATTGAGACGGCGGCTATACGGTAGCCCATGCGGTTTGCGTACTGGATGGCAAGGTGACCGATGCCACCGAGCTCCTGAATTGTAACGAACTCACCCAGCTTAATGCCGGCCAATCACAATGCATTGGAAACAGTTGAACTAAGGCCAGTTCGGAGAGCACATATCACACGTCTTGCAATGGCCGCCGTGATAACCACCTCTAATGCAGTCACCAATCTTCCAACTCTTCACATCGTCGCCGACGACAGCCATCGTCCCGATAATCTCACAACCCGGGACAATAGGAAAGCCACCATCGAAAGTGGTATATAGGGCGTTCGAGTCTGTGTGGCAGGATCCATATGCTTCGACCTTGACGAGTAGCTCACCATCACCAGGTAATCCCAGAGGCACCTCTTCGCGAACTAGATTCCCTCCTAAGGCTTTGAAAGTAGCTTGTTTATATGATGCTCGCAAGCCCATCGTTAAGCTTCAAATATAAAACTTCAAGGTAAAGGGGTAACTAAGGAATATGATCATACGAAGAACTAGAAATATCAGTAGGCAGACCAGGTAGTCGCATTCGGCTTCATTATCACCACTGCTCTCTACAATGTTCTTATACTCATGATGTTGAATGGTATAGGAGCTGGCGGATATACGGTGAGCCACAGCACCCTACTAAGATATAGCCCGGAATTAAACCCTTAATCCCAAGTGAAGCTACTTGAAGGGTGATGATGACGAGGAACTTCATTCGCAACTTAGCCTTATCCAAACATATTGTGAAGTCTTAGGGAATTTCGGGGGTTAAGTTCGAATCCAACGGGATTTAAGTACCCGCTTCGGTTTGCCGACTTTACGCTTCGTCGGCTGTCTTAGGATCCATACGAGGTAGCTGACATATCTGCGTAGACGACATGTTTGAAGATTATTATGATTTGGATATTTTCTATCCCAAGTTATTATGTAGCATCCTTGATTATCATGCCGAGGCGTTAGCCCCTATTCGATGGGGCGTTTATCATTGACATACATCCTTCAACGTGATGAAATGACTGTCGACAAAAGGTATAGTCCATAAAAACTAAAAATTAAAACACTCGTAATTCAAGCACAAGGCAAATCTATAAATCCCAATGTCGCTTACATCTCATGTCCCAATGCCAAATTAATACACGCGCAAACCCTTAAACATCAATCAGAGATACTTCTTAACCTGCTCTTCGCTCCACTGCCAAAATTCCTCCCCGATCCCACTACCGCCTTCAGACTTTCTCTTCGATGCGTTGGACATCCCTTTTGAGACATTCCAGATCTTCCCCCACGGGGCAACTAATTGCAGTTAGGTTAGCTCGGCTTTTATAAGTGGCTAGGCATTAGTGGTTAAGTGGTACTTACCGAAGGCGCCAGAGTTGTCGGAGGTGATATGAGGCGAAAGTCCAGCATAAAGAGCCGTGTACGCGCCGTAAACGACCGGGTAGAAAACCAGCTTCCGGAGGAGGAAAGTTGTAATAGGCCCCTGAGTGCGCCACAAGTCCGAGTCGAGATTTCCGGGATTCAACGAGGCGGCCAGCACACCATCTGCCTTATGGCGTTTTGCGTACTCGGCAGCATGTAAATAGTTCCCGAGCTTGCTGATGAAGTACTTGTCCATCTCTCCTTGCTTCTCGATGTTGTGCACGCCCTTTAGGAAGACCTTGGGATCTATGCTCAGGGCGGCCGAAGACGATAGCCAGATTGCGCGAACGCTGTTGGGAGGCGCCGTCTTCGCTGTTGATACTAGGATCGGCGTCAAGAGTTGTGTCAAGGCAAATGTGCCGAGGCAGTTCACGCCGAGTTGGAGTTCGTAGCCCTGCTTCGTCTTGGATCCCTTCTCTGGGTACGCGACGCCAGCGTTGTTGAAAAGGATATCAAGTTTTTGCTCTCTACTAAGGAACTCCTCAGCTGTCGTCTTGATGCTTGGGAGGTCGGCTAGGTCGAGGTGGATATATTCCAATTCGCCTCTAGACTCTGGAGTAGCGGCCTTGATGCTGTCGATGGCATTCTTCGTCTTCTCTTCAGATCGTGCCATTAGGTAAACCTTGGCATTTTTAGAGTAGAGAATTCGAGCGATCTCCTTGCCGATACCAGTGTTGGATCCCGTGACGACGGTGACCTTATTAGTCAAGTCCGGGACATCCTTCTCTGTGTAAGTCGGCTTTCCAGGGAAGAAGGCTTGTTTGAAAACAGAAGATAAGTCGGCCATTGTAGGTTATTCCTTTCCTTCTGTATTTGCAGTGATGAGTTTAATTACGTAGGTGAATATTATAGATATATGCAATGAGATGAGGCTATATTGTGCTGGTTGTGGATGAAACTATTACATTTCAGCTGAAGAGTCAAAGATGACAGACGTATATATACAAGAACCATTGTCATGTCATGCCACTAATTGATCCTATGCCGGATAACCCCGCGGGGTTTAAAGACTTGTTTACGAGAGAAAGTGTTTTCGGTATTGACTTTTATGTGCAAAAGTATTTCCGCCTTTCTCTCCAAGGTACACGAGGTGCGATTGAGAGGGTACCTATGTGTTGCTGATGTCTACCTATTCCAGAACCCATAGTGTATTAATCGATTAATCGTGTTGTAGATTTAAGATTAACTATTCGCACTAAGACAACCGCGGGCAATTAGCTGCTACCTATATGTACCCCTGATAGCAGCGGGACTATTTAACATAGCAATATGCGACTATGTAGTATGTATCTCGTTACCTAATGTTTTTTTTTACCTACATGTAGTTGCATACATAGGTTAAGTTAGGTACATAATGTAACAGGCAGCTATTTCCTTCGACTAGAAGTCAAAGTACTTGTGCTGTCTGCGTAAACTCGACGACCGCACCCTTCGGGTGCTGCGCTTTAATTAAGGATTGGCCCTGTAATTCGGGATTGATCCGAAGTACTTCCGAATGGGAGGGCTTCCCATATATTATAAAAGTATTTTCAAACTTCTATCCATTTTCATAATATTTCGTGATTATGAAAATATTGTTTCCTTTTCAGGATTTAATGAAGGTGGGAATAGCCTCTTATTCGCCCTTATCCTTGTACGCTATCCCCAATTACAGGGCTAATCCTTAATTAAAGCGCAGCACCCGAAGGGGGCGGTTGTCGAGTATATGCGTAGACAGCACAAGTAATAAAGGTAGGAGTGATGGTCTCGAGTAATTCCACTGGGCTTTCCCAATGCCAGACGATTACATCATTAGGTACATGTATACCTTATGTAAGGCTGCAGTTATACGTGCATGGGCCCCATAAATGAAACCCGCGGGATTATGCAAAACCCCCATGTAAGAAGTACCATTCGTAGTCTCCAAACCCGCGGCTCTTGACAAGTCACAACTTACACCTTATTGTCGCGTATTACGACCAACCCGTCATTCCGGGGGTTTTATGCTCTGGTATTGCTCAAGTCCGGCATCCGTTGGCTCTTAGAAAGAACCCGAACCAAAGACCAAATGCCGCCCGGTCCAATAGCAGCTCCTTCAGCGGCGTCATGCAGCCCGGCACCTTACGGTCAGGCCTGTGTTGCCTGCTCCCGTGCCAAGTGCAAGTGTTTCTATCGGTCTGATGGATCTTCCTGTGAGAGGTGCCATCGTCTTGGAAAGACTTGTGAACCCACCGTAACTGCTCGCAAACGGAAAGCCCGTACGCCACATCTTCCAGAGTCACCCGTACAACCTCTGCCTCCAACTGGTAGCACTCGACTTGAGGAGAAATTAGATGAGCTTGTAAGCCTATTACGCTCTCAAGCAGCTGAGAAACAAGCCCAACAACATACGCCAGAATCCTTACCTGGAGGGGCACTCGTTGGTTATACTGATTCCATGACTCCAACACCCGTATCTATACCTGTACGTGAGCACCCGGATATCGCCATAGATACTAGCGCTACTATCGTACATCTCTTCCGCCCCTCTACTCCTATATCACCATCCCCCATCTTGGATGATGTGTCCGTCCATAAAATACCAGAAGCAGCCGCAGAAGAACTATTAGACAGTTTTCGCAATGCCTTTATTCCCATGTGCCCTCTTGTTCATATCCCTATCTCAACGAGCTCCGCTGAACTGCGCCGTGAGAGGCCTTTTCTATGGCTTGTCATCATGGCCTTGACCTCCACGATAATGTCACAGCAGTTTGCAATGGCGAATACAGTATGGCGCATCATATCGCAAAGAGTAGTTTTTCAACAACTCGTTGATCTAGATCTACTCCTCGGCATCGTCTGCTTCGCTACTTGGTCTGTGTCCCGCAGCCTTATTTCAAATGACTGAACTGATAAGTCAAACTAACTGACTTGAAAGGTCACATCACGTCAAGGAGGATAAGCCATTTATGTGTATGCTTTCTCAGTTAGCCGTATCGCTTGCCCTCGAGTTGAATATACATCATGATACGCCGACGCGGCCCCTGCGTCGTAATAGATTCCCAACTCAACGGCCTATAGACCAGCGCCCTCGAACTGTGGAAGAGCGTCGAACTATGTTAGCTGTCTTCCATCTCACATCTGCGTAAGCGTCGTCTTTCTAGGCATACCTTAGAATAAGGCTTTCTAGCTGCTATACTAACCTAAACATACCAGTACATGGTTAACATACAGACAAACGGAGCCTCTCCGTTGGACATCATACTTGGATGACTGCCTCCGCATCCTCGAAGAGGAAAAGGAGGTATATACCGATATCCTTTTGACTACCCAGGTCAGGTGTCAGATCATCACGAACCAATTAACCTGTTCCCTTGGAAACCAGCCAGGAGCAGAACGCCCTAAAGCAGCGTCGACCGCTCTAGTTTCAACCCTGCTAAGAGAACTTGGTAACATTAGACGAAACTTGCCAGCCGAGTTCGAAGCAAATAGTTAGGAGACCCTACCCTATCCTTCGATAGTCCATTACCATCTAACAAGTATCTCTAGAAGCAGCACAGTTCTACTTCTGTTTTACAGAAATAAAAATTCGGGAAACCGTGCTTTACAGACCTAGGGTCATGGATCAGACAGGCGCTTCGCAGTTCCAGCGACTCCAAGACCTAGATATGGTTTTAAGCATCGCGGAGCGATGGGTATCGATTTTTAATAGCCTGCCCCATCGCGAGTGGCACGGCATCACTGCCGATATCTTCACCCAGTTTACGCAGTACCTGGTAATGTTGTTCAGGCTCCAAACCCTCGACGAACCCGGCTGGGATCAGGACGAAGTGAGGCGGAGGGCCGACGTCTTCGGTATCATAGACAAGGCCTGCATAGACGTCGGTCACGTCTTGGCGTCGCTGGGCATGGTGGACGCCGAGGGTCCGCGGAGCGGATTCTTCTTCAAAATGCCTCGTCTGCTCCGGGAAATGAAGGCGCTTTTCCTAGCAGAGATGCCGCAGAACACGCAGCCAAACCCTGCTTTCCCCGCTGCGGATAACATGGCCACGGGGGGTGGTATTAATCCCGCCGCTGGGTTGGGGGAAGACATGTGTCTCGCGGATGAAATTTACTTGAATACGGTACAGGAGGATATTTTGGCGCAAATATGGGATTTTAGACCAGATGGTTCTTATATGCCTTTTGCTTCGTAGGCCGATACCAATATAGGGGTTATGCTTGTATTGCGTTACTATTTATTCATTGGCATAATTAACAAGACGCATGTACAAATATCTCTCAGTTCCACAGTATACTCAAGTTCTGTAAACTTGGCTAGCTGAATCATGAGGCAGACAGACCTAAGGCTTTGAATCGCGGCAAACACAGCGCACAGGGGTATATTTCTGCCCAAGCCCTCCTAAACCCCGCCTCGATCCAAAGCTTTCCAAATTAACAAATTTTACGTTCCCCATTAGAATCTTCCTTAGGTTTTTTTAGACGTGAGGTGAGGACCAAGCTTCCCATTAGAACTCTATTTCTTCTGAAATAACTTGTTCAAAATTCTCTCCGCACTGTCGACCTGGACGTGACTCGAATCGCGACCTTCCGCCTTCATGTCGTGATACCAGTCCAGAGTCGATCTATACTGGTATCTCATCGTCTGACACAATGGGTCCTTCGTCCGGGCGCTATAAGCTGCCTCATAAAGATCGTTGACGCATGCTGACTTCTCGAATTTGGTTCCAGAACGCGGTGCATGCCATATAGACCTTTCAAGCTTATTCTTATCGCTCTCGTGTTTGGGTATTGACTTCTGCTTTTGTGTTTTTGAGTGTGCCACTCCTCCTTGCCACTCTTCCTTTGGAATTCGTATCCAGCCCTTATCTGGTAAAAGAGGTTCTCTAGGAGGTAGCCATCGCCAGCCATCCGCCATCATTTCCTGTATCATTCGCTTTGTGAAGCCTAAGGGACTACCCCTCGGGTTATATACTGAGTCGCTTCTACTACCGATATAGACTTCGCCAAGGTAGTACTTTGGATCCTTCAGCGGCATCTCCGTTTTAACAAGGTCGACTAGATGTCGCTGCATGTTAAGCAGCGTGGCTTCCCCGCGTCCAGACTCTCGGCCGTGGGCGAACATATCCCAGATAAACAATTCCATCTCGGCATATGGAATCTTTTTGACATGGGGGTTCTTCGGTCTAACTACCGCGATCCAAGGGTGGCGCCCGTACTCGCCGGGAGGCAACTGGGGATTCCACTCGGTGTCTATGGTGTAGAATAGACCATACCAAGTGTTAACGCCCGAAAACTTGGGAGCAGCACCTAGCCAGTTTTTGAAGGTATCGTACTCGCACATTGGATCACCGAAGTGGTCAGCCATCGACACATTCAGCCACGAAACGGGCTTGGAGTGCAGCCTGGCCCAATTTCCTTTTCTCATCAGGCGGTCGGGGAGAGTAACGATCCATTGATTGAGATCAGAGGCGCTATCGCTGTCGGGGGACGAACGAGGAAGTAATGCATGTGGGGCAGACGATCTGCTCGCGCTACCAGGGGCTACGGAGGCGTTAAGGGCAGACTCTTTTAATTTCTCACGCGCCGAAGCCATGTCGGGGTCGTTGATCGTTTCTTCTGTATAGACAGGAATCTCGATATTCCTGTAGGCGGCTCTGTTTCTGTTGTTATTCGAGCCAAGCACGGTAAATTTGCGATATAGATCACACTTCAAGCTAGACCACCAACAGAAATAATTCACCAAACTCTGCTCGTCGTTTGGATCGATAAAATCTGTGACCCATTCCACTTTCCGGATCTCGTCACTCGTTTCTTCGTCTCCAAAATCGGCTATGATCCCCTTCAGGACCTCCCACGCTCGGAATCTTGCCTCGAGCTCTTGCTTCCCTAAACCAGATTCTGCCAAGAGCTCCTCAAGGTGAGGATTGTTTTTATGTGCTAAACACATCTTCTTTCGTTCCGCTTCTTTCTCTAACGTAACTACTTTAAGGTAGTCCGGAAAATCTGCACAGGCCATAATCAGATAATGAGGGTTGCAGCAGTAGTTTCTAAACCATTCCAGGAACTTGTGAAGCCGGACCGGATCTGACAGTGCAAAACTGGGCGTGATCAAAAAGGCTCGGCCCTGGGGAAATAATCGTGTTAGTTGGAGTGTGCCAGGTTCGATAGACGCGTCTATAGCCGAAGGGAATCTTGGTGGGTTGTATTGACCCGTAGCAAGGTCCCAAAATGTATAACAGCATTTACTATCTATCATCTGAAAGATACGTGGTAACTTTCGGATGGAAATGCTGACATCTTCGTGCATGATGATGGTACCCGCTTTACCTGCTTGCACGGTCTCGTGGAAGTGTGCCCAGCTGTCCTTGACTCCGTAGATGAATATTTGGCAGGCTGGTTGACATGAACCTGGAAACATTACAATTAGTAACCATACCTTCCATAATAATAAAAACAAAACAACGTGTTTTGGATATCACTCACGGAGCCAAAGCTTAATCATATTGCATACTTGTGTTTCTCTTTCGGGGAAAAGCAGCATGAACACCTGCTTATCCTTCTCTTTAGGGTTTTGAGGCAAAAATAAAGAGAAATCCAACTCAAGTAAGTCCTTCACAAGTACTCGGCAATGGGATCCCTGATCCACATGGCTCAGTCGGATTGGAGCACGAGGGACGGACGCTGGGGGGTAGAGTTTCATATCCTCACGCGATTTATAGATTATGTATCGCAAATGAGACTCTGAGTTGAGTTTGCTTACATCGACGCCAAGTTTGTCCCAGCCGTCACATTTTGAAGGATAGACGAGAATTGAAAATTGTTCGGTGATTAGGTGACTAGCACATGAGCTTCGTCGAAGGTGTTCCGCCACATTACTCAAGGCTGACGAAAGCTCCTCGGACTTGGCCTCTACCGTACCGACAGAGAGAGCTTCCCTAGCTAAAGCAGCTTTGCCAGTTAGATCAATTTGGCGAGAGACAAAATTGTACGAAGAACAGATGGAATCAAAATGGAATGTTTCTTGCTCCATAAAAGCCAACAGCCAAGGCTGAACTTGGCGAGGGATGCCACAGAATAGGACTTGAATCGGCTCCGATCCACTCTTTCCGAATACGACTGTCTTTAGAACGACCTGAGTCTGCCCCCGCTCCTGGTAGGTGGCCAAGGACAGTCTTCTTGACGGGTGAACTTTAACCGAGTCCGGAGTTTCTGGGGGATGATCGATATCCATTGGACTATGAACAACAGGACCGACTCCGTCGTCCGTGGTTCCGCCCATGGGCGTATCCTCCGATGCGTCATTCTGCGCTCCAGTAAAGCGAACAGACTTCTTCGCCTTGAGTGTCGGTGTAGTTGTGCTCGTGTCATTCGGCGATATTGCCGTAGGACTTTGTACAACTGGAGCATTTGCTATGGGGGTAATTGGGGAACTTGCATTTGTCTGGCCCGGGTTTGGCCGACTTCGCTGGTCATTTGTTACGATGAAACTGGTCGGGATAGATGAGATGTCAAGGTGCGCTCCATCAATTCTTTCGATACCCCGTTTTTTGGCGATATTTATGACACGCAATGAATTGAAGGCCTTCGGTGTCTTCGACGGGTCATCCATGACATCGCCAAGACTCGCCCGTTTCTTCCGTTCTTTACCCCCAACGAAGACGTTGGTTTTTCGTGTAGGTAAGGCAGCTGGTTGAGGTTGAGTACGAGTCGCTGTATGCCGCTTCCCAGAAAATTTGTTCGCCAGGCTAGACGACATCTTCGGCGGAAGCGATGAAGGAGCCTTCAATGTTGAACTCGGCTTCCTTGCGGTACCTTGGTACCCGGTCATGGTAGTACCTGTTGGCTTCAAAGGCCGCTGGGCCGGCGTAGACGGTATCGGTATCGGGTGCGTTGATGCCCGTTTATTTTTGCCTTTATTTTGAACTGAGCCCGCCTCTGCAGGAGTTGGGATTCCATTAAACGTCTTCTGCTTAATGATTTTCTGAGGTTTTATCTTAGGTTTTGGATTGCCCATGTCAACGTTACTCGTCTCTTTAAGCCCGTCGTCGAGGTCCATTTCATTCCCAGAGGCAAACGTGGTAAAAGAATCCTCAGTAGGAGATTCAAGGGGCAGAGGAGCAGTGAGAGGTAGCCCCAGTCTCTTCCGTTTTGCATTCCGTCTCTCGTGCCTTTCTGCCTTTTCTCTGCATGCAGTATTATATATTTCAACGTCAAAAGGCTGGCGCTGTCCGTTTGCAATTTCCTCCTGGATCTCCTCCCATTGCGCAAGGAGACCCGGTCCTAAGTTTTCCACTGGCTCCCACGTACATTGGTCCATCGGAAAACCCTCCCACTTGATCAGGTACTGTCTCTCGCCAGGCCTTTCCGGGTGAGGCCGTTCGGCGTAGAGGTCTGCGACGGTCCATTCTTTATCCTGATCTTCACTGTTGACTCCGTAATCAGTGGAGGCCAGTGAAATATTATCTATATCATCAGTATCACTGGGCCCAGCAGGAACGGATAGACGAGTTGGGGGAAACGCCATCTTAAAACATAAAAAATAAAAAAGGCTTATTCGGCATTAGTAAGTAGAAGAGGGCAGAAATCAGATGATGGTTAGGGCATGAGATACCCAGGTAAGAGGTAGGTACGCAAATAGCGTTCTCTTACGGGTAACTTCGCTGTAATGAATTGATTCGGACAACGGCGATTATTTCGAATGATTTACGAGAACGCTCTCAAAATGTATGTGCTCATATGTGCTCATGTGCATGGGAATTGTGAGATGGAAATTTGTGTTGGTAGGTGTATAGGTATGTAGTTGTTGATTGTTGAGTTTTAATATCAGTTAGTTAGTTACCTTGGTGCCCAGAAGAATTTGGGTATTTGGACTAGAACGCACTGGCCAATTAGATAACTGAAGCCGGGAAGCAGCAACCAGAAAGCGTACCTACCCGTATATTGTGTAACAGTTTAATGTGGCAAGCACAAGTACTATATAATATGTAGGTAGGTAGCTTATGCCTTCCAGTAGAGTAATTGGACTATAACACATGAAGTAGATACGGTATTTATTTCATGTGGAGTTTCGTTTGCATATGTTGCTGGAGGTTAGGAATCTCGCCTTCTCATTTTGATCTTTCTCAAGGAGTTATAAGAGTAGTTAACTAACAATACAATATATTTCAGAGATATTTATATTATCGCTACGACCCTCATCGTCTATATGATATATAAAGACTAAAGGAATTAAATGGAAATAATCGAATCATGAATGTCGTTTGCTCGTACGCTAAGAAGTCTCATCTCGGCATCTAAATTTGTGGAACTCCATCTTACGTAACAAAGGAGAAGATCTACATTAGACAGTGCCCGTAGTTTTAATCAAAAAAAGGGAGCTAGAAGTAGCGCCACATGCGCTTTGACGCGGATATATATCTTATCAGTCAATAGCGATACTCCCCGTCCGCGCTTCTGCGTCCGTCCGACCTTGGCCTACTATCGTTCCGTTCGTCGTTCAGCCAATCCTCGACATTTCTCCAGCTGCGTGCCTCCGGGTCGACCTCGCGCTCGAGGCCGCGGCTTCGAGAACGACCGTAGTCGCGTTCATCCCAATCCCTCCTCCAGCTGGAGCCGCTACTATCGCGTGGGCGAGCGATGACTTCACGCTTCTCAATGACGTCGCGGTCCGATCTGAACTTGCGCTCCCATTCCTCTTGCCCGAGCTTGTCCCTTTCGCGCCGCGCCTCGAGCCGCTTCTCGACGGCATTTGCGCCGAGCGCACCTACGGCTGCACCGACCATCGTGCCGATGAGTTGCTTGCGCTTCTGGTCAGGGGTTTCGTGATGGTGGTGACCATTGTTCTTGGTCGTGGCATCGACTGCTTCCCTAGCCGCTAAGCCACCCACTAATGCGCCAAGTACGCCAATTCCAAGTCCCGCAGTAGAGTTGGAAAAGTTGTTATCGACAAAATTCCGCGCCTTGTCAATTGGAGTATGCGTCCGGCTGTCATCAGAGTATTCGCTGTCGCTGTCTCTGTCGTGACACCTTTCCTGTCTCCTTCCGCGACTTGATCTACGATATTCACCTGAGGGGAGAGATCTAGGTCGCGAGCGCGATTCGGGTATTTGCAAGCTCGATGACGAATGAGACGGGTACGGCTCATAAGTTAGTTGTTTCGGGGGCGGCGACTCATCATACGTAGGGTTTGTCGTGTTCGCAAGTTGTCGGCTCTCCTCGTAGGATATTGGGTAGTCTCCTCCCGAGTATGTGTAGCCGGGAGAACGGTCCCGATGGTGGCTCGACCGCCCGCGGGAACGGCTGTCATGGTAATGCGACATCTTTATGATTGGCAGGCAAGTTTCACAAGACGTAGTTATACTAATTGCCGCAATAGTATACCAGATGACTGACAGTAGTTGGAGTTGCGAAACAGAAGTTCGCGTAAAACAAAATATGCTGGACGTAAGAGTAAGATTTTATTCTGCAAAATAGATGAGTATTAAAACCCTCAAGCCGAATAAGATCCGAGACAAGCAGAGTTGCTCAGGTAGTAGTTGGTGAATAGGTAGGTTAGGTGGATTTTCGTATTATTATCTCGCCGAGATATATTCTGCCTGGGCTGAAAGGCACAGTAGGTAAATAAATATAACTATGCAACATACCTACGTACAGAACAGATAGTAACAAGAGTCAAGGGAAACATTAGTATTAAGTATTAGTCAATGTTTTTACGGCAATACCTTCTGATCCCGCGCCATTCTGTCGTGCATCGCATGCAAGACGTGATACGCTAGGAGAGTTGCAGCGAGAGGCATATACTGTGTAGAATGCTCGGGTGAATGCTTGGGGGACTGAAGGATGAGTTTCTCGGCGCTGTTGGGCTTAGATCATGCCCGAGGTGCCTCCCGCTGCGGACTACGGCGGGATGGCGGATGACCATTGGTGGGGTCATGAGCAGATGATGTCACGCACTTGATTACCTGCATGTGCTCAAGTTACTCCAAACGATTAGTTACTTAGGTACATAAGTGCCAAGAACCATATTCGGTAATAAGCACTTTTCGAGTTTTGCAGAGGGAACGTCAGTCTGTCTCCTATTTTTTATTTTTTTTTTCAGACTTTTTGGAATGACGATGGTTTACTCGTGCGGTCGAACAACGATAGGTAATTATGAGCTTTTAGACGGGCGGATCTACATTTTTATACCTTCAATATTAGCTTCGTCATTAGGTAGTGACAGGATCTCACCGAAAGTGAATGAATACCTATGCAAGGTACCCGAACAACGACAGAAGGCTCTCCCTCTGATCAGCCAACAGGATAGTCAGCTCAGCTAGCCTACCGGACTGCCGGACTAGCGTATATGGTGTCGACTACCTACCGCATGTCTATCCTCGCTCAGCCCAACCAAAATGATGGTAGAAGAAGGTGGTAGCATCTGCAATGGCACTCGGCATAGAGAGTGTTACCCATCCCTACAGATACCTATCATATAAATGCTTAGCCACTAGTATAGCCACAGTATAGCTTCTAATATGACCTTGATAGTAGGCATATTAGTACCGTTACCGAGATGCCTAGCTTCGTTAGTCTGACATGAGATTACACTTCCTCTCTAGCACAATAGCAATAGTAAAGGGGGTCTATATACGAAACGCAAGTTTGCAAACTAGACAGTTATTATTACGCAGTGAGTTCTATCAACCTTACTACCTAACGTACAATCTTCCATCAGTATGTCGAGAGTATACTGACGAAAAGGCACAAGGCTGTCAGACCAAACTGCAAGAAAGAAAGCAAGCCAAGAAGTATATCGTCCGTAATCACCATCTGTCATCATCACCACCTTCCATGATTCGTTACCCGCAATGCGCAATGCGGGAGGATTTCAACGAATTGAGAATTGACATATGAAAGGCGTGAGAATAGTCGATTGTCCAGATCAGATGTGATCATTACCAAGAAACATTTTTGTGTCCCAGTAATAGTAGGAAATTGTACACAACGACGTACCCCACCAGGGGGATGAGGCCGAGGTTGAAGCCCCGGTTGATGTTGTGATCAAATCCGAGGGTTATGCGTCGATCGAAACACATCGTGTATTCAATCTTGACATAAAAAGGCAACCGAGGACATTGCCTGTTGCGGTATGTGCAAAGAAGAGAGTTGAATCTCCTCCCAAAAAGAAGAGAGTTGAATCTCTTCCCGAAAAAAAGTTTGTCGCAATGACGAAGCAAAAAAAGCAAGACAAGATAACTACCACCCATTCGGAGACGATTGTGGTATCATAACTGTGTGACAATATCTAGCCGGTCTTTATCTCATAAACGCAATGGTAGAGAAATTTTGAGGAATTTGTTGAAAATTTCCTCTTAGAGTCAGAGCCGGAGAATGTCATCTCAAACAAAGAAATCGGGTATCAGGGCATCGAAGAAAATCGCAAAATTCACCCTAAACAAGTCGTAAAAGCGCCAATAGCGCCGAGGGACGAGCCGCCTACAAAGGCCCCGTCCTGTTGCCGCCTATCATATTACTTCGTCAAAGCGTGCGGCTGTTCCGAGGGGTTATACACCTTAGGCTCAAGGATCGGGCCGCTGAAATCGCGCTGTTTCTGCGGGACGTTGATCTGATTCTTGACGCGGTATTCGCCGGGATGCTTGCCCTTGGGAGGGGACAGATCATCTTGACTTCGGGGCTTGAAGCCAGAGTTAGGCGCGTAGTCCACGAACGACTTCTCTACCTCCTCTTTCTCCTGCTTCTCCTGGCGGACCTCGATAATAGTGCGGAAGAACTGGCTCACTTCCGCCAGCGAAGTCTGCAACTCGGGGGGGCTATTGAGCAGCTGCATGAGTGCCTGGGAGTCCAAGATGTGCTTCGCGATGACCGAGTCCGGCTGGCAGTGTGTGCGGATTCGCATGACGCGCGCGTTCATCTTCATGCCGTACAGGAGGCCCTTGACAATATGGCTGTCTGCATGGTGCGGACCATGGAATCGGAAGCTGCCGATGTGTGCATAGATCATGTCGACTTGGGTCTCAAGGTCGTAGCGGAACCCAATGACCTTTGGACGACCCATCTGTGCCCAGGAGTCGGCTATCTTAGCATAGATGTGCGGGTTCATGCGTCCGAGATGCAGTTGGCCGTTGATGTATCCACTCAGGGTGTTGCTCAAGATGAACTCTAGCTCACAGTAAAGCAGACTCTGCTCGCGGGGATCAAGTGTGATGTTGAGTTCTCGAGCGACGCTCACTCTGGATGCACCAACTCGGAAGTCCGCCATTCCAGCCTATAATATATTAGTTTCTGCATTTAGAAAAGAGGGAATCGATAAAACCGTACAATCTTTCGAGCTGTCTTCTTCATACCATCGAAGAAACGAGCATTCACAGTCTTGGGGCGCTCGGGTTTCTTTTGTGCGGCGGTATCTTCGAGCCATCCTTTGTCTCCGAATAGATTCTTCTTCACCTTCTTAACCTTGTCATTGCTGAGCCACGGCGTCAACGGTGTAAAAGGCGGCGCACCGTATTCCTTGGTGGCATCATTGGTGACATCATTGGTAGTGAGAGACTTGGGTAGACCTCGACTACCTTTCTCAAGCGAGTGGTCTCGAGAAACAGCTTGAGCTACCGGGCCATCTGACACAGGGGTGGCCGGATAGTTGCGCTCCTCTGTAGTTTGCTTCTCCATCCAATTAGAATAACCCTTTAGGATGCTACCTCGTCCCAATCCAGCTTTGTAGGGGTCGCCCGAGGGCTCTTCATAATAGTGGAATGGCGTACTAGCTCCATATACTGAGGGGCTATCATCGTTGGAGTTCTGGTCTTTCTCTGATGAAGGAACGGGATTGTGGACGGCCTCGATGTTCGCGTGTCGCGCGACCGTTGCACCATACCAGTGAGCCGCCTTGAGATCAAGCGGCTCAGGCCGACGCTTCTCTTGCTCCCGAGCAGGGGTAGATACAGCGGGCTGCGGAGGAAACTTGTGTCGGGACATGTCTCGAGATCTTTGAAGAGGTTCTTCATCGCGCATATTGATGAGATCAGATACTGTTGTGATGCGGCTGGGGAAGTTGCCCCCGGCGCTCTCAGGCACAGGAGAGAGGAGCTCGTCGCCATCATTTGACTGGAATTCGTATCGATTCTGCAGCGAGCGTCCACGTTCCGGGGATGCTTGATTGCCTAGTTGCTGGTACATGCTAGATGAAGCACTGTTTCCCCTGCTTCGGGTGTAGTACGAAGGAGCATCACTGGGCTCGTCTCGGTAAGAGCGTGATCCCGATCGCGAGTGAAAAGGTTCTCTATTGAGCGCCCGAGCTCTAGCCACACCTAATTCGAGCTGTACGGCACTGCGGCCTCCTTGAGGAGTCGAATACCTATCATTGTTAGCAAGTAATCATTAGGTAAATATATTTTGAGGATGGCGCTCGTGCTTACATCTTGATAGTCTTGTTGAGAAAGATGCGTTCAATTTCCGAGTCGGTAATAGGTACCGGAGGCGACAGCTTACGAAGGGATGCTCTCTGGTACGAGCCTGAAGATGCTGATGCGTCTGATGCGCGCTGGAGTGAAATTGGTTGAAGGGAAATAGTTTCGAGAGAACTAGCCGTACGCGACGTCAAATCCGTAAAGGGACTGAGCAGTTCCGGATCCTCGGTACTTCCAGATATACTGCTAAGCCAATACTTGACTTTTTCCTGTTCTTCTAGACGACCAAAATGCAAATTCAGCATACTAGCAAATAAGGAATCTCGTGATAGTGGCATAAGAATTAGGAGGGGGGTTGTGTGGGGATGGGATAATTCAAATGGGCAAAATAAAGAATTTTTTACCTACCCTTATCAAAGGTTGTGCTTAGGGAAGAAGTTGTTGTTTGTGTAGAGGTTGGTGAAGGTGCTACATCCTTAGGAAAATTCTGCTTCTTATCCATCACCTTGTTGTCGCCTAGGTGACATGTTAGAATACAGCCTGCCAGTCAAGCACTTGGATCCTCCCCATCAGTCGTTACCAGTTGACAGCTACTAGTTGAAGATACTAGCTGAAGATACTAGCTGACGATACTAGCTGACGATACTAGCTGAAGATACTAGCTGAAGATACTGGTTGAAGATACTAGTTGAAGAGACGTACCAGAGCTGATTCCCCATACCCAACGAGTGCTTCCAGCATCATCATTGAATATCGGGTTAGATGAGTGATATCGTTCGGCGGTTAAGACTGCTATATGGCTCGGAAACCCAGCTATAGACATGTGTTAACGGGGTGCAATGTACATAATCGCGACGTAGATATAGACATCATGATATATACCTCGAAACAGTCCATTACGTCGAGTCGCCTGGGCGAAACCACTTGCTCCTTCTTCGTCAGCCATATTGTTGCGTGTGGAGATATTTGGATGAAGACGGCAAATTTTACGTGATGTTGAAGAAACGAGAAACGTTTGTTAAAAGACGTGGTTCGATGTTCGATGTTCTAAGTACAGATTAACGGTAACTACCCAGCAACACGACAACTGACAACTGGCCGCCTAATTTCTTCGGGTTTTTCTTTTTTTTTCCTTTTGACCATTTTGATACTTTTCCGTGTATCTCTTATAATATTAGGCACGTGGAAACCCTTCAATTGTCGCCCTTCAAACACAGCACAAAGACGAGAGCTACTAAATTCTACATTGCACATAGCTGATTTATCAAGCACTGCGATAGCCTCTTGTGTCACACTTTCTCTTCAAGAACACCCTTCCTCCGCCATCACACTTCTGTGCATATCATCCTCATTAAATTCAGGCGGACTGAGGCTTGGTGATAGTTCAATTATGGTAGTCTTACGATTCGAAGTTGAAGTATGGGCACCAGAGGTTTCTGCTGGCATCGTAAATTCCACGTTTTTGAAAAGTAGAGAATCACAACGTCGTAAGCCATGTCTATTCCTAGATAATCCATCAGCTACAACCAACATGAACTACGGTACCTAGTACGCACCTTTCTTGAATTGACGATAGCTGGGGATGATTGGAATCTAAGAGTGTCGAGGGGCCCTGGTTACCCAGTGTTGAAGGTTCATCTGACTGTAATTGCCTCCATGTGGTCGTATCAAAGCCTCGAGGTATAGTTTCACCTAGGCTATTGAGCGCAGATCGGTTCGAAGTGGTGTAGTTTGCCAGTAGCTGCGCGGTATCCCTGTCACCATCTACTACTTCTTCCAGATTAAAGACAATCCCTTGTCTTTTTGTCGATATCCGTTGGCAATCTGCACATTGTTCGGTTCCCTCCAAGTCACTTCCTTCGAATCGATTGCCAAACTGTAGGGTGCTCGTACCCTCAATTGAATCATTTAGGTCAAATCTTTCGCAATTTATCGTGGGCTCGTCGGGGCTCCATTGGTAGTCTAATCCTCCATCAAAGTTTAGTTGTGGCGTAAAGGGGCCTCGGAATGACCATTTTCGTGTTCTCTCTAACAGTCCGGTTGATGCAGCCTTCACGATGGTATCGGTGGCCTTTGATTCGGCGGTTGGCATCTGTCTTAGGGGTAGACAAGGGGGCAGTGAATCACCACTCCCAACGAGTAAGTACTTCCTGGCGAATATTGCATTTGGTATCTGGCAGCCGCTGGGTAGAGGCACAGTAGCGACATCCGGGCAGGTTCGTTTTGTTCGAAATGATGAGGACGAGGCTGGCTCGAACGTGAGCGCACCCGGGATCCAACTGCACCGTCTTTGGTCCAGTTCGGGTTTATGTTTATGCATATGAATCTTATCTGATAGTTTGCTAAAGAGACTAGACCTAGATGAATAACCACGAAGTCCTTTGCAAGGTTTTGGGTTGTCAAGGAGGAGAGTATCGGCTGTACCTGGAGGCGATGTTGCGCTTGGACGATCTGGGGAGGCAATAGGCACATCTCGCTCTTCGATAAACTTCCCTTGCGTGCCACACTCATGGCTCCATTGCATCTCATGAAACTTTTGGGGGTTCGGACTATTAAGTGGACGAGTACCGTCGTTTCGTGAAGAGATGTATAGCGTATGATCAATCAGCCATGCCTTTCGGTTTCGTATGCAACTAGGATCAATAGATGCTCTCTCAGTCGAAGGAGATGAGTCTGACAATACGAATGGGTATCTGCCTGGGTGTTCCAGTCGCCATTGCGCAAGCTTCTTTGTTGGGATGATCGAAGAAGTGATAGTGGTCATATGTGGGACGTGAGGGAGTTCGAGGTCAGCCTAGGGGATACTGTCAGCTCTCGACTACATAAGGGAAAAGGCTGTGAAGTTCTAACATATCTGCGTAGGTGATCATGTTTCCACCTTTGAAATGCGGCCCCCGGATCATCTGTATGCTCACAGTCGACTTCAATCAGTTCGTAAAGTACACCACCTGCCAAGTCGAGATTCTCGTCGCCAAGATGTTCTCGTAAAATCAAGAAGATCTAGGTTAAATGTGTTAGAAGGTATCTATTATAGGTATTAAAGATACGAGATACGACTAACCTGTGGAATTCCGTCTTTGTATTGGTAGTTCCTCGGAATGTGCGCGCAGTATCTTACAAGCACGTTGCGACATTCTAGATAATTGTAAACTATGTCGATGATATAAGGGGGTCTTAACCATATACTCACTCTCTTCATGATAGCCGATTCGGTCTAGATTATGAGTTCCAGACCGCTTGAAGCTGTGGCTTATATTGAGGTCATGGAGCCTATCTTCATCCTCGATAATTTGTATAATATCCCCGGTGACGCTGCTGTCTCCCTCTGTGGAAGCCTTAAGCCCTGCATGGCGACGCGATGTCCCTGATATCATAGTGCAATTGACCAGAAAGGTCGTATAATTATGTGTGACAGAACAAGCAAGCGTTTGGGCTAGAGACCAGAGCGGAATACATTTAGGCCGATGGGTTCGACGGGACTGTCGCTGTAAATTAGTATTAACTTAAGGCTACAAAATTGTCAGTGACCCTGAAGTTAAACATTTCACGTAGAAGAAAAGAAAAAAAAGGTCGTCATCGAGACTTCCTGACACAACGGTGAAAACTTAGTTGTTCCCACACGTGCCCTCAGTATCGCTTATGTTCTTGCCCTTTATGAGATGAACTTACAAGTACCTACCACATGCAATAACGACGCCAATTAAAATCAAAGTCTATTTGGGTTAGATACCTAATGTACCCCATAGATGCCTAATGCTTTCCCCAGCCCTTGAAGGATACACGCCCCTTCCATTCGAACGACATTATACGGGGATGTCTGTATGTACCTAATATAGTTGTTTGTTGCCTGAGCCATGCATTCGCTCTGTGTAAATGAGACTGTGGTATTTCTGTATATCAGAGTAGTATAAGTGTATTAGGTACCTAATGTATGTCTATTAATATATAACAGGTAGGTAATAAGGTAATAAAGAACTATCTTAATACTTATACTTATAGGCTTATATCAAAATGCCGAGACCTCTGCTAGAGAGGTTGGATGGTGTTTTATGTTTTATAGTTGGGCCATCTTCTCGCCCAATTTATTTGTGCAAAAAGCACCAAAATACTCGTTTAATGCGTCCACGGTCCCGGAGCCTTCAACTAAACTCGTTACGATACCCACGTAACCATCGGGCCGAACGACGACAACCCCACCCCTTTCCTCATCGAATCCCATTTTGGAGTGGGCGGCGGCTTTTGCATCGGGTACGCGGCGGTCCCATCTGTCATCAGCATATATGTGGTCGCGGTAACGAGCAAGGAGGCTCGGTACATCCCGTGTGATCTCGATCTGACTCCGCTGGGCAGCAAAAACGGTACATATAGTAAAGAAGAGGCTGTGAGGGTTGTGCTTCTCGTGGTGCGAGACTGATTCGATGTCCGGTCGAAGATAGGAGCTATAAAATGACCCCTTATTACTGAGACGAAGGGCAAAATCCTCCAGTGCCTTGGAAGTTACCGCAGGCTCTCCGGCGAAGATATAGATACGGAACGCACCGTTGAGGGGAACTTCTTGTTCTAGATGTACAACATTTGCGTCGACAACCCTCGTGACATCAGCATTGATCATAATTCGACCCGTTCGTAGTTTGCTTCCTCGAGGATTGATTAAAGGGGACTTGGCTGTGTGAGCCGGAGACCAGTTTAGCGCATTGGGTTTGTAGGCCACCCCATATCCACTGGTAAATTCGCAAGACTCCTTGAAGGTCCTAACGAAGGCATTATCTTCGGCCTGTGCACTTATCTGCTCTGAGGCCGCCTGTACCTCTTTTGCAGCAGGCGGCCGTTGCGAGAATAGTTTGGCATATTTGTTGTCAAATGAGAGCAGGGTTTCTGCGACATCCTTGCGCTCAGTTTCGTAGGTTGCTAAGATGGCTCGGTCAGCGAATCCGGCTTCGACGGCGTGGATTTTCCAGGCGAGATTTAGGGCATCGAGAAAAGCTGTATTCATTCCTTGGCCGGCTTTTGGCTACCGGGGAGTCAGTAACGTTGTCTAAGAATGACGTGGGGGTCTTACACTATGAGTATGACAAGCATCGCCACCCAGGAACACACGGTGGTCAATTGTGTATTTATCTGAGATGCCTTGTCCGATAGGATATACCGAATACCATTCCACACGTTCCCATTCGATGAGGTATGGATGAAGAATCTTCTTCGCGGAGGCCTGAACTTGTTCCGCAGTAGCTGTCCTACGCGGACTCCAGTCTACATCCGTAGACGATGCGATCTGTATGTATAGCCGGACCATGTTATCCTCGCGAGGAATGACCATTATCGAGCCATGTCCGGAGTGTATGGTACATTTCATCTGGAATCGTCAGTTTAAAGCTAACCGAAGCTATGTAATGAGCTTGCCTTGATGTCTGGGAAATCGGTCTTGACAACGCCATCCATAACACCCCACACATGTGTAATGGGGTCCTTATGTGTGATCTTGATTCCCAACTGGTCTCTAACAAATGACCTAGCACCTTCACCGCTGAACAAATATTTAGCTCGAACCGATTCCCGATGATGTCCGTCGACGTGTTCCAGATGTACTTCGACGGGATACTCCGGATCTACTTTGTCATCCGACTTAAACCCCTTAATAGTCCATGGCCGTTGGATCTGGACGCCGTTCTTTTCCAGATCTGAGATGAATACACGTTCTATTCGGCCCTGATGTAACAGTGTGGTGAAGGGATATCTCGCATCAATGAAACTGGGACAGCTGGCCCAAGTACCTGTTCTAACGATGCCTTTGCCGCTTTTGGGTGGATCCCAAAAGGCTACTTCAAAAACGCGCGCGGGCTTATGAGCCATGATGGCAGCTTTTAGGCCCATATTGCGAAGGAGGTCTAGGGACCGAGGCTGGATGCCATCTGCGCGCCCCGTAGGTGTAGGCTCGGCTCGATTATCAATATGTTTGATTTTATAACCCCATCTCGCGAGACACGTCGAAAGCATGAGCCCTACAGGACCAGCCCCAATAATCACTGAGCAAATGTTAGTATTATACGGTGATCGATGTCAACTCACTTACCAATATCATAATCATAATGGGGCGAAGTGGACTTCTTTGAAGACCAAGTATCCATTGGTCGTGTTGATCGACTGGAGGTCTAGATAGGAGGAAGCAAAAATAATGATATATAATGGAAAAAAACCAACGCCGTGTTGAATAAGAGTCAACAACTAAAATTCGGGTCACAGCCTGAGTATTGACATATGTATCAATAGGTAAACTTTCTTAAACGCTGGCGATACGTGAGACCAAGATAAGAGAATGCTCGTGTCTAGGTAGTTCTAAGTAGGGCGAGCGCCGCTATCTGCCTATTTGATAGACGGAATTGAGTATTAAGTATTAATTTAGCTCGTTTAGAATATATGTGATAATACCGAGGGAGAGATATACTAGCTGGAACAGTAAGACACCGGGACCGCGCTAGTAGCGTCCAACGGTAGGAATATCGGGAAGTGCAACTTTATTAAAGCTGTCATCATTGATGTTTCCCTTAAAGGTGCAGAAGCCAGGAAGTGGCAGAGTGGGCAACCTCTTAGGCTTGTCATTGGCTTTGAAAGGTCGGTGGGCGCCGATAGAAATAAGATTGAGGGACCAGAATACCTAGCATGAGTACAGTGCAGGATAGGCTACTTAGACAATACTAACCTAAGACTAACCCTTGGTTGCTTGGTTGCTTGGTCTCGTCAATACGATGAGGAGAGACCCCCTCGGGTCCGCTTCCGTCGGCCATGATCAACAGAATATGGCTGCTGGCTTGCCTTGTATCATAAGTAACCCGGGATGTCAACACGGCAATAAAGGGTGGGGCCGTAGTGGGGGGTTAGTCGCGGCTGAAGAGAGCGGGAATGAAAATGAGACGACCGAGCCTGCCGAGGTTCCCTTAGTGCCTTAGTGGAACAGGGGAGATAGGGATTTAGCTAATATCTGCAGGCAAGTTTCAGCTTCTTAACTTCCTAACTTCCTAACCTCCGTCGGCGTTAGCTATTATTAAGCTTTCGGAAATATTAGACCTTAAATGCTAAGTTCCTAGCCCCACATACACTTTAAAAGGTGCTTTGTTTCTCTACATGTAGAGACCTTCTTCTTTGAGCAGTTTTCTACTAGGCGGTTGATGCGGCCTGTTAGGGCTTTCTACTCACCCAGGTATACATGAAACGTAAAGGGCTAATAGGTCGGATATGAAAAGTTCGGCCTACTTACACGACACTTTATCATATATTCAATCATTCCTCTTTGCGTATAAACTAGAGTAAGATGCTACATAGGACGTTGAAGTATAAGGTATAAGGTGTAAGAGGTCAACTTGCAACATTTTAAGCTTGTGGTTGGGTAAAAATTTCCTTAAGACTCATTGATTAAAAGGAGCATCTATACGTTGGGCAAAGAAATAGATTGGTGAATAATACCCAAGTACCTAGGTATGTTCTATTAGGGTTGGACATTGCAATATATCGGGATCTTGCAGGTGAGGCTGAACCAGGACCTGAGTCAGGGATTGCTTTGCCGGGTGCTCAGCTTGAATTTGGGTTGCTCCTAATGGTTTGGGTGGTATATTATTTTTAGACATCGGATTAACCCTAAAGTTAAACGCTGTATTTGAGTTGGCATATGTCCCACCTCTAAGGAAAAGCCTGTTAATGATGAATTAGCAATGTTACAAAAATCTATGTTTAAGTACCTGAACATACCTAATGTACTTACCTACCTTAGTAGCTAGGTACATGGCATCTTTATTACATTAGGCACCTACGAAGGTACATATGTATAATTGATCTACAATAAGCAGTCATACCGAGGAAACTGCAAAGCAGCTACATAAATGGAAAGAACGATTATATCAGGTCCTTCCAATATGTTGTGGTCAGTGCGTACATAATTGGTGAGGTACGTACGAAGGTTGGGGCCAAAAGTCTTGCACATGTCCCAATCTTGGCATCGATTTTCGTACGTCTTTTAACTTATTAATACTGTATCAGCCACACTCTAAGCTGAAGGTCGGATAGTGGCCTATCCACTGAATTCAGGTAGCTTACCACTATATTTATAGCGATATCAGCCACTATAGCTTAAATAAGACCGTGCAGTCTCTTTTTACTCGCACGTGGCTTTGCCAAGCTCATATGTGCAAGACTTTTGGCCCCAACCTTCGTACCTCCTACATGATGTCAAATGGCCCCTATGCAGTTTAGTGGTTTGTAATTACAGGGGTGTAGGTGATCGGCAAGGCTGAATGCGGCGAAGATAGGTGTAATAAAATGGTCCGTGCACTATCAACGCGCTTTCGTTCTTTCCCTATGGAACTGCGCAACTTCAACTTTTCCATCTGGATGCACCTTCCTTCCTACATCGACACCTAATTACAGAACGTCGCTTCCCAAATCAATTGCGAAATTCGATGTGCAAGTACGTATGATAGCTCGTAAAATTAAACCTTATTTTCGGTACCTGGTTTCCCGGACAGCAGATTTGGCTGCCTTAAATTTTCGCCCTCCTCCATCCAACTTTCCCTTTCTTCCCAACTCACACATCATTTCGCAACGATCATAACAATACAACAGCAGCCTGTTCACAGTTCCTGCATACTTCATCTGATCACACATTGCCTACTTTTTCCAACATCCGATCACTTTCCAAATTCAGTTCATCCGAACTTGACCTATCGCACCTACAGCAGGGATATACCTCTGTAGCTTTAACTTCCTCATTTCCACATTTCCATCCATATTTCCTTCCACACTTCTACGTACGACCTTCGCGGGTAGCAACTGTTATTGACCATGGACTCATCACAGCACTCACCGCTGCACAACTGGCGCATTCCCGTTCATTGCATTTTTTGCTCTCACTGCCGCGCAATTCGTGCAAACATCAACCGAGAAGCCCATGATCAGGCGCACTTGAATGCACAAGCCCACGCCCAGGATATCGGTATCTCTCCACGTCCCGCACCTCTACATCGATCTCGAGTTATTAAGATTCCACGATCAAAACTATCCGTAACTATCCAACTTCCGAACTTGAAACACCCTGTTGCGCCTGACGACAGTTCGACCCTTCCCAGATCCAGAAAGCGAATCCGCCCTCGTTGGGGAGAGCCTAGTGAACTCGAGACAGCAGTCAAGCCAGTCGCATCACAAGTAGTAAGTTTATACTTTACCAATACACTTTCAGCTCAAGCAAGCTTTTCTCTATGATCTAGCGCTAACATTAATTTAAGAGCCCGAGCTCTCGGCATCGTTAGGAACCTGCCCGAGATACTTCGCAAGGCTTTGCTACTGAACAACAATACCCTTCAAGAAGGACCGAACCTCTCCTCTTCCACTCTCCCCGACAAATCCGACCACTGAGCCCCGAGACTCGAAGATACTTAGAACGGCCCTTTTTCGCCGTGAATGCGCGCGCAAGATTTCGCGTCGCTGCTCCCAAGCGTGTAATGCCTGGAGCTTGGCCATCCGAGCTTGTCGAGGTAGACAGCGCGGAAGTGCCAACATATTATAATATGACCCTACCTACACCACCTACTCCCGGTCCACTCGCGGCAAATGTTGTTCGCAATGCCTTTACTTATATCCGAGACTCATCTCGTAGTCTCTACACAACCCTGAGCAACAGAATCTTCCGTCCGCGTCAAAGCCCTTCAATTCCGACACCAATTCCTTCCGAAGATGGTAGGCGGACTCCAAAGCGCCGTCGACTTGACCACGAAGAGAATGGACCATTCACCACTACTGAACTGGTGGATGACCGCATGGACATTGATGAGGATCCTATTGCTACTGTACTTACCGGCTCATCGATGAGCGAACTAGAAACATCACCATCTATATCTCCTGTTGTTTCACCGAACTCTGCAGCCGCCATAGCTTCTGCTAGAAGAGCTACGCGACTATTTCCTTATAGAAAGAACGTCGGCTTACCGAGTGATTCACCGAATGGCTCAACCAGTGATCAGACTAATGTGGTAACTCCACCACCCTCGCGCCGAGAAAAGAAACCAGTCCAACAAGAACGAGTACCCGAACGGACTTGGGGACCTTTACCTGCTCCAAAATATGCGAGCATTCAAGAGTTCTTCGCACACGATGACGAGATATGCCTGCCTGGCTTAGAACGCTTGCGGCTCACGCCGAATGATACCAAGGTATATGAACTAGATTCACAACGCGAAGATCGGCTGCGCATTGAGAAGGAGAATGCTGAGAAAGAGCGTCAAGAAAAACTTCGTATCGAAGAGGAACGCTTAAATGAAGCGCTGCGCCCGCTCGGGTTACGGAGACCGAAGGCACCCCTGATTACTCCTCTCAGCGACGAATGGGACCGGAAAGCTAGAGAAGCGCCGGACAACGGCAAAGTGGAGCCGAATAAATGGAGAGGCGCGCGCCATCGGGACGGCGTGGAACTCAAGGCACGAGACTTCAAGAAACTAGTACCCGCGGACTCATGGCTGAATGATAACATCATCCAATCAACTCTAGTCCACCTTGCAACTTACATTAATGATACAGCTGGCGTTGTTCCTAAGCAAACTACACCAAAGTGTGTGGCGCTCTCTTCTCAATACTGGTCCAATTTCATACGCGATCCTAAAAACCATATCTACACCCGAGGGTTAGAGAGAACCTGGGGAATGAAACCAACTAACTTCCTCGATATTGATACGGTGCTCATTCCGGTTAATAAGGATGCCCACTGGACCGTCCTTGTTGTCCGACCATCTCGTCGAACAGTCTCTTATGTTGACTCGTTCCATAAAGACGGGTGGTCTCACATACAGGACGTCCATATGTGGATGGAATACTTTCTGGGTGACAAATATGTTGCCGACGAATGGCGCCAAGAATCTTACAGTGTGCCCAGGCAGACGAATGGGTACGACTGCGGTATGTTTGTAATTACAAACTCTATCTACCTGTCGCTGGGTATAGACCCCAGCGGCTACTCGCAGAGCGAAATGCCTCTGCAGCGGCGCAGAATCGCCGCGATGCTCCTGAACGGCGGGTTTACCGGCCCGTTCGGCTTATCACACCTCTAATTAAGAGGTAACTCTACCTACCTACCTACCTACCTACCTACCTACCACCTAACCGCCTAATCACCTACCCTCCCTCCTAACTCTACCTAACCGCCTAATCACCTAACCTCCCTCCTAACCGCCTAAACCCTTAAACCTCCTAACCACCTAACCTCCTAACCGCACCTCCACCTAACCTAATCACAACTCTACCTAACCTACTAATAATAATTACCTCGCAATAAACACCACCCAAATACTCTACACTACTATACCATTACACCACGTACCTCCCCATTATTACAACTCCTATACCTTTATACCCTCACACCACTACTATATTACTCATCAAACTCGCCGAAACACATAACCGCGTACGTCACTGAGTCACCATTATATAACGTCCTGTATGGACTGGAATTGCATTGAGCCGGTGTTTATTGGAGTTGGTGGTAACAACTTTGTATGCAGCTTGAACTGCATAGCATATCATGTTTGGAAAGGAGGGGCAAGCAGGCGGCATGTCCTATGCGACTTGAATTTTGTGGGGTTTGACTCCGGTCAGCATTTTGAAGATATCCTCGAAGCATGACGGGAACGGAGTTGAGGGAAAGGTCTACTGGAAATGCCGAAGCAAGGTACCGGCGGTCCCTTCAAGCGGAAGGCCGCCGAGGGGTGCGGGGAGTTTAGGGGTTTGTTTGTTTGTTTGTTTATTTTTTGGAATGCTTGGAGAAGAAGCATCGTTGGATAGATAGATGCAATTTGACGCTCTGGAGGGTAGTTCCCAGAGCTGTGATGTAAGACCCCCCATGGGCAAATACAGAGTGTCGATAGAATAGAAATCGGCAAAAAGATGAAAGTAACCACTCACCATAAATTCTCTTTGGACTTGTGAGACGTAGGAAATATCGTAGATTATTGTGATTAGGGGTATTCCTCTATCACATAGTATTGGGCCAGAAGTTAAGGCTGTATGTCACTCCCCGTAAAGTATTGCCCATATACATCGTGATTTAAAGCTTGGTATTATTACATAAACCCACATTGCTTGGATAGTTTTGACCAGGTTGTTAAAATAACCTTTTCTCAAGAACTGCTAGGATCTCAGTGAAGTAGTCAGGGGTCTGCCAAGTAATATTATCCCAAAGGGTGTAAAGTATCTAGGAGGGTGGATGGACAAATAATAATAAATTAAGATAGTGAGCAATGGTAGAGTAAACCGGTATCATTCGCGGGTTTAAATTGCGGGAAGACCTACGAATAGCTGCGGTAGATTAACTGATATACACGCAACAACATGTATGTAACCAGAAAGACGAAGCTTGCTTGTTCGCTCGCTATCTACCCAGGTACATAGGGGGGCAAGAATACCCCGAAACCGCTAATTGATTGATCTCCAACGCATACGACGTCCTACGCCTCGAAACAACCCTACCTGCCCATCTTATTGAACGCCTGCTAATGCAAGTTGGATATATCGCCTCCCTCCCTTCGCCCTCTTCGAGATCTATCCATCCATCTAAAAGCCTCCTATTCTCTTTTTTTCTTTTTGTCGACCGCCGCCGCACCTTGATATTTTCCTCATTGGAGCTTCTTTCGAGACACTAGCTCAGCCTAGATACCTTCGAGTCGTCTGAAATGTGGCCATAATATCCCCTATGGGTTACTTATCCCCTTGTTGTATAGCCCTACTGCGGGCTTTCAGTGATAGATCATGCCCCTATCTGATTGGAAACTCCTATCATAGCTTTGATATAAATCCTCAACCAGTTGTAGTCTAGTTCAAATCAAGGAGCTTCTTCGTATTTTCGTAGACCATCCACGTAATGCTAAGTGCAGGAGCAACCTTGAGTAGATTCGGCATCAGGCCCTTGTATAGACCCCTGACTCCCTCGTTCCGAATCGTCTTTTGCGCTACATCCCATATGCCGGTATAGTGGGCTGGGTGCATTTTGGTGCCCTGAGTCTGTAGCCTCGTGCGAAGCACATTTAGAGGGTAGACTACCGAGGCGCCAAAGGCACCTGATGTTGCTCCCATGATTCCTGTCACGAAAGTGCTTGGTTGAGCGTCCTCCTCGTGAATACCGTCAGCCTTGGCTTTGTATGATATGTAGGTCTTCTTGAGTAGCTCGAATGTGCCCATATCGATGGCCGAATACGGAAACATGCCGATAAGACCCATAGTCACACCCCTGTAGGTGGCCCGGACGCCGCCTTCTGCCCACATCTTCTGGGCAGTTTGCAAGAGAAGGGCATTGCCGCGTGGGCCGCCAGAAACGTATTCTGACTGTAGGCTAACTATTGTATAAGTCAAAGTCATATGTAACTGCGACGTGAGGCTTACCGGAACTTAAGGGTATCTAGGGGATAGACACAAAACCTATATACTCGTTAACCACCATCATATAAAAGGACGAACAGGTGGACATACTGTGCAGTCATGCCTGCTACACCGCCCGCTACAAACTTAGAGTAAGGATTGATTTGATGCATATCATTATGCCCTTCGAGGTTTGCAAGAGTCTTCTTAGCAGCCTCATATGCTCCAAACTGGTACGCGGTCAGCAAGGTTTTAATCCGACACAATACCTTAAGAGATATACCCTAATTGCTGTCTCCGGCATAATCTTAACCACGTTAAGTCCATTGCCTAGTTGAGAGGGTAAGCTTCGAGACGACTCGGAGTAGTCTTGTCCAAGGGAGATAATTACCAGCAAAGAATCCGCGAACACCCCCAGCCTTGTATATGTCGGTGATAGCTGTGACTAAGGGCCCGCCAGCATGTTTCAAGGCACGGATAGCTTGGCCTTTCTTGACGGCGTCGGCGGCGGCATTCGTGCTTGATGATGTTTTCACGAGAAGGTAGACCTTCAATCGGTCGAGTGGAGCAGTAGTAGTACGAGAAATGCCCCCCGCCACAGCACCAGCAATGAAATAGCCTGGATCGGGGAGGTATCTAATCAGCATAGATCTTTTGCTTATTTCACTCAATCCCGGTTCAATCTCAGTGCCTTCTGCTGCGGGAAGCTTCTCTTGCTTAGCGCCGAAGAGATTATCGGCAGGAAGAGTAGTTTCGGAGGTGTCGCCAACATACGGCTGTGCTACAGCCATAGTCATGTTGGTCGTATCGTTGGTTGTCGGAGAATTGTGTGTCACTGTTGTTGTTCTTTGTTCGCGTTCCTCCTCGTTCGAATTCGAAGATGAAGGAATATACTCCTCATCCGGTGGGCAGGCGATTCTGAAGATTGAACCGAAAAGGGTGGAAAGAATATTCGTACCTAAGCCATGAAGAGTTTCCTCGCTGACTACCGAGTCACCTTCAGAATTGAGAGTGAGAATGTCTGTGTAGAAGGTGAAAACTGCCCGCAGTGTGGTGGTAGAATCAGTGTTGTTGGGCATGAAAAGGAGAAAATTTCTAGGGTTCGTAAGATGTCAGTACTGTTTTCTGTTTTACACAATTAGACACGGTGACGCGTATAGACGCGCTGTCCCACAAGCCTTTTACTTCTTAACTCTCGTCCGAACAATCACCATGTAAGTATAGATCTATGCTAACATTACAATAAAACCAACCGACTTTATCTCCACCAGGGTTTAATCCCTCAGAGTCACGAGAAGTGGAAGAGATACAAAATAGAAAGTAAACTAACCGCCATTCTTCAAAACTAATGAATCCATCACGATTGTGATCGATATTCTCAAAGAATTCATCTAACCGACGTAGCGGGACCGCAAGACCAGCACGTTGAAAAGCATGGTGAAGCTCTTCTTTATCAATTTTCCCATTTTGGTCTCGATCGATAGATTTAAAAAGAACGTAGAGCTGACGCTCAGCAGCTTCGACAAAGACTCGAAATTCTATATCCATTCCAATCATGATTAGTTGAATTAGTTGAAGATATGACGGCATGGCGGAAATCTAGTGCAGGCTCTACAGACCATCATATTGAATCTTGCCGTCGCCATTCGAATCCACAACCGTTATTATAGTCTTTAACAAGCCATCGGCATTTTTCATTGCTGCCCGCACCAAGTCAGCAACAAAGCTTCTAAGGTCTAGGACGACCAAGGCAGGGGATTGGTTGCTAACGATGATCAATCCTCTTGAGGCCTTTTTGTAACCCTTTCCAGTCCAGCTCGCCCGTGCCTCGGTAGTCCAGTTTTCTCCAAAGCTGCTCAATTCGTACATCGCGCTCGTTCTGCGATTCCTCCATCTCCATCTCTAACTTGGTGATCACCTTGGGAATGTCCATGCTTAACGATTCATGACAGGCACGGCGGAAACAGCGAGGAAGAGGCTATCGCAAAGCTAACCATTGGATGCTACGGATAGGGCATCATTAGACGCTATGTCGGGGGTCGTTGTCGCGACTCGTCCGAGATCATTCCCTCAAACAAGTTGATAATTGAAAGTCGGTTGTTGTTTTTTTTTTTTTTGTTTTTTTTTAACAAGTTCTAAGGCTTGAACGGGGCGCGCGAAAATGACAACCGTCCCGCAAAAGGAACCTCGGAGAACAAGGAATCCATGTCGAACCCAATTTGACAGCCCGATAAGCCGATAAAGCATAATGCCTACTGGATGAACCTACCGGATGACGATGCTCCCGTGCGGACTAAGGGGAAGGGACTGTGTAATGCCCGTCGAATAAAGGGGGTGATCACAGTGCAAATTATGTCATACCGACATATGCTAGTCAATGCGCTAGTCGATGCAACCCCCACTTCGTCCGATATCTCCAGCTATATCCATCCTAGATCTTAATAACACGCAAACTTGTCTATCCAATCTTCATCTTTCTCAGCCTTGGCTTGTGTAAGCTATTTCTTTTCAGCCTCACAGGGCTGGGGTTTCCAAAACCCCATCATGTTCCCCAATCCTTGCATTATCTTCGACTACATACCCTTTAGGTAGTGTCTTCCTTTAGGCGTAATGGCGGCCAACTACTGGGAGTCAACCCAGAGGCGCTTCTGGCAGTTCTCGAAAGATGAACTTGCTCAGATGCGCGACGAGCTAGAGAAAAGCGACCAGGCCCTAGTACAAATGTTTCCCTTGCCACGGAGGATGCATCTGAATATATACTTTAACCAACGTAAGATCTACAATCGTATCGCCTAATCCAAGGCCGCGTGCTAATGCTGGTTATCGGTTAGAACTCGGTCGTTTAGGAAAGAGACTCAATGTCAAACAGCAAGCTATTGCCACGGCTCAGCTATACATCAAGCGATTCTATTGCAAAGTGGAAATTCGTCGAACAAATCCCTACCTCGTTCTCACCACGGCGCTATACTTAGCTTGCAAGATGGAGGAATGCCCTCAACATATCAGGATGTTTGTGACAGAGGCACGATCTCTATGGCCAGGTGCGCCCGACTATACTCGCGTTAAACTAGGCTTTTTCGGCTGACAAGAATATATTCTTAGATTTACTTCACGCCGACGTTTCCCGCGTCGGCGAATGCGAATTCTTCCTCATATCCGAGATGAACTCCCAACTCATAGTCCACCAACCTTACCGAACGTTAACGAGCCTTCAATCCGATTTTTTCCTTACTCCAGATGAGATCAATCTAGCGCTGTCGGTAATTAACGATCATTACATGACAGACTTACCGCTCTTATACGCGCCACATATCATTGCGCTCACGGCCATTCTTCTTTCCCTAATTCCTCGTCCAAATAATAATACCAATATGGCTACAGTAACGGCGGCGTTAACACAAGCCCAACAAAGTCGATCTGCCACCAGTACCGGCCAAAATACGCCTGGAGCCACAGAAAAAGACAAACAACAAGATGTGCGAATGGGCAAGATACAGCGCTTCGCTGCTTTCCTTGCCGAGAGCACCGTAGATATTGAGGGTATGATAGACTGTACGCAAGAGTTGATCTCGTTCTACGAATGCCACGAGCAATATAATGATAAGATAATGCGCGAGCAAGTTAACAGATTCGTCAAGGCCAGAGGGTTAGACAAGCACTAGATGTCGTCACCAAAGGTTAGGTAGACAATGTGTTACATAAAACGGAAGAAGAGGCAGGGGGCGGCCTTTGATACTCGTAAAAGGCATCGAGTTGTTTAAAAAGCGTCGCGAAATTATCATGTACCAAGTTGACCACATGTCAATACCGGTGTATATTAATATGTCTACGAAATAGCGGGATATGAGATTGACCTGAAATCCACGTATCCAACTTTCAAATTACATCCGCTCCGACTATATAAGAGATACTGTATTTGAATGGAGATATCGATGAGTTGCTACGGAGATGACTTCCGATTCCCCGTACGCATATGTACCTATATAATGTATAGTTTGGAAATGTGTGATGATATCGGCATGTATCAACGTGTGGGGACCGAGAAGTTGGAGTTTGTGTAAGGCATAATACCCAATTGGAGTGAACACACCAATTACGGACATGCTGTGATTCCTATGTAGCTAAGGCAAGTAGTATTTATTATTGGAACATTTCCGCTGTCTCGGGAGCCCATTTTCAATGCATGTGTGGTTGGGTCTTCAACTCTTCAGAGGTTAGGGACTTCAAACTCTTAACTTGGGTAGTTGGTGTGTCTAGAACGATCAGTTGGTGTCCCTTGCACCAGATCGAAGAGTTACTCGATATGAAATCGTACACTTATCTCATCTAGGCATTGTTCAAGACCCACGAACCCTGACATGCAGAAGGGATGGAAGGGTGGAAGAGTGGAAGGGTTAAAAGGGTTACGCTGATAAGAACGTACCATACCATGTAAGGTTCCCCGCAAGACGGGATGGAATCCGATATAAATCACGTCAAATGTTACACGTTGGGTCGAACAGTTGGTCGGTGCCGCCGTAAGCGAAACAATTTTATGTAACCCGCCATCAAAGCTTCATGAAGTCAAATGCATTATGCCATACGGATTTTTATATGAGATTAAGGAGTATATCGTGGCATTGTTAAGACCCTCAAAAACGTGTATGTCTCAGTACCTAATTAGTATTGTACATATTGGTAAATGAACGTATGTAGGTACATAACGTTTAATATTTCATAAGTGAGACTGGTGCAAAACGGAAGCGCAGGGTAGCAATGGGTCTCGTTTAAAAATGTTCAGTTTCAAGAAACGGCTGTGCCGCTCAGCCTCTGCCCTTAGCTAAACTTACATTTGTACCTGGTCCGAGCTCGGTACCTCTTGTCCACTCAGGTGTATGCATGTATCTACGTACCTATGCACGAATTCGTGGAGGAACGCCAGGTTTTGTAGGTTAGGTACCTCCTAACCTACATGTAACAAACCCACATAGGTACAGCTTACAGCAAGAGGTACATTGGGTAACATTGGGTAACACGGCTTGGGAAGACTTGCCTAGCCCTCTACTATGTACATTGCAGTAAGACTCGCTCTCTACAATCAGAACATCCACATATCGTCAACTTCTAACAGGAGTATGTTCTGACATGAGATGTATGGATGAGTATACTCACCAAGAATCTCATACCACCGTTCATCATGAGATACTAATAGAAAGACCAAAAAACCAAGTCTCTTTCTCGAACCCGCAAAGGAGAAGCAGCAAACAGGCTAACAAGCACCTGATACAACAAGCCACAAATATTTTGATCGGGACTAGGACCGGGATTCTCCTACGTCGGCAGATCTACCACATTCGGAATTCATTGCCCAAATTTTCTCGATTGTTCTCCCAGAGCCGGGACACTAAAATAGCAGCAATCGCTGCCCTGACTGACTGCCGCCTGACTTCGGTCTAGCAGTCTAGGAACAGATGGATGTCACCCAGAGACCTTCTAGTACAGCGATGATCTCGTTCTCGAACAAGTTGTGGGAAAAGACCCGCATACATATGTACATAACCCAACTTGGCCATAGCAAGATCGACGGTAGGTCAATGGTCATAAAGGGATGTGGCGAATGCAACTAAAAGAAGAGATGGCATCTTCATTAATTATCCATTCGTATCTACACATCTACATATGTATACAATACATACGGATAGGTTCAATTTGCCGCTTTCGTCACTTCACAAGCGGCTGTAAGTAAGACTGTTGCAGTCGAACAAAGCGGGCGGCTGGGCCACAATCGTCAACGTCCCAGTCGGCGCAATTCAACTCTTCAATCACTCGCAGGAGACTTTTCTACAACCGCGAGGAACTCTTCAAATGCAAATCGGGTAAAATCGTGCAAGCCTCTCTTCTATCAGTGTGCATACCTACGTATGCAAGCCTACACCATCTGACCATTAAGGGTCTACGAGTTCTAGACTCCAAATTTCAGGGACCAGAGGCAAAGTTCATTACACATGGCGGCAACTTGCGTCTTCTGTTGGGCGGTCACTAGCCACTCAATCGCGATTTTGCCTCCGACGATCCATGCTCTCATCTTACACAGATGCAGACAAGCAACTAAATACCAACTTATCGCAGGTCGTGATAGGTTGGTTAACTATTCTATGTTTTGGTCTCACAACCGTACAGGTTTGAGTAGAATATAGATCAGCAGCGCATATTACGTTTAACTTCAGGTGAGTAAGCGCCTGGATGATAACTTTCTTACACATATTCCGGCAAGCATATCGAGTGGTCGAGTTCGAGAAATGAAACCGCAGGACAAAGGCAGGAATGCTGTCAGCCTTTAGGAGCGCGGGAAATTCAACCGTTCCCTTACATACCTCAAAGTACCTTCTTACCTCGTCGAGGCGGTTGTGGGCGGTCAGAACTCTCTTGCCGCCCTCCCTACTGTACTATGTACAAGTCGTCTGCTAAGCTGCCTAATAAAAGGGAATAGACCAGCATTACCCCCGTCGTCCCAAACCCCAAGCAGTCTCATGCTGCACGAGACCAGGTCCGTACCCACTTGCACCGGTATGGTGGCTTGCAGGACTGGTATGTGCAATCCTAACGATTATACGTTTAGGGTAAAGTCCCAGTTCAACATCCATCATCCGCTCCACCGCGCAACAAGGGTTTCTAACCCCCGGACCCGGAATACTATATCACAGTACGTATGAGTGGTCACAGTGAGAGACTGGCAAGGCTGCAATCCCACGCAAGTCAAAGGACCGAACTTGCCTCTGACTGGCCTAATTGGTACCGACGTAAGAAATTGCCTACATAGGGGAAGCCGCCGCTGCAAGGCAGGTGTTGTATTTACTACGTTGTTGTCAAAGGGATACTGGGCATTCCCTTCAGGACTAAACACCATAATCACTCGTTAGTTTCGACAAAGTCGGGACGTAAATGATGAGATCAATCGGATATTGACCATCATCCCTTTAAGCTTTTGGTAGATGTGTTCTATTCATTATGCCATGGGTAAAAGCGAATTTAGAAATTGAATTAGACAATTACCAATTAACCCCATTTCAAGTCTAGCGAGTTCCCCTTTAGGGATAACACTCTCTATGCAGGAGTTGCCCCTGAATGCAGGCAAAGTAGGTAGGGGAAGTTATTCAGGTTATCAATCTATCTAGGTTACGTTAACTACGTATGTAGGTAACAAGGCTGGATCATCGAAGGTTAGAGAGAGCATCCTACTACGTACAGTCCCAGAATGGAGAAACGATCATCCACGCGAGGCTCGGTAATGCGTCGTTGGGGATGTTGGGGATCTGACGATGGTGGGTTCATACATATCAAGGTCGAGTGGCGACAAGAATTATGAACAGTGCATAAGATCCGAGCATCAAGATGAAGCTATTCGCATTAAGACGACATCGAACGATTAACCGATTTAGTAGATTGAAGCCGTGTTCAACCTTTCCTCAATCGACCCACCCGTTCAATAACGCCTTCGTCGAGTCTCCTGATCTGTGCTGACTAGGTACTATGTACATACCTACATACATGGCGTTTTCCTAAACGTTCTGAGGCATGTATTTTGTATGTAGTTAATGAATGAGATAGCTTGGATTGGCTGATTGGATAGGGCTTTCAAAAGGGAACCAAATTGGCTTCCCCTCCCCGACTGGTGCCGACTGGTACTCTTGACCAGCCTCGTCCAGTAAAACAGATGGCGCAGCTTGCAGGCTGGCAGGCTATTATTCCTTTGTCCCAGACCACAGCACGCGGACTCGCTACGGTAAATTAATCGGCAAGCTACCTGCTGGCGATCGCATTGCAGCGGACATCTGGTGACGGGTGACTGGTCAAGGGACGGCCAGCATTACAAGCATTACAAGCACCGTAATGTATATGGTTTGTTAGGGGAAACAGGCGGCCAAGGGGAAGCGTTCTGCAGAACAAGCCGACTGGCACTGTGGCATTCCTGGGAGCAATGAGAAGCAATGAGAAGCAATGAGAAACAACTAATGTTAGGTACATAGGAACAACATAAGAACAACATAAGGAACAACAGCGCCCATCGAACCGGTCTTTATAGCTAGTCCTCGTTTGTCTTAGCGTTAGTATATGTTATCCAATGATCTCAGGTGGCGACTCCAGTTTCATTCGCCAGCTCAATTCCCCACCCGCCATCAATCAATGAAGGAAACCCTTGAGGCTTGTGGGTCCAAAAGAACAGTGCGTTGAGCAGGCCTTGCAGGTTCTTGCAGATCTTACATGTCTTTGCAGCTTCCGCTATTCAATGTTGTCCTCCCGCTAGGCCTTATATAGACTAGCCCCAGGTCTTGAACCAGCAAGCGACCCAAGCGTCCTATGAGTTCCCCCCGGCCTTGGCCCACCCTCCTTTGCCGCCTTCTGCTGTTCTGCTGCTTCTTGTCCATCCAACAAAATCCTTCGCCTTCTCCGAATCACAGCTTGCCCTTCTCCTCTCCCGCCTTCTTCTCTCTTACTCTTATCGATCCTACCACACTCACACCCGTCCCTTAAACTTTCTAAGCCTTACCCCAGAAACGCACATATCGAAATTCTATAACCAATTCTACCACCTCTTAACAACAAACTTTCGGAAAGCTTAAACTATTCTCTCTCTCACATTGCCACATTGTGCAAATTGCCCAGACGAATTCTTATTGTTGTCCTTCCTAGTTGAATTTTAATAGCGCAACGGTCGGCAACTTTAAAGCACCCCGAACCCAAACAACGCACAGAACCACACACACACACACACACATACATACACACATACACCGCCACCCAACGTCTCTCCTCTGTCCAACCACTTTCTGTAATCTACGACAGCTACTTTTGAACAAAATTAGCATTCTTTTACACATTCCCCTAAGGGAAGAACAATCATAATGTCTTATTACAGCTACAACCATCATCAACCAACAGCACCCGCTCCTTCGGTTTCGCACAACCACCACGGCGGTCGAAACCGGAGAGCACCGAGGCTCTCTGTATCTCAAAATTCTCAGAAGCAGTTTCGCGGTGTGAGGAGCATGAAGGAGCTTAGTGAATCTGTTTCCGTGAATGCTTTCCGATCACAATTTGAGGCAAGCCGCTCTTTCGATCTCGAGGACGACATGGAGTTTTGCCCCAAGCTGTTAACGGAGATTGATGTGAGTCAGGCCAGCACTTATGATGTTGTCTAATACGTCGTTTATTCTACAACGTCGTATTGATAACTCGTTCGTAGTACCAACATAATACTAACCTGCTCGTCTATAGCTGGTGTCGATAAGCAGCGCTTCTTCCGACCGATCTTCACTATCCAGCAACTCGCCTAATGCTTCACCCACGCAACACCCGCAGCAAGTTGCTACCAGCTTCTCTCTCAACTCTACCTCTCCAGCTTTTATTCCACCTACTTTCCAAACTCAGCAGTCGAGTCTTAAGTTGCATGCACCCGCCGCCACCCGGGCGCGCAACGCCATCCCTATCATCAACCCCGCCAATGGCCTGACCATGTCCAGCCCGCCGCCGTCCGTTTCGCCTGCCCGAATGCAGCACATCGGCAGACGGTGGTAGATGGCCTATCGTCTCGCTTCCTCTTTGGATTCTGAGATGACTCACCATCTGACCACTCGTTTGCAGTTGTTCTGAACATCTTCTACTTTCCGTTTAGAAGACATTTGCTGCTCCTATAGCAGCTGTTCATCTTGGCGGGCACCGGTACGGATATCAGGCATCGACAACACATCTTCAGGTCATTTTAGGGCTCGACTGCGGACTCCACCTTTACTCCACTTTCTCCCTGTATAAAACATCCTTATTCGACATATAACTAGTGTTCATCGTAAAACTTTCTCCACGGATCTCCACGATGGGCGCGAATTGGCATTGAAGATAATCGATACCACCTGATTTCTGTTTGGTTTGAGAAAAGGGAAAATATCAATAATCCTGGTGTTCCGACCTCGAAAGATGGGGGCTGTTTGGGTTCGCAAATGGGCGTTTTAAATCACGGCGGTTTTGCATTTCGTAATTGCATCGGTGTTCACGACACAACGGAGTCATCGGGTTCAATCTGGGAGCGGCACGATAAAGCGTCATCACGGGTTATGACATTTGAGCAAAAAAAGAATACCACTACACATATAGAACAAGTGTTTGGCGACGAGGGGTTGGTTTCTATTTTGTTTAAGCAGGCAGGTGGTCCTTCCATCGGGGCGGAGTTGTGCTACTCGGCAAGGTCTTTTTTTCATGGGAAATATCCGGGTTAAAGAGAATCTCAACACTAAGTAACGGGATTGGGTAGGCACTCGGAGTGTCTTGATTTTTTATTTTTCTAAGCTCATGGCACGAGACGGGAGTTGGTTGCGCGGTGCTTTGGGGCTGCAAATACAGGGCTCATATTCATGTCATCATCATCATCGTCTTTTGTCTCCCTTTTACCATTTTTATTGTCCTTGTATTACGGTCGAGGGATGAGAGGATACCAGTCCATTTCTTTCGTATTATTCCCCCGGGCAAAGGTTCTACCAATTGGGTCAAGTGCATCACTAGGTTTCTTCTCTCGGGCGATTTGGGGGAGGATGGAATCTTTGTGTATAGGAAATCATATTCGGGCGGACAAGCGCAGGCGGCGCGGAAATGGGTACACGCCAACTGGTTCCCTAACGGCTGTGTGGCGTTTACCTATTTTGGTGTTTGTGTGTGAAGATAAAAAGAGAACGCCTTTTGTTGGGTGTCTTCTGCCGTACATTCGATGTATTGAATTGAAATGGGCGAAATATGTGCCTCTCACTTTCAAACTACCGTGTTCTTGCATTTGTGATGATGTGGCTACTGATCATAGTGATATTGTAACTGTTGATATGTCTATTTGGGTATATGGAAATCATGGAAATTGTCTACTTTCGGTTGGAATTGGTTACTACGATTCATGAGACGGGAGGCTAGACATCCCAATTGTTGTCTCATCCATCTTCGGATCGGTCTAGCAACGGTTCCGATGGAGGCAGTGGACGCTATGCAGAGATGTCTCTTTTTGGGTATGTATCTAATTGTTTCTCGGTCGACCGGCCGGCTGGGTACTTACCTAACCAGTGTATGCGTCTATGTTTATATCGTGTATGTATATCGTGTATGGATGTATACTATATAGTTTGGTGGCTGTGCGTATTCATGTACCTATGCGCGCCGCCCCGTTCCCCGTCGTCTCCCCGTCGGGCTTGCTGCATGCGAGTCTGGCGAGTTTTTTGGGGAGTAAGTAAGTAAGTAAGAGAAGGGAGCAAAAAGGGGAAATGGGCCTAGGTAGGTATCTTGCTCGTTTGAGATTAGCGGTCCGTCGGGTCTGCTTTGCTGCATATGCGGACGCCCCGCACCCCGTACCGGCTTCTGGTTTTTATAGGTAGGTAGGTAAGGCGTGTTGGGTTGGGTTGGGTTGGGTCAGGTACTGTGTAGGTAGCAAATTGGTAGGTAAGTAGGTAGGTGGGTAGGAAGGAAGGTAAGGGAGGCGATCTCCTAGCTGACTGTATGCTGCGTCCCGACTCGGCTGCAGGTTGTCCGTTCGTCGGCCCGGTCAGGTGATGGGTAGGAGATGCGGCGTTGTGTTGCGTGCGCGCTCGGTGGGTGAGGTGAAAGAGTGATGTGAGACTGTTGTTAGTACGAATACCTACCTATGTAGTTCTATAATTGTTAAAAGATATAACTACCTCTAAGTTTATATCGTATGTAGTTTAGGTAAGTATATAATTCCTAAAATGCACACCAAAGTTGAGAGATACTCGCCCTACGTTACCATGTGACGCCAGGACATCTTCCTGCGCTTCTGCCATTGGCGAATTGGACCGGTTTCACAAGCTTTGGCAGTGTGTCGATAACGGAGTCCCGTCGAATACTGGGGCCAATTAGATAACTTCGGTACGGTACGGGGTGAGACGGAGGCCGCTGCGAGTAATACCATGTGTGTGTTACTCGAGACTTGATGCGGGTAAATGTAGTACTGTCAGATATCAGATTGGTAAATGTGGCTGCTCATTTAGGTAATGGGCTCTATGGAGCAATGGGGAGCGTAATACGGACGGACGGAACTACATAGGTATGTAGTGTTGAAGATTTCGAATGTGCCTGTTCCCAACAATATTATTTTTCATGTTTGGTTTATGATGCTGAGATTTAAAATGTCGACTTCTTATTCTATGGATTTCTACGTATGAGGTTAGGACGATGCATAAGACTGCGTAATGGCAGCCTCGCATATAATACTTACGGCTACAGCTTGAAGATATGTTTGATGTAAGTGTATATATATATGACTGCTACTCCACGATTTCACCATAGGTATAAACCATGGTTACCCCAGGCTAGACCTAGTTCCTTATACTTTGTTTATCTTATGAAGTTCCCGTCAGTGTTCATTATCTATAGTTAGAGTAAGTAACTCATAAGACTTTAAAGGTAGACTTATCGTTGGACTTGGGACACTTCAACTACTACAATCGTACAGAACCTTCCGTACTAATATAACTATTATTACTTTGAGTTATCATACGATTTTGAGGATATTCACAAGAGGTACTCTGGCTTATGGCATCTGAATGCCACTTCGGCACAGAGTCAGATCGCCAATTTGAACCACGGGAACCTGCAACACGATGAATTGGATATTGGACCTTCCCACATGCGTTTACCCGCAAACTATCTAAGCTAACTCAAAGAAGAGACATCTACATAGTTATGGGTTGCTACATGTTTGAATACGGATTCGTTTACCTTTGGCCTCTGCTTATTAGCTCTAACGTCCACCATTTGTATATTAGGGACAGTTCACGATAATTTCCGAGGCGTCATTAAAGATGGCAAGCTACTTGTCTCCATAGTGGGATCTGAGATTTGGACACGGTGTATTTATTTACGCCATGGTTAGTGTATGTATTTGAAATTGATCATATTTTCTATTCGGGGACAAAGATTATTAAGTTAATAATCAGATGCAACGGTTAGGTGGAGAAGTGATGTCGTCTCTGATGTTATGTATCAGTGTATTCCCAATGAGCCGAAGAAAGAAAGCGGACAAAGCCGAGGAATGAACCGTGCGCTAACTATTTCCAGTCGGGACCAATCATATTTCATTAGATTAGCATAAGCCATCTGAGGTACCTCCTTACAAACTGGTGACGTCATAATATTAGGTAGATTCCTTGAGAGCAGCGCCGTGTTCCATGACTACGAGACAATTACCTTGAAGCTCTTTGGGATAAGTTCAATTGGACTAATAAGCTACCTGCTATCTACTACATACTATCTACAACCTATTCACTTAACTATACAAATACAGCCGTTTACTTAGAGACCTTATACCATCTCAAGAAACTATATCAAACACACATAACAACGATGGCATCCAGAATGCTCTTCAGATCAGCCGCCACCATTGCTACAGGTAGGCAAGCAGTAGCACAACGGACCTTCACCACCAGCTCCGCAAACCTAGCCTACAAGGAGAGCAGCCGTAAGTGACGCCACCTCCCCTCCCCCAAGAGAAAGTACCACCCGTTGGCTAACATATGTAACGCCTCCCGCATAGACGGATCCGAAGCATTCGACCCCGAAAAGCACAAGCAGGATCTGCTAGCGAAGCACAAGGAAGGCAAGGGCCACTGGAAGCCCGAGCTGGCATCAGATAGCGAGGAAGCCGTAAAGGCGGACCGGCACGGCGGCAGCGGCAAGGAGGACATCACGACCCTACAGGAGCGCACCAAGCGTGCTGCGGAAGAGACTAGCAAGGCTGGTACCAGCATGCGCGACGGGTTGTAAGGTCTGGGCGTTTGTAAGAAACTAAAAGGACACTGGGCTGACTGGTTCAGAGTCGACTTGATGGATAAGGACGGCGCGGGCCCGACGAAGTAATACGGGTGGATGAGTGGAATGGAGATGATGGAGACGATGGCTTTGTTCGGTTGTTATGGTAGGCGGCTTTATTGAGGACTCATTCAATTTGTATTGTACGATAAGAAGTGAATATGGACTCAGGGTCTATGGGTTAACTGAAGCATCTAGTATACATGCTTGGCTATCGTTCTTCGCCAATGTGCAACCTATGAATCTTCGCCTATAGCTAGAATGGAATGTATTCACAGCTCAACTGTTACAACTATTACTCTTCAATTAAGTGAACTAGGCTGTAAAAATCCAAGGCCGTGTATGGCCCGCAAGTCGATTTATATCAAATACCCAAAGAGAATATACGATGTGTAAGTCCGTGGTGCCCGTCCACGTATAAAGTACCTATAGTACAAACAATGATATAATCAATCAATGTAAGTCTCCCCTATCAAACGCCATGCCGACGCCATGCAAAATGCAACGAGGACTCGAGTATGCAGTCCGACCCAGTCCTGTCCAGCACAATTACCACATCCCGCCTCTTTTCTAACCCCCCCTTACGTACCCAGCACATCCCCCTCTCGTGTTCTTTTGTCTTCTCCCCTTATTTCAAAATCGCAATAAGCAACACCAACACAATAATCAAGATGATTATGGCAATCATCTGCTTACTATCCCCCGCCGCCCTCGTAATCTTGCCGACCTGGCGCTTTGCGCGATCTAGCCGCCCCTGGTGCCTGTCCACCGCGCTGTCGACATCATCTAGCATGGCGACGTGCTCGTCTAGCTCATCGCCGATCTGCATGCTGAGCTCGCGCTGGCGCGCGATGCTAGCTCCCAACGCGTCCAGCTGCTCGTCCTGCTGGTTTAAAATGCGCTGGTGGTACGCGTGGATCTGCGCGTTGTCCATCCCCGCCGCCTCGTCCCGGTACCCCAGGCTGTCGTCCCCCGGGTTGTCGCGGTACCGGCTTGCTCCGAATAGTTGCGCCTCGAGGTCCGGGTCTGCGGTTGCGGAGGGGCTCGCGGGGTTGTCGGTGAAGCGCACGGTTTTGGAGGCCGTGCGGTTGCCTTTGGGCCGGAGATTCGAGGACGAGGAGGCTTGGGGAGGAGGGTTGGAGGTGCTGTTGCGGGGGGAGGTGGTGGCGTGCTCGAAGTCCGAGCTCAGGGCCGGGTCGTTCGGATGTTTGAGGGTGGATTCGCTGGATGGCGAGGAGAAGCCGTGGAATTGGGATGTCAGGTCGTCGTACTGCTTCTGTAGGCTGGGAAGGGCATCGGAGATGGTGAGGGAGCCACTGTAGATGTGTTAGTATAGATGGTATATCATAAACCCGATCGCCCAAGATGTTATCGCATACTCTTCATCGCCGGCTTCCTCGAGCCTTTTCTGTTCCTTCTCTAGCGCTTCTAATCCATCTTTGAACTGGTCTAAAGATCTAGATATGTGTCCGTCCTTCGAGTCGCCATCGAGATTGAGGCTCTGCGCTCGCTGCCGTTCCAGCAGGGAAAGCTTGATATGGTCGGCCAGGAGGTATAGTTGGTTCGGATTAGACATGGCGACCCGTCGTTCGTCAGACTAGCGCGTGGGAGTCTGGGATGGGGAAAGATATGTATGTAGCGTGACGAACCGAACCAACCGGGGGATGCGGAATAGTAGAAATGTTGAATGCGTGTGCGTGTTGCGTGTGCGTGTGCGTCTGAGGCCAAATTGTCTGTTGGGTGGTTCTCGATGGCTGTAAGTTGTAACTTTGGTAGCAGGAGATAGCTAATAATAGGTACTGCCTGTAGTACAGCGGGAGTACAGCGAGAGTACAGTAATCTGGACCAATCCTAGCGGCTAACTCGACCTGTAATTGCACGCAGATGCAAGATGCGAATAAGACCTACCAGCCTTGACTTTTTATTACATACATCGTGCATATGTGCATATATTATACACTAATCGGGGACTATGCATTTTCTCCGCATCTCGACTTATTACATACCTCTTTATGTACCTAACTTGGAACCTTATGTAAGCATGCTCATTTTCTTCTCTAGTTAACTATTCTTATTCTTCTTTTGTTTCTAAAACATCCACCAACTATGATCTCCGCATTACCATACATAGGTACATACATACATACATACTGTGTAGTCGGCGTCGGTATAAACGAACCCACCAGTCAACTCAAGTTATATACGTACCTGACTTAAAATGACCGGCTACGGAATACTGGTAACGAATCAGACCGGAGACTAAGGGCTGTTAGTCTAGTCTGGTTCTGTTCTACTTTGCAGATTGAGGTATTTCAGCATATAATGGCCTAGCTCTCTGCTGAAATTATTCCCCGTCCTAGTTTGGACGAGCTCTTCAACTACCGAAGTGCTGACCGAAATCCTATTGCTTACGTGTTGGCTTATGTGCCTCACATCTGCGACTAAAGAAACTCCGAGTCGTCCATCATCGTGGGGTCCAAGATGAGTTCCACGATGAAAGCCATCTTTGGGAACCTTCGAAACCAGAGTGTTAGGGGTGTCCGAAGCGTCTGAGAGGTCTGATGAGCAGCTGAGGTAGGATTCATGTTTATTTCTTAGCTCAAGGTACGACGTCTCCCGAAAATGTACAACCCACCGGAACCCTACTACCTTCTCCTATTTGGTTTAGTTACGGACTTGTTACTGGGATGAGATAACTTTGCCCCGAACTGCCCGCACCTTTACGCCGCTTGGCAACATTCCGGCAAGTAAATCGTGTGGGGTTACCTACTATTACTACTACTAGTCGCGCGACTATATCATTTCAAGGGTCCTATTATGACACCAGACGGAATAGTAATGGCCTTGCCCCTCACTGATACAAGCTCGCAGGCTCGACCATCAACTTGGTTGTTTAAAGCTAGGTTGAAGTTTTTTCCGTGTATGATATTGTTGTTTTAGATTTCCAGTGAATCTCTTTTCGTCTTCTACTTATAAGTTATTGTTGTTACCTCTGTCTGGTTTAACTTAAGTCTTAGAGTACTACCTCTCCTAGCTCAGCTTCTTAATACCCATCTGTCGTAGCCGAATCCCACGTTGCACGACATCATGTCTCTTCCTAATGGCGTGTACCGCGCCGATCAGGTCGGCTCTTTTCTGAGACCAAAACCGCTTCTTGAGGCACGCGAACAGGCTGCTGAAGGCAAGCTGAAGGTCGAACAGCTGAGGGAGCTAGAAGACAAATACGTCGCTGATGTCGTCGACAAGCAGCTTACTGCTGGACTACGGGCTATCACAGATGGAGAGTTCAGACGGCAATGGTTTCACGTTGATTTCTTGCGAAATCTTAGCGGAATAGAGCTTCGTGGTGCTCTACAGTCTACCAATGTCAGCGTAGGAGGTACCATGCCTCCACGACTCGTCGTCGTCGACAAGATTGGCCACCCGAAGCCAATTCAAGTCGACGATTACAAGTACCTCGAGTCTCGGATCGCGGCAGCTGGTGCTAAGGCCACGCCGAAAGTCTGCATTCCGTCGCCGACCATGATTCACTTCCGCAACACACGCGAGACTATCGATGAGAAGGCTTATCCGACACTGGATCCCTTCTTCGAGGACCTCGCGCGTGTATATCAGGAGGAGTTAGATGACCTCTACAAAGCTGGTGCTCGCTTCGTACAGCTCGACGACACTAACTTGGCCTATCTGTGCGATCCTAAGATGCGTGCTGAGGCCGAGGAGCGACACGGCGATGCCAACCGCCTTGCTCGTCAATACGCCGCACTTATTAACGCAGCTATCTCAAAGCGTCCCGCCGATTTGACTATCGGAATACATCTATGCCGCGGTAACCACCGCTCGCAATGGTTCGCGCAGGGCGGATATGAACCCGTGGCTGAAGTTCTATTCAAGGACCTGAACGTGGATGCCTACTTCCTCGAGTACGACGATGCGCGATCAGGCGATTTTTCGCCGCTCCGCCACCTACCCGAGAACAAGATCGTCGTCCTTGGTGTCATGACAAGCAAGAAGGCCGCCCTCGAAGACAAGGCCGAGGTCATTAAGCGCCTCAACGAAGCTGCTTCGTTCTGCCCCAAGGGCCTGAAGCAACTCTGCCTCAGCCATCAGTGCGGCTTTAGCTCGACGTCTGAGGGTAATGACCTCACCGAAGAAGAACAATGGGCCAAGGTTAAGCTGGAGGTGGAGATTGCTAAGGAAGTCTGGGGAGATGATCTGTCCATCTAACAAGACACGTATAACAAGGATCTGGTTGGCTACCTTAGGCGATGTGACATGGTCTTGGGATGGTTCTGGGGTATGGTCGAAATTTTTGTATCCGCCACATGGGTAGGTATATGTATGACTGTATGGTAATGAAACTGGTGTGTGCATTTTCAGTGGCAACGGAGTTGGAAGCCGACAAACGGGTACGTTTGCGTTGGCGTTGAGAGTGGTAGGTGTGATTCAACATGGCACAAAGTATGAAGCCTGTATCAGTTGTATACTCTAAAATTAGAAAGGGTAGAATATATAATACTACTAGTAGTAGTAGTCATATACACACACATACACATACACACACACACAAACACTATAAATATAACTATAACTATACACCTACAAGTCATTCGTAGCACATCTTGTAAGACAGAAATGCTGTAACGTAAATAGGAAGACAACGACGCCAGTATATTAACATCGCATATCTAATGAAAAACCCTGTAAACTCCAGGAGAAATCTTATTTGTACAGTATTGCAGACCCCCGCCTCCCCCTTGCCGCCCTCTTCCCTAATGCACACCGGGGAGTTTATGATTTTCTTGCGCCAGAGTTGCCAACCAAACAGTAATATACCACCCACCTACCACCATCCTGCTGTGTAGTATTGTAGCATTCATTGGTGTAATACCTTCTCCCCCAAGAGATGACCTTGTAACCCTTTAAGTCTGCCACCGCTGCTCTTCCAAGCCTACCTGCCAAATCCTCTATAAACACAGGCAAAGATACGTTCTCCTTCTTGTTCGCTCGCGGCTCTCCTGGGGGGGTTCTCCGCCTCTAGGCCAAGGGGTACTGGGGCGTATAATATAAAAGAGACATGAAGACATGAAAACATGAAGACGAAAGCGTGAGCTCATTCGGAAATGGATAGAAATTGCGTCAACCGAGAAAAATCAAAGCTGAGCTCTTCGTATAGAGACCGAGAATGTCGAGAATGTCGAGAATCCCATAATGAACCTCCCGAACAACGACGTTTGTTCCAAGGGACTAGAACATCGAAAAAGTCGAGGCCTTTTTCTGGTCCGAAACGCCCAACACATTTCTGCTGCCACCGAGCGACGGGGATTTAAAAGCCGGAGATGCTACTATGAGAAAGCAAAATCCGTATTGATCCGTCCGAACAGCTGGTCCATCGAACGTGATAGGCCGATCTGATCAAAATAAAAATCTTCGCAATAAGAGAGCGAGAAGAAAATCGGCGTTTAGGCCCCTGGGGGAGGAGGGGCTTCACCCTGGGGCTGGCTACCAGGTTGTTGTTGGGCATAAGCTTGGTACCAGAGCGCCAGGTATTGCTGGTATCCACCGTCTTTACTCAAAATTAGTACGATTCATAAGATAGAGGGATATATTGTTTTGAACTTACAAGCAGCATATGGGTCGCTGGCGGGGTTGGCACCTGCAGGCTCAGCCGCCTGGTTGCTCTGTTGCTGCTGACCGTAGTTGGGGTTGGGATTGGGACTAGGGTTAGGATTATCCCAATCTCGGCGGTGTTGGTTGCGAGGAGGGCGACTTTGGTTGCCACCGTTATTCTTCTGGCGCTGGGAAAATGTAAGTATATCTGTATATCTAAGTTGACATGATAAAATAATAAGGACTTACTACTGCGTCAACTTTGTCTTCAATAGCACGCTTGGCTCGGTTGATGGCGTCGTGAGATCCAATTAGGCCGATCTCACGCTCTGATTGACCAGGAACAGATGCGGTAACGTTAATCTTACATCCGGTGGTGTTCTGCATCTCTCGAATAGTCTCGCCACCCCTGCCTATGATCATACCAACAGCATCACCAGGTACGAAGATAGAATCATTGATCTTGTCACCAGCACCTTGACTGTTATCACGAACTTGGTCAGTTCTCTGGGGGCGTCCCTTATTAACATCATTGCTGGTGTTGCTGGTGTTATTGTTGTTGACATTGCGGCTATCACTTGCAACAATCTCGAGAATCAGTTCCTTGGCTTGGCTAGCAGCATTAGGGGGGCCAATGAGGTTCACAGGGCGCAGGCCATCTACACTCTGGTCCTCGCCGACAATGTTAATGTGACAGCCACTTCGCTCTTGCAAATCCCTAATAGTCTCACCACCACGGCCGATAATGAGTCCAACCGTGCGGTCTGGGACCATAATCTGCATGCAGTCTTCACCATCTCTCAATGTAGCAGGGCCAGGGGTAGTGTTATCGCGACGAGCATGTTGAGGCTTATCAAGACCGGCTCTTGCAAGGGCACCCATGCCACTATCTTCAATGATTCTATTGATTGACGCCTTGGCTTCCGCACGTTTAGCACGAGGACCGGTGATCTTACACTGACGGTACGGGCCAGGTTCACCAGTGGGCGACAAAAATTGCACTCTGCATGATGTTTCCGACTCAACTCGACGGAGGTTCTCTCCTTGTCTTCCGATGATGAGGCCCACTAGGCTCGACTCGATGCTGATTACTTCTGAATCATCATCATCTCTGGGCGAGAACAGACCGCCGCTAGATACGCGACCACGACTAGGGCCGGGCGATAGAGAACGATCACGACCGCGACCGTAATCACGAGTAGGAGCACCACCACGATCATTACGTCGTTCATCCCGGTATGGGTTGACGTTATCACGAAAATTGTCACGACGCGTAGGCGGAGAACGAGATCTCGATCTATAGTGTCTGGCATCCACAGTACGAACATCATGTCCCTGATAAGCACCAGTAGCCGGTCGTTCATAAGGGGTCAAGCCCTGTTCAGTTGCATAATTTTTAGCTTTGGCAATCGCGTCACCAAGATTGACAGTACCCGACGTAATCGGTCTAATGGCACTTAAATCAAAGCCTCCGGGTGCTGAGGACTGTTGTACGGGAGGATACGCCCCAGTTGTATACGGTGAAGGCTGAGTGGTGGGTGGCAGTGTCGCATACGCATTAGGAGGTGGTCCTTGTTGGTAACCCGGCATGGCATATGGTGTTTGACCTTGAGAAGGAGTGGGAGTTCCAGTTTGCGCCGCTGTAGTACGAAGGCATGGTCAGATTTGATTCATAAGGCTATCAGAAAAGGCCGCGCTCGAAAAAAAAGAAAAAGAAAACATGGTCAAAACTCATACCTGCTAGAGCGGCCAGGATCGCCTGAACATTCGGCTGTGCTTCTGCCATTGCGCTGACAATGCAGTCCAGTCGGCGAGTCCACTTGTAGTAAAAATGTCTTCGATGACAAGGTTTTATAGCAAGATCAAAGAGCAGAAGTCTAAGTATCAAGGTCGGCGATAAATCCTTGGTCCAAAGGTCCAAAAGATGAAGTGGCGAGGTCGCGAGGCACGCAAAGGCACTTTTGTGATGACAGACAAGTGTTCAATGTATACGTTCAGTCAATCAATCAATCAATGCGTCAGATGATCCCTCGACTAGAAGTTGACTAAAGGTTGACTAGAAGTTGGCTAGGTCAGATCAATTATGTCGATGGTGAGATGCAAGTCCGATCAAAAGTAAGTCGAAATCAATAGTTGAATTTTTTTTGTTCTGTCAATTTGCGTCTGACCTAGGTGTGATACAGTAGGGGAAGTACTGTGGAGGTGTGCAAGTAAGGGGGTTGAGTATGGAGACGAAGAGGTTGAAGAATGTGAAGAATGTGATCCGGACTGATTCACTGTATGTGAAAATGTGTTGGAATGTTTCCCTATCTTAAGTGGTGAGTGTGTGTCTTCCTTACCGATCCACTAGATGAATGAACGAAAGAAGAAAGGAGAAAGAGATCCTTTGGATAAAAGGTCTTGTATGTTTGGAGGAGGAGGTTTTATTTTTATAAGGAAGAGAGGACGGAACAAATGTTAAATATTGATGGGAAGGTGGACGGACGCAAGAAACCAAAAAATTAGTATGTTAGGTACGGGCTAGGTACTGGGTACGTACATGTATGTACCATGTAGCCTAATACAAACTGTTTTCTTGGGAAGGCGCTAACCTTTTTCGGTGACTTCGAGACAGCTGTTTGTTCTCGGTTATTGTCCTTTGACTGGCTCGCGACGGCCCCACTGCCTTAGTCATTCTCAGACTTTGCCAATCATATGATCACATGTGCAGTGCGGATCTACATACATCCCTCTCTTTAGTTACTATAGTGGTCTAATACATAATTAATGATTGCTAAATATTTACGGTTAGGTCATTACATTTGTTGGCAACATTGAACATCCACATCACGATTTTGAAGTCAGATAAACTTGCCTAATCAATTGCTTATATAGATATTCATTTCTGGCATGGAGCTATCTTTGGTTTGCTATATATAGACCTATAGTCATTTCGTAAAGAGCATGAGTAGCATGACGATCGGAAACATGATGATGCCCATAGCCATGAATACCACCACATAGAAAAACATTCTGAAGGCAATTTTTGTACCCGTAATGAGTTCTTTCTGATACTCCTTGCTGCTTCTCCCTTCTTTAGCCTTCTTGGCCTGTTTTCTCGTGTTTTCTCGCAGAGGTCGATAATGCACACCATCTAACTTTGCTTGATGTTGCTCAGCGGTGTCCTGGGCCATCTTGTGCTTTCTCTGTTTCCTCTTTATCATCCAATCCAGAGTTTGAAGATTCTTCTCGAGCTCAGTCACACGAGCCTTCAATACGGCATCATTGCTCGCGAGTTCCATCACGGTCTTTTCAAGCAGCTGCATTTTAAGCCCTAAGTCCTCAACGCGAAGTTCCAAGTACTGCGACTCGAGTTGCTCTTTCGTTGGCGAGGCAAATGGGGTCGGTGGGATGCTTGAGCCGGATTGCGCACTTGACGCATGCATTTTGGATAACCCAATATGGTTTCCTAGCTCCTTATCTTTGGGCTTTGGTTGCTGCTCTTCCGTGTGGCTCTTTATACTCTCGCCATTTTCAATTTTCTCGTGTGCCGTGTTGTTGGAAAGACCTCGAAATCCATCTGGCAGGGGAGCAACTCTAGACTCTTTGCGGTTTCCACGTGGGAAGGTCTCCAATGCTGGCTCTGCTGCATCTCTTCTGGCTACATTAATCTTGATAGCCTTCCTTTTTTGCCCGACGATTTTGGCAGCCTGATAACGGGATTCTGGTAGTGGTTGTAGCCCGGTTTTCGGTTTATTTTTCATCTTAGAATTGGAGATAGCAGCATCTTGCTCCACCATACCCAGTCCGGGGACAATATCCTTGGTTTGTGCTGTTAAGCAATCTGTGTTCGTAGTTGCCTGTTGCGGTGCTACCATCTTGCTGGATTTTGAAGTCCGGCTCTCTACATTGAGCGGAAAGAATGTACCCAGGTTGCCAGCACGGTTAGCATACTGACCCGGTGATTCGACTGGAAGAGGCATCCAAGCAGCCGAACCCACAATACGGCGGCGCGGTGATGTTCGCGGCGGAAATGGTCGGGATTCGCCCATCTTCATTGACGAAGTAGATCCAAACCCAGCGGACTAGTATTATATTAGGAACACGGTACCCAAAGAGATATTGACTAGTAAAATGAAGGCGTCTTAACCCAGAGAAGAAACACTTTTATCGTACCTGAATATTGCCATGAGAATCGTAGTGCTCTGGTTGTTCGATGTTGGGACGCCCCGGGTGATTACTAGTGCCGACCCGAAGAACTGGCCAAGATCGCTCAACGCTTGTCACTTTTAGAGTCATCTCTGAGTTGAATAAAAGTTAAATACAGGTTGCCTTTTGAGTAGGGATGAGAGAAAGTTATGGGGATAATCAAACCGGCTCGGGCACGAGGGGAGCGGAGGTGAACGTGGATGAAAATATAGGTATAGGATGAGAGAAGGCGTACCTAGGTAGGGTACCTATACCTATGACATAGATAGGTACCTTCTTAGAGAAAAGCTGGAAATTTTGAGACGGAAGGAACATGTGTGGGTAGGGTCAAAAGTAAATAAGGAAACAACATTTCGTTGCTGCCTCCAGTCAGGAGTAAAGATACGTACCCAGTATCTATCCAACGACCTCCTGCTAGGTATGTACTTTCCGTACTTTGGGGATACATAGGTTGCACCTCGTGCAGATAGAGGATTCAGGTGCAAAATACAAGTAAGTGGCTGCCACGGGTAGAAAGTCTAACAATAACAACCTTGTCTTGTATCTCCATGATGATGCATCATCGTCCATGTTGTTGTCCCCACTATCGTCTATAACAACATTTAGAGTCAACACGTGGTTATGCGATACCTGGGGCAAGCCAGCAGCTGTAACACATCCATCCGCATATTTAAAACTTCCATTCGACTTCCGTTCGACTTCTGTTCAACTTCCAATATCATCATCCCTAAGTCTCACCATCGACGAACACTGATCAATCCATAACCACTACACGACGGACACTTTCGCCTAAACACCAAGATGGACGGTAAAGGATCTCAAAAACGCGACGGTCGTTATGGTCGTCACGGTCGTCACGGTCGACACCACGACTCTGAATCCTGGCGAAAACCCTACGATTCCTCGCAGCAAAGTCGTAAGCAAGGTCCCCAACAAGACAATCAGCAAAGTAATCAGCAAGCTCCCCGGCAAGGCAGCAAGCAAGGAAACCAGCAAGGCAGCAAACAAGGCAACAAGCAAGGCGACCAGCAAGACAACCAGCAAGTTCTCCAGCAGGCTCCCCAACAAAATCGCCAGCAAGATTATCAGCCATTCCGCCAGCCGGTTCAGCAGCCGATCCAGCAGCCGATCCAGCAGCAGATTCAACAGCCAGCTCAACAGTCGGTTCAGCAACCAGCCCAACAGCCAGTTCGGCACCTAAGCCACGAATCCAGTCATGAATCCAGTCCCGCACCAAGCAGTCATAGACTCTCCGATGTAAGTTCCGAACCATCCCAATAAAGACATAAATTCTCCTAACCTAGTTATACAGCACAATCATGCCGTTGTGAAAACTCTTGTCGAGGAGGTTGATGCTTTGAGACACACCATTGAATTTGTCGGACAGCGCAATGTCGAGACGCTCGCTAAATTCGAGGCATTGAAGAAGGATTTCTCCAGTTTGATGCAGAAATACACGAGCCTCGAGATTTCATTCAAACAGAGCGTCGCCAACACCCCAGGGGGTGGTCAGATCCTACGGTCTATGGAAGAAAACGAAGAGCGCAGGCGACGCTCAGCCCGCAATTCGGTAGCAATCCCTATTGCAACTCATAGTCAGTCTCGGGATGATATTATACCCGAAGAGAAGTTTTACATTGATAGCATAATTGAGTTCTGCTACGAACTCCTCAACCATCAAGTTCACGTAACTAATGAACTCCGCGAGGAGCTCGACCTGGCGACCCAAGAAAACGCCGAGCTTCGTGCTCGCCTCCAGTCTTAGTCTAAATTTCAGACCGAGCCCTCGCCCCAAAACAGAACTTCGTAGTAGAAAATATGCTAGGGTTAGCCATGTCATTATTTTCTCTTCTATCGCGGATATCGCGTTTGGATTGTGAATCGGCTGGTAAGTTACACGAGCAAACTGTTATGATTAGAGCCTGACAGGCTTTAGGTTATACTGGTTCTCTTCAACCCTACAGATATTATAGGCTACTTCCATGTCGCCGCCATGTAGTCCTTAGCAAACCAGGGAGATTAAGGGTATATGAGGTCTGCTTGGAAAACAGGGGGAGGCATGTATAAACTACGTTCTTAGCAAGAAACTTGGCATTCCAAATGGATACTTCAACTGTTCTCATTCTAGACTGGATTCATGTATCGTCTGGGCTTATAAGTTTTAGTACCAGTGCAAATGACTCGAGTTTGATTCAAAGTCTCATCTGCCGTATGAACCCATCAGTAACAAACCTCTCAATGTAGTTGTTTCGGGATAGTACATATTAGATACGCTCCAATGATTTTAACCGACTGTGTTTGGTCGCGTCCGAGATCCACAAATTGTGCCAATGGGACACTCGCAGATATATCGGCTAGCGGCCGCTTCGATGATATTTTTTCAACGACTATCGAAACTGTTTGAATGTAACGCGAGAGCAAACGGACTCGCTAAATAAACTTAATGCCCTTATATGAAATTTGCCAATTGTTGCGAGTTAGATCCACCATCACTGTCAACCTGATCAGTGTTGGACACGATGGCTACCACGAGCACCCGAGATGCTGCAGAAGCTCGGGAACGAGGCAACGACTTATATCGAGAAGGCCGGTTCAGTGAAGGCGAGTATTTAATATAATAGTCACCTGGATTATGTACTTACAAGTAAATATAGCGTCGAAAGAATATCAGAACGCTGCTACTCTGGATCCTTCAAACCCATCCCCATTGTCAAACCTTTCGGCTGTCAGCTTTGAAACTGGCAGATATGCGGAATGCGTTGATTTCGCTGCAAAGGCGTTAGGCCTTCTCAAGGCTGGTCCAGCAAATGATACTCTTGAACAGAAATTGCTAGTTAGGCAAGCCAAAGCTTATCTTCATCTGTCAAGTCCAAACAACGCCGAAGACATCTCAAATAGGCTAGAGCCAGGAAAGGAGGCCAATGACCTCCGTAACTTGATTAAGGGGTCGGGGGGATTTGGTAAGCTCTCTTCGCAACGGAGATTACTGCGCGAGATGGTATTGCAACTACCACGACTGAAACCATGCATGTAAGTTGAACAATAGTACTGACAAGTGGTCATTGTGTTGACGTTTCGAAGACAGGACGAGCCGGAGTACTTCGGCTCTGGTGACGACGCGGCCGAATCTGTATACACAGCCGAGCTCGAGAAAACTGCTGGCAAGGATCCAGTCTTGTCTATGATGTTCTGTGGTGTCTCAGACGCTCGTCACGTCTTCTGCACCCTCTTACAGTACTCCTCGGAGAACAAGGGTCCTCAGAAGTTACACATAACCATGCTGGATCATAAACCAATTGTCATAGCTCGCGATTTGGTATTTTTCAGCATGCTGCAAGAAGTTGCTACTAATCAAGACTCAAAAGAATCAAAAGAAGTAACGTTGCTAAGTCTGAGTTACGTGTACTGCGCTCAAATTATCCCGCAATTTGCATGGGGCGAATTACAGGGGACTATCAAGCGACTATTAGACAGACTCGAGAAGAAGCAACAGCCCACAGACATGGTTTATCTTCCGGTACAACAGATGGACAAGGTCATGAATGTCCTGAAGAGTTGGCAGAACGAGCTCGCGACGCTGTACAAACCCTCTCAAATACGTCGCAGTGTGGCTGAAAATACTGCCATGTTACCTGAAATGGAAATATTCTTTAAGTTCAAAATAGACCGACGGACTTTCAATGACTTCTCCGTTCTGTTCCCCCCAGAAGATATGCTCCCGATCCTCCAGCCGGGTTTGTCCACCCTCTTTGCAGATTATCAAGCAGGAAAGCATGGAGCTCGGAAGCACGTCTCTAGCTACCTGAATCAACAATGGAAAGTAAACGTCACACTCCTCGATGCGAAACTGCAAGCAAGGTATATGGGATCAGATGCCTTAGGCGTAATGGGAAAACACCCATTCAGAATTATCTTTGCAACGGCGAGGCAGCTATTCGAATTATATCCGCCTACTGGATCGATGTCTTGCTTGAAGTATATGATGAATTTCTTCGAGGAGGTCAGCCTGAGTTTACTCCAGTTACAAGATAGGCTGACGATCGAAATGATTGTTGGGGACATGGCTGAAGTATTGGAGAGAATTCGCTATGACGTCTTGGATTTGGATCGTCCTAAGCAGGGGGGAGATGTAGGAGATTCGGACTCGTCAACCACCGTCGACTGGCCTGCGCGATATCACTCGATCCATATGAACAACGTTCCGTAAGTCAACTTTATATCTGCTCAACTAGAAATGCTCTCGTGAATGCTGATCAAATTACCAGAGACTATGTTGGAGGGTCTTTGACGAGCTTTCTCTACGGAACCCCTATATTAAATAAAGGGGCTGGAACAGGCTTAACCATGTGTATTCTACGAAATCCGAACTTGTGGAGTGGCCTGGATCATTTCAACTCGGAGCACTTGTTAATGCATGACCGAAAATTGGTCGAGCAGCATTTCCAAGTCAAGCTGGCCAAAGGACCTCCAGAAATTGTCATGCCGTTCGACTTGTGCTCCTATCATCGCTGGGAGAGATGCGAGAGCATACGTCCTTACCCCTTAGAGCAACTGATATCGCGACCGAGCTTTTCGAAATGGTTATATGCCCACTTCCTCAAGATATGCATACCATTCCCTCGCCCTCAAGCTACATGTCCTGCCTACGCACCTCTTAATATGACTGTAATTCCAAGGCTGCTGGCTCGGATGAGTGAGCTAGGCTACCCCGGTCATTGGCTGTCGAGTATTATCACATCTCTCGGCTGTGGTTCAATCACCACCACAGCTAGAGCACCTTGGAGCATCGTGCTTAGTCCTGCTGCCGATCGCAAGAAACACCCATCCCGAACTATTTGTGTCAAGCCTTGGTCAGCAGAATTCACTACGCTTGTCGCTCAGTGGCGGGGACTCCTCCCCTTCACTGTTGTGGTACCAAGTGGAATCCTACCTCCACCGGAAGCCATCGCCGAGTACTCTATCAGGATTCCCCATGCCGTCGGTTCTTACCTTGACACTCCTCATTTCACGTTGGTCTTCTGGAACTCTCAAAAGTACGGCACGCCGCCGCAGGATCTATACAAAATTCTTCTTGACGATGAGAGAGGTGATATGACGACCTCTGCTCAGAAGATCAGGGCAGATGGGATCAACATCTTAAGCACGTTCAAATATGTCTCGGATCATTGCACGGCTACCTTCTGGCTGAGGAGCGACACAATGGACTTGATGTTGAGAGAAGACTGGAGAGTGTTTATTTGGAGAACTGATTCGTGGTCAAGACACACACCGGGCCTGCCTCTGAAGAATGCTGTGGTGAAAAAGAGGAACTGGGAAGAATGCGTGGCCGCGTGATATCATGTGTGTAGCGTGTAATTGGTTTACGTATGTGTGGACATCGCTGGTTTGACGATAGGGTCGCGATTCATTACATAGGAACAATTCAAGCGAGCACGTTTTCATATTTCTCGGCCAGCAGCCATACGAACCGACCACATTTACGTAGTGGATTCGTATGAACTGCTGTCAGATGCTGGTAGGAGATCTCCAGAAAAGAAGACCCGCTGATGTGGGCGTGGTTGAGGTCTATTTAAGATATGTTCTACAGGAGTGTAGGTTATCCGAGGCGTCTGGGGTGTTATTAGCGCCGACTGCTTTATTGGCTGATGGTGTCCGGCGCTTAATACCGGCCCACCGTCTATCTCAGAATCTTGTTTGGTATTACGGGGATCAGCTACGGGGTCAAGATGCAGAAGATGCGTGGTATACGCGCATACCCATACCCAGTCGGTATTCCCAATCTGTAGCCAGAGACTTGGGTTACCATTTTTCTCCCCGCCGTACGTGAGTGGCACAAGTCTTGTTTGTCTGAGGCTCTAAACGTAGTGTACCTATGCAGTGTATGGTTTTTAGACCAGTCAAGGGGCTCGGCTAGCTCCGTCCGATACAGCCGCCCGCGACTTTTCCACCAATCGTCTTACACCGCTGCCGCTGATCTGAGATTGCGTTTTAGCCTATGGCGGGAGGCGGCAAGCTGGGTACTGCCAATTTCTATAACTCGAGGATAGAACAAAGAGACCAGTATTTGTAATAATATGACACTGTTTATATTATCACCGGACTTTCCATAAAGGAATATGTTCCGATCGTCGTATACCGCGTGTAGCTTTGTTGGTCTATCTATTCACTTTCCTTTCCAGTGGACTGAAGGCGCAATAAAGAATAAAGCTTCCCCACCTGCCCACCTAAGGCCAAGAACCAAGAACGTGGGGCAGCCATATGACATATGAACTTGATTGGCCAAAATATCTTCCTCATCAGATCTGTACCTGATAAAGTTGTCCACTCCAGTTTTCTCCGATTCTTTTCTTTAACAACTCCATAAGGAGATCCAGTCATTGTCTCCGAGTAAATCAAGCAAGCTGTCTTAAATTAGGTACGTATTATGACTCTTGAATACATGTATCTCTTGGAACCTACGTCCTCTACCCAGATGACGCACATTTGCTGTATCGGCCGTTTCGTACGCCTTATGACGCAAGTTGTCGGCAGGAACCCTTCCTGCATACAAGCGGCGTATGTCTTATTACGACTCTGCAGCGGGAGCTTAATTTGTTATATGCAATCTGCTCTGTCTAATGTCACCTAACCTACCCAAGGTAGCTACCTACCTAGCAATTCAAACCTAACCCTCAACTTCGGATTACGTAGCTCACCATACATCGTCACGGCAATATTGTGACAGTGAATGGGATATTAGTCGGCCCAAGTGCTCACTTCGCAATGCCTGGAATATGGAAGAACAGATGGACCTTATACATCTACTCGAATTTAGTAGACCCTTGTCAGATAATCGAGTATGTCTGCATCAGGTACAATACATATTCACTTGGTACCAACGTACATTCGGACCTCGGTGTGGTAGAAAGAGGCATAACTGGTGCCTCAACAGGTAGTAAACCCAATTATTAATGGCATCTGATTCGAATTTGACCTTGAAATGGGCATCCTGGTCAGGTAGATGAGCCAAGGAAATCGGCTAGTGAGGGCGCGCGGACAAGGAAATCGACTGGCTGAGAATGATCGCTGGCGCTTAACCACCTTTCTACACCGCGCGTAACCTTCACGAACAAACCGAACTGGCAAAGAACATTCTAATTAAACGTGGCGGATAAGCGAAACAAAGACATCTATACATTTTATTCTGAAACAAGACCCGTCTTGATCATTCGGCCCTTGAGTTGCCCTTGACTGGTCGTCAGGTGGTCGTGTCGTCGTCGTGGCCGGCAAAGTGGGTTGAGTTCGGTTTGACATTACACGACTTCTTTATCATTCAACAGTTCCCCCCCTCCATTACATTCATTATTCGTTGTCCGACTACAATCACTTTTTACTTGTCAATTACAACCAATTTCTTTTTTCAATTCTCTGTCACCTTCTGACGTTAATGCAGTTACGGATCACAATACATCGTTGAATGAATCACGATATTTCCTTTTCCTTTCTGTTATTCTCCCGCTGCACTTCTTTTTAGTTATTTATAATTTCTTTGACGGCAAATCCCCTTTTGTTCCATCTTACCAATACTACATCGCACAAAAGTCTCCCGACAAGCACATCTGGTACGGCTTCTGGGAAGACGAACCAACCCATCAGGAAATTCAATCCTGCTTTCGTTTCTCTCATTTTTCCCTTCTTCGACATTTTTGTTATCCCTATTTACGACAGTAAAAACATCTCAAGCGCTTGGATAAACTCAAGAAACTCGAATCCATGGCCATATTTCGCGAACAGGAGGGCTTCCCTCAAGTACCTCCCTCACTGACCCACGATGCATACGAAACCAAGGATGTACGGAATATGAAGGTTCGCGAGCTGCTATCCCAGAGCTCGGCCAAAGGTGCTACTCCCTACCTAGGACTCGGCTCGCGACTCTCTCAGATCTGGTTCAACCGATGGACTGTCCTACTACTCCTGGTCCTGGTCAACTTCCTATTAACTATAGGCTCTCTGAATACAAACCTCGACGATGCTAAGGCGAAGGCCCTATCGGCATGTACGAAGGTCGAGGACGTCGGTAGTGCTATGGCTTCGATGCCTCATTACTTGTCCGTTGGAGTCAACCGCCTCACTGCATCTGGTATCACCGAGTCCGTACACGCCTTGATGACTATCCTCGACATGATCCTTACCGGTATTGAGCAGCTGATCCTCTTCGTTATCGGTATGATGACAGACATGTACGTCTGCTTAATTACCATGGTGGTTCATGGAGGACTGAATGCATCCGCGCTTGCTATTACTGAGACCACCGAGGCTATGAATGACGCTATCGATGGAATTGCCAAGGCGATCAACGGAACGGCCGACGACCTCCAGAAGCCCGTGGATGCCATGTACTCGATCGTAAATGGTGCGCTCAATGCAGGCGAACAAGCCACGAGCGCTGTTGGAGGTGCTATTAACACTGCAACAGCGGCGGTTGGAGGTGCCATAGAGACTGCTATTAGTGGTATCGGCGATATCTTCAACAAGCGTACTGATATTCCACCTCCACCAGAGATCACTGGCGCTATCTTCAAACGCATCGACCTTCCACCCAAGCCAGAGGTTGCCGGTGATATCAGAGCAGTTGCTGCCAAGCTCTCAAACGTCAATATCAATACCACCGGTTTCGTGTCAGATCTAGATGCCCTCAACCAAGAGCTCCCGGATTTTGATGATGTCAAGAACCTCACCTCTATGGCCGTATCATTCCCGTTCAATCTTATCCGAGAGCAGCTCACCAAAGCCTACGGTAATTGGGAGTTTAATGACAGTGTATTTCCTGTAGCCGAGAAAGAGGCCCTTTCCTTCTGTTCTGACAACACGGCCATCAACGACTTCTTCGATGGATTGTACGAGATCGCTAATATCGCAAAGATTGTAGCAATCGTGGTGTTGATTATCCTTGCGCTTGCCGCTTGTATCCCTATGGCCTACATGGAGATACGCCGATGGCGCCGTGCTCAGATCAGTGCCTCGGATGCTTATGATGACATGGATCTCGTATACATGTCCTCGCGCCCTACCACAGCTCGGGTTGGTTACTGGATTGCCTCCAAGTTCGGCGAGAAGCGAAGGATTTTGGTACGATGGTGTATCGCATATGCTACGTCCCTCCCGGCCCTCTTCGTCCTTTCTCTCGCGTTAGCCGGCTTTTTCTCCTGCTTCTGCCAGTGGATCCTCTTGAACACAATCCAGAAGGAAATTCCGGAGCTATCGAACCAAGTCGGAGACTTCGCCAACCAGGTAGTGTATAGTCTGGACAACGTCTCACAGAAGTGGGCAGACGATGCAAATGGTGTTATTACGTCCTTTAGCACTGAGATCAATGACGACATCCTTGGGAAGGTGACAAACGGTACTGCTGCCGTCAACGATACCCTTAACACCTTCATGTCGGAGATTGACAAGGGCCTCACCACAGTCTTTGGCCATACAATGTTTAAGGACCTTGCTGCGAACACGGTCCGATGCCTAATCGGGCTGAAGGTCGAATCAGTCCAAAAGGGTCTGACTTGGGTGCATGATCATGCTCACATCAACTTCCCCATGTTCCCCAACGACGTCTTCTCTGTTGGCGCAGCTAAATCTATCTCTGGCGATTCGGACCTTACATCTTTCCTAGCCTCTCCTAGCAGCGTCACCACTGACGAGATCACTGCTTCTGTCACCCACGTCACAGATTGGCTGCGCAGCAACATCATCCAGGACGCGTTGGTTGCGGGTGGTCTACTCCTAGTATACGTGATCATCATCCTGATAGGTGTCATTCGCACTCTCGTCGGCCATAGCGACGCCGAAGGAGATGCTCGCAGGAGGCGAATAGAAAACTTTGATCCTTCCCAGCCGGCAGGAGGTAATCCGCCTATGATGCAGATGCCGCAGTTCAGCGGCGCTGGAGACGCCAGTGCTCACCCCGATCATCAAACCTCGCCATTTGGCCGGGATGATGCCTTCAGTCGCGGAACCGTGCACGGCGGGCCCGTCACGACCGAGGAGGCTCCCCCTTACACCCGCCATAGCAGCTACGTCCAGTACGGCGACACGAAGCGCATGGAACACGATCCGATGCCGCCTAACTACAACGGTGGGCGAGCTCTGACTGAGGACCCCTTTCGAGACCCGAAGCATGGTTAATCGGTATTAGTTGATACCTATAATACTCGCATCCAGTCCTATCAGCATTATTGAATCCCTTTCACTACTTGGGTAGCTGTGCGTAGTCAGCATAGGCCCCCTTCTTTGTTATTGTCTTTTATTATTCATCAGCGATTATTGTTATAGCGTACATACATACATATACCCAAACACACACACACACACACCTTTTCTCACTAATATCAACACATCCTACATCTCCTTACGCGGATATCTCTAGGGTACCTGGACGCGGCACGGATAGATGAGGCATTATTCTTGCATCGGCGTTGGTACGACACGGCATAGCATAGCATGGTATTGCATCAGCGTCATTCATTCATTCATTTGTCATACTCATCAGACGAGCCAAGGGAAAAAGGGAGAGAAGAGAAAAGAGAGATCCGGTATCTCGGCTTACGCCACTAGCATAATTATTCTTTGTCTTCCTTTTTCTTTAGTCTGAGTTGCGCGTCCCTGGAATGGACTCATGGTTTATTAGAGATTAGCCGTTGGACATTGCATCTACGGCGTTACGCGAGGTGACTCGACGGTCTGGAAAGGGATGACTGTACGGTAGTACTGGATGGTTGATTGCATATTAGTTCAGCAATAGCGACCAAGAACGAATATTCTTATTAACTTCTACAATCGCTTCTCTCCTATTGAGACCAATGTGTATGCGTGCCAAATCCACGGGAAATAATACTAGCAAGTGAGGCGTAGCCCCTTTTTTCACTAATACGTAGCATGATATAGAAATAGCCCAGGGGGTATAAATTGGTAATTCATTACTTATTTTTAACAGACTCAAGGCACTCTGCTCCCTATCGATGCCACATACAGGCCAAAAAGTAGAACCATTTCCATGCGCCCATTACCCTAACGATATCTAACACCAATCCCCAGAGCAAATTCACTATCATAACACTCGAGTCCACATTCTCATTATAAATTAGGTTGCCATCGCAGTCCGCCAAGGGCATGGTCACAACCCAACCTTGCTGAACTAGACGTAGTATTTCCTTCTTCTAGTACTACGCGGCCCATAGCCCTCGTTCTGATTAAAGGCCACTTAAGCGGCGTTGAATAAATTACCTCCAAGCCCCGTAAGTTGCCAGCGTTGGTGGGGTGCTATGTATTGGCAGAACTCGAACGCCCCGGACATCGAGGAGCAAGATTCTATTGTGATACTTTGCACTCAGAAGTACGGCAACAAGCACCAACAATACGGACACGTATCCCATCATCGCCAACCTCTAGAGCTTTAGTATCCTATGGCAAAGAGTCCGGACGCGAGGGGCTTAACTTAGGAGATACAGCCTGAGCGCAGTTCTCCGCAGCCGGACTATCGCGCCAATTTAAGAAGTCGGCTCTCTCTCTTTTCCTATCGCGTCGTCGTGGTAGGGAAGCTTCTCGAGCTCAAGAACATGCCCTTGACGCTGCGGATGGCATCCTTGGTCTTCTTCACCTCGTCCGCGGGCTCGGTGCTGCGGCCGTAGCCCAGGCCGCCGTGGAACGAGGAAAAGTCCATCATGGGCGGAAGACCTATCTTGTCGACCTCGTCGCGGACTTCGCGCAGGAGGGAATTCAGGTCCGCGGCGCCCTCGGCGTGGCGCACGTGCATGTCGCTTATCTCGCGCAGGGAGGCGCGGAGGGCGGTAAGGCGGCGGGCTTGGCGGTCGATGGGCTTGTCGGCTAGGCTGTTCGTGCTGGACCCGAACTCCTGGTTCAGCATCACCGGCGAGGTCTGCGTGCCGATGTCCCGGTGGAAGAGCTCGGTGGGATCGCTGAAGGTGCTCTCGTCGTCTGCGTACGAACCTTCGTCCGGCCTCGACTTCAACGGCTTGCCGTTGCGATACGGGACTTCGCTGGCAGTCTCCTCGAGCTTCTCCACTAGTTGCCCTAGCTTCTCGCTTACGTGTGCGTAGTACTCGGTTCGCGCGTCGTTCAAGTTGCCAATCATAGGGTTGATGGCGAAGCGTGCGGTGCCGTAGAGTAGAGCCCATATGCTGCCGGAGACGGTGAGGATGTTGGCGAGACGAGAGGGTGTGATGAGAGGTTCTGGTTTAGGCGCAGTAGTTAGGAACTCGGGGTAGGTTATGATTGGTGCCAAGTTGCTTGTTGAGGATGAAGCTGCTTGGACAATCTTCTCGGTATCTCTATTTCCTTCAGCGGCCTGTTTCCCGTTTGCCTCGTCGTTGGGTTCATTAGTCGTGGGCGGGTTTGGAGCCTGTGTATCTTGCTCGACTTCATCTAACAATTGTTGGATTTGCGTGTCGTCAAGTCCCTTGCCCTTAAGGAATTCCCTTTTCTTATCTATACTCGAGTTCTGAACCGTCTCGTCCTTTAGAAACTTTCGGGCTTGGTCGAGGGTAACTTCTGTGGCATCGACATCCTGAGAGTTGCTATTTTCCGGCGCATCTTTTTCCTTCTCATACTGTGCATGTTGCCAGGCCGGTATCTTTGACAGCTTGGGATCGGCCATATTGGCAACGAGAGAATCCTGTCGGACTCTTCTGCCTAGTGAATTATATGAGGAATTAGAATAAAGTACTGCGAGGTAAAAACAATATAATTGAATGATCCAGCGGGAAACGATTGGGTTTGGTAGCAGTTCGGTAACTGAATGTTAGTAATAAACATGGAAACGCGAGGTACTAATCTTATCTCTGGCGTAATCAACCTCGGTACATTCTCCGGGCTCTAAATTGGAACCGAGCTCTTAGCTAAGGAGTACTTATGTATGTACACGTTGATAAGAAAGGATAGGACCACTAATGAACTTGGCAGAATTATCTAACAATTCATAACTTGTACAACTTTTAATAGCATTCTTTCATCACTTTCGGCCTTCACCGACCTCACCTTACATAGTACGTCTATGTACATATCTTATGTATCTACATGCGCGAGTTCTACACGTGACACAATCCTCAGTCGCGCCCTTCAACTCGAATCATTTCATCGTCAATACGTTTCCCTCGGTTGGAGAAGGGCTAGAAGATTTAATAGCGAGGATTATCTCAGTCCCAGGCAAGATTTCGATTTCGCTTGATTAAGATCACCTATCTTACTCCATCTTATATCGCCACCTTTCAACGATTCCTCGGGTCGTATATATTGAATATTCCGAGACGTGCCTCCATCTCATTATCACAGGTTGAAAACATTGGTACCCACCTGCATCACTACCGACGATCAAGAGAAAAGGCCATTCGATTTCCTATTCGATTTCAGTTGAAGTGAGCGCTTCTCTTTGCCGTCGAGTGTCGCTCCCTGGTTGTCACACCTGAAAGCTCGGTTACTTGGAAGATTTAACCCGGAAGACGTCCCGAACCGCAAGCCAATCGTCCAAAGCGTCGCCAAGCTTTGACGAGGTGCTCAGCTGGAAATCGAAAAAGGTATCCAATTGAAGAGAGTCGCCTATCATTGGCCTAGCCTGTCAGCCACAGCTAGAGATATACGAAGATCCTCGGGATTCTCAATTCATCATGTAAGTCCTGGGTGCAAATCCTGATAATGAGCCCTTCTTTCTCTCGTCAGCACACGTCAAGTTCCTTGTCCCAAACTCATCAATATCTCTACCAATATCTTTCAGAAATAAAAAGGGGGAGGGAGGTATAAGGAGAAAGTATATCATGAATTCTCCGTGTGATGGAAAATGACATACGGACATTCAAGCGAATGGGTGATGATAGGAGAATATTGATAAAAGGAGGTATGAGGTAGGGGGGGTGGAAGAATGATGGGAATGCCGGGAATGATGCATCTTGATGCCGATGCGATGCATAACGCAGGTCAATGCTTGATTTTCCCTAGGGCGTGTACGAGGTATAAAAAGAAATCTTTGTTGTCGGGGTTGGCTGCATCGATCTAAATGCTAAATGCTGCATCGACTAAATGGAAAGGAAGGAAAAAGGGTCTTGGTGTGTTGCCTCAAATATCTTGTTGAACAAATTCAACTGGTTGAAGCTTCTATCCAATGGCCAATAACCAATCGCAATCACATATCCTCCGATCCAAGCATCCAAGCGGCCACCTGCTTTTTCTACACGTACCCGACACGGGCTTGTTTGCGCACCGCAGGCACCACAGGCACCAAAGGCCACCATCAGACAACAGCGTGCCACGGTGTCTGACGCCCCAAGCTTATTTCAACTTCGAGAAAATAAAAATTAAAAAAGGAAGAAACGACCCCTTGCGCCTTTGCGCGCCACCCCCAAAAAATACAAAAACCTATTTGACTTATCTACATTACGTCGAACCTTACATATACCTCTTCTTTCATTTCAAACACCAATTTCGTCATTTGTCATTCAATCACAAAACTTCACTTATCCCCCTCCCCATTCACTCTTATCTAAAATAACTTCTCTCCTCCCTTGCCTATCCTTAAACATATCCCAGCCTATCAACTCCATTCAGTTACCCCAAAATGACATCCCGCCCTCGTCGTGCAGCCGCCCAGAGGGCAAATACGGCTATAACTGACATGGTCGATAGCGACAACCATATCAATAGTCGTACGGGCAGAACAATGTCCTCCAGGACTTCTCGCCGATCTGAGGGTAAGAGTGCCGCGGCATCTGACTTGCGCGGTCCTCCTTCCGAACCCTCAGATTCTAACCAGCATATCCATTTTACAGTTAAGCTTCCAGCAAGCAAGCTTCGCCAGGCTACTTCTAGCCGCCAGCAACCTTCAACTCCTAGAGCCGGGGATGGAAAGCGGAATCGTTCTCAGAAGAAGAGCTACGTTGTAGAATCTAGCGAAGACGACGAAGACGAGGCTGAAGACGAAGTTCAAGTTGAAGAGGATGACGACGACGATGACGATGACGACGATGAAGATGCCGAGGGAGAAGATGACGACATGGCGGATGAAGACGCCGAAGGTGAAATCGTTGTCGACGACACTATGGACATCGATGCCGAAGGAGATGACGATGACCTTGGTGAAGAAGATGCCGAGGGCGAAGACGACGACATGGATGTGGATCCCATTCCCCCTCCAGCACCTGTAATCAAAGTCTCAAAGCCTCAAGCTAAGAGCACCCCTGTCGGCAAGTCAAAGGCCCCTACTAAATCTAATTTGAAGGCTGCCGCCTCTCAAGCTAAGGACAGCGACGACGATGAGGAACTCAGTGAACTTGAAAGCGACGCCGACGAAATTCAGGATACTGTTAAAGTCGGAGGGGGCGACGAAGAAGACGCCGAAGGAGAGGATGAAGAAATCGAGGCAACTAATATCGCCGAGGACGACGAAGACGATGATAGTGACGGCGGCGCCGAAACCCCCGACCTCACACGAATGACTAAACGACAGCGTGCTCGCTTTGAAGAAAATGGAGATTCATTGATGAAGCTATCCGACGGCAAGTAACCCGTGTTCATCACTAAGGTCTAGACTAATACGATTGCAGAGGTACAAGCAAAGAAGCATTTCACGGCTGAGGAACTCTCTATGCGCCGTGCCGAGATGGCTCGCCGACGTCGTAATTTGAGTGAGAAGCGGAACGAGGAAGTCAAGGTAAGCTAGTGATGTTTTCTATAGAAAATTTTAAGAAAGTAGAAAATAAATAAAAAGGAAGAAAAGGTATATTAAGGCCATGAGAATACGTCAGCTAATCACCCGAATCACAGATGGAGACTATAAATAAGCTGCTTAAAAAGCAGGCCCCCAAGACTAACCGCAAGTCTCAACTTGCTGGAGAGCTGTCTCCTGATGCTGAATCTCGGAAACCTAATCCGGTGTTTGTCAGATGGATTAGCAGCAAAGACGGTAGCCGAGTCGGTGTTCCTGATGAGATGCTTTCTGGGCCATCCGGTAGAGTTTTCGTCCCAGGTGGCCTTGGGCGTGGGAAGATGGTAGAGGAAGTCTCGTAGGACGAAGAGGATCACGATCTTGATTCATAACCCCTGACCGATACGACTATTCTCGGGTTTCTAGTTATTTCTTCCAAATCGACGAACGTCACAAATGTTTCGTCGATAAGTCTTTTAAATTACATTAATGAGTGTATTGTAGGTATTATGGACTCGTCATATTTCTTTAGTGCTAGGGAAATTAGGGTAGCACGCTATTGTATTTGGATTGGGATTGGGATTGGAGCTTAAGCTTAAGAAGTAGCAAGAGCAGAAATTTAATAGAACGGTGCTTTGTCGGCAGTATTATGTCTCGGGTTCTAGATATCACATTTTCCCCGTATAATTACGACTACGTAGATTATCTCCATTCTTAAATCTAAGTGCCTACCTAACTTGATACAATTATTCTAGTTATAGATTGACATGTATCAATTACAAATATTGGAGAATATTAACTAAGATATTAGATTGCAGGGCTTCATGTCACCTGTTTGTTGGTGAACGCGTTCTTTCAGATAATATCAGGCGCTTAGTCTGGAATATTCAAAGTATACAGCGCTAGGCTTTACTTGAACGCGTGCCTACGCCCCTACTCGCATTTGTTTACATTGAGGAAGGTCGCCACTGGCCGACATGATAGTTCAATGTAGCGTTTTTAGTATAATACTTGTTTGTTCATAGGTATGAACGATAATTTCAACCTAGTCTTGAACCTGATACAACCTCATCAGCATTGGCCCACGTCAGCAGCGCTTATTAACCGCCATAAAGGCTGTTTCGAACAATGTATTGTTTCTTTGTATAGGTACTTGCTACGCACAGAGGCATTATACTTCCATACTAGGTCCAGGGGCATGAGGGTATTTAGTATGAGAATATGCCCTCTTGGCGATGTCGGCTGCGGAGTGAGTTGCTATGGTTTCCATGTCCGTGTCCTCCTAAAAGTGCCCACACCTGCCGTCTTTCGTGTAGTGACTTGGGTACATCTATTCCAACTGGTCTGTTCCTTCTAAGAGCATCGATAATAAAGTTATCTCTTCGTGGGGGCTCAGGTCATTCAAAGTTTATTACCTCTTGCCAACAATATATAAAGCTGATGCTTCATGCTTGACTCATTTCCTGTCAATTGTCCCCCATTATTCACCGGAAGCACAAACAGCACCAGATATCGTCACCCTCCACATCCCTCGTCATACCTACTTACCAAGTTGGCCTACCTTAAATCACAGACCCTCCGTTCGTACCTAAGCATGTGTTTATTGAATAACTCTTGGGATACTTGATTTGAACGTTGGACGTTTCAATTCTTAAGCTACCATACACCCCATCATTCAATCCCGTTTCTCGACTTTTACCAGTCCACTTCTCCCAAAACCAACCCTACACAAGATTCTCAAGTTCAATCAACTTTATCAATCATCTCAACACTTTTTATCTACCTACTAAGTTACAACCAGCCACTTTCTATCCATAACCACTTAGATTCTATCATTTTTTCTCCTTTCTACACTTACACTACCTTACAACAACCAAACCGTCACGATGCCTGGAAAGCGAGCCTTGCCTTCCGAAGAGGGAGACCGCGCTGACCGCAAACGTGCCCGTACTAAATTGACCACGGGCCTAGACAACAAGAAAACGAACCAGGCCATCAACATGGCGCTGAGCAAAGCGAAGGTCGGGAAGAAATACGCCTGGATGAACCAGGTAAGCTCGTTCCCGATCCCTCGTGGAAGCTTTATCGAGTCTAGCTGTAGCAATATGTTATCTTCAAGGTTGCGTAGTGCTAACCAGTCCCATAGGAGACACGCGCTGTTGAAAATCCCCCACCGTCTTTCTACAAGGCCGTGGAAAAAGTAGGAGAAAAAGAAGCAGAGGGCACGCCTGCCAAGAACATCACAGGCTCGAAGAAGCCGGCCCTCCCGACTCCACCCAAAGCGGACAAAGGGAAGAAGCCTGAACAACAGAAAAAGCAGAAGCCTGTTGTTCAGGAACCTGAGGAAGACCCTGCTCTGGCGGAAGCCCAAGAGCAGGAGGACCTGTTGGCCATGGTAGACTACGTCTACCAATTTGCCTATTAGGAGGCATTTCCCTTTCCCTTTTTTCGCGACACGGGACGAACAACTATAGGCTACAAAGGCTCAGGCCAGCGATGAAGAGAAGAGGTTTTGAATTCAGGAGTCATGGATTACATTTCATTATATCGGCATATCAGCGAGGACACCCATTATTTGTTTTTGATTTGTTCTTGGAGACAACATCAGATTGTCCCTTTGGTTTCCGGGAGTTTTGAGTTTCAATACTTATCACCTGTACGTGCAATTTAGGCTAGATTATCCGTTGGAAGGGTACATAGGTATCTACACAGGCGTACGTCGATGTTGACTATAAGCTTTTGGTGGCTAATACGGGAGGGAAAATGTCTGTCTCCTGCGTATTGGTGCGCATGAGTTGGTCGCCAAAGTTATGTAGTCAGTTATAGATCTTGAATATAACATGAAATTGGAACTCATCGGAAATTGGTCACCAGTGAAAATTTGAGTTGGGTGATATTTTGTTGGTGTAGTTTATTATTTGATTGCATGTCATCAAGCAGTAGCGAATTCGTAGATATCGAGATGTGCGTAGTCTCCCATCACCAGTGTTCCATCTTTATGAGAAGATCGCCGCTCCTAACAATGCGTAGGTAACTACCTAAAGTCTCTAGTGTATCCTCATTATACCAGGACCAACCGCCTTCCTCGTCTAAATTTCAATACGCACGAAAGGATACTGATGTACTGGTTGCCCATGACAGGTAGGTAGTTAAGCCTACCTAACCTAGAGGTTTAGTGTACGACAGAGTCGCTTAGATCGAGTCTCTTATTTCTCAAGTTATATACATCTACTGTGGCTAGATATTGTAAAATGCCCTGTAGCACAATGAACGGTGGCAATTGGAAAATTTTACTGGCGAAACTTCGTAATTGAAAACGTTGAGAACCGAAGCCGATAGTTTAGCTTTTGGACTTCGAGTTATACTTTAGGTAAAAATTTTTTCAATTTTTTTAAGTTTGGCGGCCTTCGTCAAGGAGGCTACTTCTATACTTAACTCAAAAAAGGGGGTGTGGTAGGGCTGGTAAAATAGGGGCTATTGTGAGATGGGGCCACCGTGCATTAAAGTTGGACAGTATACCTAACTTTAGACTTTTAACTCTGTTTGACTATGGCACGGGTAAATTTAACTTGGGTAATGTTTTTTCTTTTTTTTTTTTTTTTTTTTAACTGTAAACAACGTATGGTGGCTTACTTGCCACGCTTTGGTAGCTTCGGCTCATAGGCGCCCCGGACCAGCGTTTCCAATAAATCAAACGGTTTTTTGATTTATTTAATATTTTTACCGCACAGACAAAGACAAAAATAAGATTTTGATGTTTTGGCCAATCAAAAGTATAGATTTTCAATTTTTGAGTAGATACTAAAAAATATGAGGCTATTTAGACCCTTGTCAGGCTTACTTTTAGTATGTATCCTAGCGGTGAGCATTTGTAAGAGGTTTGCTTTGTTCATGTATACATACCTACCTATATAGTGCACCCCACAATCCCAATACCCTTTGAGGCTAGGTCTACTAATAGGTAGAGGCTATAAAGGCGCCTTTGCTGCCGAGGTAGCTAGTATGAATAGGGGCTTCAGGGGTTTCAGGGGCTGATTTCAGCCTTATTATGCTAGATGACTAAGTCAAACAAAAGTATAAACTTCGTCAAATAAACAGGCTTTCTTATTTTTTATTTAAATTTGATCAAGAAAAAAAGGGCAATTTTTTTATTTTATATGTTTTGTTGGAAACGCTGCCCTAGACTCAGACTCATTACATAAACTATCCGTGCAAAAGTCAACATATATGCATCGTGGAATTTACCACATTTACTCCGCATTTTCTATCAAGTACATACTGGGAAATATAATTATAATAGATCTTCCAATTCCCTCGAGATCATAGGATTACAGGCGATTGGGTATCGTCAACTCCGGAGTCAAAGCCCGGTATTACGTTGTTCCTTGCCCAGTTCAAATTGTTTTAATATAGCGGTCGCTAATAGCCATGCGTGGCTTAGCCGTGGACCTCTCTCTGTCGAAGTCGTGGTTCATTAGCTTGTCGCGAAGTTCCAAGCTGGGGAAGCCGTTATAGGAAACTAGGGGTTAAACCAAACTCCCTTCTCGTTCTCGATGTTATCATCATCTTTCCTGGCAAAGCGCCACCCATGGGTGCTCCCTCCTGGCTTGTGATACACAACCTTCGGGTGAGTTCCGTTTTCCCATCTGACATCCTCCGCCTTCCGCGTGTCGAAGTCTCCGTGAATCCCGACTGCCACGTATTCTGCTTTTCCATCCTTGACGAAGACGATGACGTGCTCCCACTCGTTGCGGTGACCGCCGGCATCGATAGCATAGGGGACCGCGACGTCCTTCCCGAAGTAGTAGTCGTAGATAAAGGCGCACTAGAAATAATGTGATTAGCGGTCATTGTGGTTTAAGATACCTTAGTAATTAGACATCTCTGGATGTTCATTACCCATCCATTATTACAACGCTTGTGCATACGTACGAATTTATCTACATACTCGAGGGCCCTGAATGATTATGACCCAACCCGGGGTTGATCTGGCCTTCGGGACTAATAGCTGCCGTGTTATAGCAACTGTCCTTATCAAAATCCGCAACAGGTTGCCATTTCTTGTCGTCTTCTGTCGCTCTTTCAGGGAGAGGCTTAACGATATCTCGAGGGGCTATCGGGCGTATCTCCACGATAGGCGATGCCACTACATGATGGGCATATAGGGTTAAGAATAATATCGCTACTGACTTCTTCATAGTTGCTAGCTTTACCGTCTTTCGCTCGATGGAATAATGAAGTAGTCTAGGGAGGTTACCATGTTACGTTAACGTAAGTAGCTATCTAAGGGCATAATTGCTCTTTTATATAATACTGAATCCTTAAATATTAGGTTTGGTTTATAACATGTCATTATCTAAAGTTCGATTCCGAATTTCGTATAATATAGCTCACTAGATATTGGATTTACCTTAAGTTACCACGATCTTTATTAAAATCTTAGTATTTAAAAATTTTGCCGTCATTACTAATATGGTTATTAACAATCTTTGGCGAAATTGAAAGCTTAACATAAAGCAAAGCCATGTAGAGCAATGCGAGAAAAGAGACCATTGCTAAATACTCAATGGGATATAAGATTCTGCAGTCTCTTATACCTACCACTATGGCAGTATCAACCCGTTAAACTTAGGTTAAGAATGAAGACAGAACCAGTCGATATCTCGGGCCTAACTCCAGCTTCACTCTGGCCCACGAGGGTAAGCATTCCATTAACCCGTAATTGGTATATCGGGGATACGAAGTGTGGTGAAGTTCCAAGTCTTTCCATTATCCGCACTCGACATTTCTCCGCCGATTGCTTTGTACTGCCAGGCACCACTATGTTTAAAGCTTGGATCTGCCTTGCTAAGCGTGATAGAAATATCTTCCCAGGCTACAGGCATATCATTAGGCCCTCACTCTATCTTTAAGGAGAGTATTAGGAACTCGAGGGGCTTACCGTGTGCCGGGGCAGGGGAACATGTGCCTGCTGCACATTCGATCGAGATGTAGAATATTACTCCATGCTGTCCTTGGCCTATTAAAATAATAATATTAAAATAATAATATCAGCTCCGGAACTCGAGAAGCGGCCATTTCAGCCATCGCGACGTACTTGTCGAGATGCTGGACAATAACTTATCGTCTACATAGAGATTCTGGTCCCATAAATCCGTATCAGGATTCAACTTGTCTGTCAGGCACGTCAGTTGCGATTCATGCAGGGGTTAAACTCTGAATTATACATACAATGCGTCTTAATTCGAGACCCGGGTGCGGCGCTGACTGGTGCACCGTTCTTGGCGTTCCGGGAGCCTTTGTGTGATAACATGTTAGTAATGAAGTTCAGGTGCTTAAGTTCGTAAGCTTGTCATTTTACATACCTACGAGGGTATACGCGAAGTTACACCATTTACTACCGAGGTTAGGGCAATATGGACTACAGCAAGATATTAGTTATATATCCTCAAAACATCGCCAGGCTTTTTGTTAGATTACAACATACCTGTTAAGCGCATTCTCAGTGACTCCCTGGAGGAAGTCCCTCTTATCCATCATGATGGCACTCCACAAGGCAACGTCACCTGCCATTGGGTTAGGTACATCTCCCAGAACTAGTGTAGCGCTGGCCTCCTGAATCCACGTATCACCCTTGGTATTGAGGGTGATGATGTCGAGATTCGCACGGCTCTGGTCAACGAGCGCTAGAAAGACGCCGATAGTCGTAGAGACGCCCTTCATAGCAATCGAATTGATACGGACGATTGCTTTAAATGTGTTGAACTACGCTGAAGTTGAAGATGAATTCTAAATAAAGAATCTCTGATATTTCGTAGAACCCCGAAACAGGTTATAGGTAGTCTAAATTACCGCCGGTTAAAGGGAGATGTTCCCTCTCTGTTATGGCCGCCAAAAATGGAACCCCACATTAGCCAAATTCGGGTTTCATAACAGTGTATTCTCTCCTTATTATTGAAATCTTGGGGTTATTCTTTATATATCAGGCTCGGTTTAAACCGCGGTATCCAAACCTGGCAAACCCATATTCTGTTATGGGAATGGCGACCTTATGGAGTCTAGCATGATGTACCTAAGGAATAGGGGGTAATATACTACGCAAGAAATCTAACCTAGGTAGATCAAACTAACATACGTACACGTAGTTTCTTTATCTAAGTGTTATTGACAGAAGTCAGATTTCGTTTCGAAACCGCAATGTTTCTTACATGTCTTAGAGATTACCTTAGGTAGTTATCAGGTAGTTGACTGATCATATCTTGAATAATATCTGATTAGTGTAACTTGTAACATAACAAGTAGCTTAACCTAGTGTCATGGATGATATCATATCGCGCGTAGAACTAATGTTAACTATTGTTTATCGTGATTAATATTATAATATTTGTAAATGTCATGGTTGTTGTATGGTTTAGATTTACGAAATCATGCCTTTCGGTGACGATATGCATACTAATCGCTGCCTTATATTTTTAATTATAAGACTTGCCTGTCATAGGTCATGTCTACATACGGATAACCCTCTTTGTCTACGTGTATCAGGATGAGTGTTTCTGATCCCCATTGCCCTAAGAACATGGCCCCTTACACTTGCCAACTTCTGCTATTTAACGCTGCGTATTCTTCTACATTATGCTTCGTTTTAGTTTTCCTTCAACAGGCTTCACCAACGAATTTTATTGTTGACAATTACCCATCTCCGAAGCCCATCGTTACCATCACCACCTGTTTATTATTCCGCGTAATTATTGCCAACTTCTGATAATGGACCGGCGCGATAGCCAGCCTGAACCCTCAGCGGTCCCTCGGCCAGCAGCAGGAGCAACAGCTGATTCTCTAGACATTCTTGTACCGACATCTCCTGCACTATCTACACTATCGTCAATCTACTCTCCGGGATCCACCACGGTAGCTCCCATCGAGCCTCCTTCTGCACATGGACCGAGGCAGAATCTGTGTACTGACGATCCTCAATTCCTAAATGCCCACTTTCATCCTGAAATCGTTCCTCGCACTTGGTCGGCTCCGTGTGATCCCTACCGCGAACTGCCCTCAATATTTTCTAGTCTTGAGGTGTATAAAGGAGAAAACTCGGATAACAATGGCCTGGATGCTGCCCAGAGCGCCATAGGCCATGCAATCGTGACATACAAAAAGAGTCTTCTAGACGAACTAGAGAAAGAGGGTACCATATTCGGACTTAAGGTTCAACTGCCGCCTGACGCTGGAGATTATGGGGTCGTGAGAGAGATGGTTGAATCTGAGGCTTTTGAATCTTTCGACCGACTACAAGCAGCACTAGCGGCGCACGAATTCCGTGAGTATGGCGTGCCTAGAGAGCGCCGCGTTGACTTCTTCGGACCACCTCCCCCTAGGGAAATGCGCGATACAGGTCCCTATGAAAATCTCGATTACTTCTTAACTCTCTCAATGGACCCGCGGGATATCCATCAACTTGATGCTTCCATAACTCGTCGGCAGCCTGGCTCGTACGGGAGATCTGATGAGCTAACAACCCCGTCGGGTCATCAACTAAGCCTCATCCCACCTATTCTTACTTCGGGTATTACGAGAATGAGCCACTGTTCGTCGTAAAAGACACATGTATGTAGGATCTACTAGATAATTTTTAGTTTTTCGAATCAAAATCTCTTCGCTTTCAATTTGTTGATTTATGATTTATTCTTGGTGACTGTCTTAAATTTATTTTGTATGTACGGAATAGAAAAAACATAAATCAATATTCAGCATTGAGATGAGACAAGCTTTAGCATTGAACGGGGATCCCCACATATGTGCAATACGAACGGTCATGTATTGTATGTATGTATCCGTCGTACCTGAATAACCATAGATTAAACCGAAGTGGCCACGCAAGCACAGGCCAATCTTGGCGTTATTCCCTGCACTCCAGACTCGCGGGTGGATACTAAAGTTTACATGCCCTTTTCGTCTAAGTAAGCGAGCCAATGGATGCGGGGAACTAACAGGGTCAGGTGCCGCGGGCGGTGATCGACAGAGAGCCTTTTATTTTTAGGTTAGTGGACTGGTGGGAGGAAACTGGTGGAGGAAACCGCTGAAGATCTGTGATACTTCTTGACTTTTGATTCTTAACGGTCTGACTGACTGACAAGTGCTTGACAGCAGAACCACCTCATCATGATGTCCCCCCAATAATGTAACCTTATGGAGTCATTCTGTCATTCTAATTCATTCTAATATGTTTACAGTATATATCTGTATAACGATACCTTTCGTCGATGTCGCCTACATATTATCACTTTATTATGGCTTTGCTATCTAGGTATTAACCTAGGTATTATTTCCTAAGGTTTCGCGGTAATCGTCAAAGTGGCTGGTTAGGTGGTTAGCTGATTAGGTCTTACGTACATTCCGTCGGCATATGTAACGACCTTGCCTGTTTCCCTGATTCCCTCAGCGAATCTTCACCGTGGAACCCCCCGGTCGAACTGCGTCTTAAAACCTGCAGCTAGCCTTCGATAGCGCGTTAGCTACGGTAATAATGCGTGGAATGCATGGTACCTATTGATTAATAGGCAGTTGACCAGAAAAAAAATTTAAAATAAAAAAACCTTACTTCTTCAATACTACGTATCGCCTACTACCGGCATACACGAGGTGCATTATTATACCATCACTGTTTAGTGAAACCCTAAAAGAGTTAAAAAACAGGAAGGATAGCGAGATTTTGATCGTTGGCCCACTTCAGCAGGAAATTCGAAGTGTGCATATTTGCAGATTCGGTCACACGACACGGGCAACACCACGATCCTCGGCTGACACAACAACAGCGAACCAGGACACCTTCACCAATTTGCATCACCTTTTTCCCATGCGAGTTTGTGTTCAGGTCGTCTGATGCATAAACCTAATGCATTAAGATTACGGGTTGGCTGCTTAGTCCCCGAACCTACTACCATCAAACCTTCTCATCAGCTGTAATCAGACGAGGCTTTTTTTCTTTTTTTTTTCTTTCTTTTCTTCTTCCATTCTTCCTTCAGGATGCAAGTTTCAGAAGAAAACCCGTCAGCACCGGCGGACTCCCCGTCAGTCGACGCCCATATCCTAACTAGGCCTAGTCTTGGCCCCGATCCTGATCCTGACAGTCAGCCGTCGGGTTCTATCAATAATTCTAATGCTAATAATGAATGCAATTGTAAGTCGATTTGACTTTTCTATTTTCTATTCTATACTTTCTCTCTCTCTCTCTTAATCCTGTTTAGCATGATATTACGGGAGATGGAGATTTGCCTTCCTTCGGACGACCGTCGGTAGTTCTCGAGGTGGCAATGATCGGACGTACCCTTCTACATATTCACCTTCCTAGTCCTGCCCCCGTGTCAAGTAAAGTGACTTAAGGTATATTTATTAAACACCATCCATTTATCCATTTGCCATCGCACAACCCCGAGTTCACATGTATTTTCTGCCAAGCTCTTAAGAAGCCAGTGCACACGGCGCCACGGTCACTTCATAAGAGATATGGTTGACTGATGCGGTTCTTAGCGAATGTGCCAATCTTTCATGGCACCACCAGTCATCACCTAGATTCCCACCCTGATTCCCCGCACCCCACACACGCGGAAGCGGAAGCTCAGATCGACCAGGCTATATCATCAACTGGGGCTGGCCCAGTTAGAAGACTCTCCGCATCCTCATCCAAGATGTTATTCTCAGATTTGTATAAGTCGGCGAAAGCTCCCCTCTCGAGATTACGGCATCATTCACATCCTGCCCCTGCGGCTCTGGATTATGATCCTGATCTCGTGAGTCGAGATAAAGCCAAGCAAAAAGAAGCTATTAAGCGCGTGCTCGCGGCTAAGATACGAGATGATTGGCACTTCGAATGGCCGCCTACAGCTACCAATCCAGATCCGGGGCATGCTGGAACAGAAACGGCACCTGAGGGGCATGATGAAGACATTGCCGTAGAGGACATCGATTCAGAAGACGACACTGCTTCAGTGTATAGTACCGTTTCTGAGGATCTCACTCATTTTCGCCCTAGGTCTGAGTGGCTATCGGATATGCCCGATGACGACGACGACGACGATATTCCTGTATCACCATCGGCATATCGCTTTGATACTCCAGATGCGGTTGGCACTTCGGTGAAGGTAGCAGCCCTCGCTAAGAGCGCCAAGCGGAGGAGAGCAGTGCGTTCCGAAATGGAATGGAACGACGGGCTTGCTTGCTTCAATGCTCGACGAGACGCTTGGACGGGTGCAAAGGCGGCTCGAATCCGCCCAAGGGCAACTTCCCTAGTGGTTACCTCTCCTGCCGCAAAGCGTCTTTCTTGGTGGCATATCTCGACTTCGCCATCGCCCTCGTCGCCTACGGAATCGGTAGGCGCCGGTACAACGCTCAGCCCTAGTGCGACGCGTACGTCTGGCGAGACCACCGCGGTGTCCTCATCGGATACAGAATTCAGAGAGACGAGGACTAAAGATGACCCGTCTACTTATCCAGTAGAGACTCTGGTTCCCATACCCCAACCTCTATTACCTCCTACCACTCCTATGCGTGCTTCTATCACCGCGGCTGCGTATCCTACCATTTACGATAAGATCGTAGTTCAATCTGCAACACCATCGTGTCCTATTAACCTAGGAGACGTAGTACGTTCCTGCGTTGCCGGTTGGAAACGAGATGGCGAGTGGCCCCCTCGAGGTACCGACCCTCCACCCGTCGTAGCAGTTCGTAGGAAGAAGGACAGCGGTGCGGGGGGCAGAAATAACGCATCAAAAAGCAACGCGGCTAAGAGGATGAGCTTTAGTTTTCTAGGGAGAAGACAGAGCGTAGGCGGGGACCAAAACAACCTAGCAGAAAGCACATCGTATCCAGAGAAAGAGGATGCTAGCCATGCAACGGGCAAGGCTTTTAGAAAAGGTTTACAACGCGTGTTAGGTCTTGGACATGGACACGAGAGAACGTCGAGCAACACCAGCAATCAAACGAGTATTGCTATGTGATGGACGTGGATCAATGGGAATGAATGAATACTCAAGGAGTCGGTATTGAGAAGGTTAAGGGAGGGACAAAGGAGTCTTGGACAATCGCGAGATATCCGCTGGGATTGTTAGGAGGAAGCGCGTTCTCGGCATCATGGCAATATACCCAGCATCGCTTTCGGCGTTTACTTATTTTACTTCAACACTTCGCTCTTTTGGCGAACGCATAGCACTGTTGATATTTGATATGTTCTAGAATGAAAGTAGCATGCATTCGCCGTTTTTTTCTCTTTGCCACTATAAACGTCAATCATGGACAGTAGCTATGAGAAGGTTACTGTCTTGTCTTTGAGCCAGGGAACAAAAGGTTATGCAATTAGGTAATGAGTGATAATGAATATACGTACCTAGGTAAATAGAGGACTATAATTTTAGGTAAGGCGAATTACGAATTGACCTTAACTTTAAGACTTAACTTACAAGACGCTGACATTCGGTCGGTAAGCATCACAGGGCCAACTATCTTTGTTACCAAAGCTCGAGCCTAACATAGTCTTAAGCATGCAACACATCAAACGCCGAAACCATAACCATAACCACAACTGGAAAACTTAAGCTTTCATCTCTCATTACTAGCGTAACCATGTGATGCCATCCGCGTAGACTTTTCTAATCCTACACACCACACCAAGACGAGCAGAAAAAAAAAACAGAAAAAGAAAACCAAATAAAAACTAAACATGTTCATCTCCAAAACGCCAGCTGATAGTTCCCCTTTTCCCAGCTCTTCCCCTTTCCAATCCCCGGCCTAAATTATTTCTCAAAGACGACGACCCGCCTCATCGACATGACCCGGCCGAAAAAAGGGGCTAGCTACCTACCCTATGCCTACCTAAGTAGTCCGCGCGCCCGCCTGTGAAAACCAGAAACAGAAAAAGCCGTCGAAGGAACCCTAGCGTAAAATGGAGAAATAATACAAAGTTGCCCGCGGCAAAAAAAGAACTGAAAACTCCTAGCGCGTCTTTTTGCTCTGATCCAATAACTATGATATATGCCAAGAGCAGAATCAACCAAAGCTGTCCTCGCAGCCCTACTGCAGGGCAGCCATAGACTCCTCTTTAACCCTATCGTCCTGTACGACACCGCTACGTACCAGGGCATCCCACACCTTATCGCTCTTCCTCTTTTTGAGCCCCGCAGCCGACGCATCGACCGGCAAGCCATCTAACATCTTAAGCCGACGACACCGATCTAGCACGACCATTTCGTACAGCCTTCGCCGCATCCGCGTGCCCATATCCGAGCGGCTCGAAAATTTCTCGTCTCTCGTCGTGTCCGCATCCGGTAGCGTAAACGGATCGAAGCCCTTGGCCCCTTCCGTAGGCACGAGGCTCTGGATCGGGGCGTAGAAGCCGAGTGTCGCGGGATTGTCCCGAAGGTCCAGACGCGATAGGTGTGGGAATCCAGCTAGCACGTCGGCGACTTGTGCGGGGTCTACGAGCCTGTTCCCCGTAACGAGGAGTTTCTTTAGCCGTGGGATGAAACGTAGGGGCGTGAGGTCTTCGATCGCGTTCATATTGAGGTTGAGCACCCGCAGGTTTGGCATTAACTGTCCGAGGTCCGGCGGCAGGCGTTCGAGACCGCAGTTTGCTAGCTCGAGGTACTGTAGGTTGAGGAAGTCTACGGATGGGTTGAACGACGTGAGAAAGTTGCCAGAGAGAAAGAGCTTGCGGATTTCGTAGGCAGCATTTAGCGACGATGCGTCTAAAGGCACATCGCCTTGTTGCTCACGTAGAGAAAGGCTATCAAGACGACGACATCGGGAGAAGCCCGTAATAGTGGTCAGTTGGTTCCGGTCTGCGTGTAGGAGACGCAGTGAAGAGAATGGTGCCAGGTCGAGAGCCGTAAGTTCGTTATTAGAGAGGGTTACGTATTTGAGATTGGGAACTGAGACATCCGTGCTCGGGCCAAAGGACGACAGATTGTTGTGTTGTAAGTTGATAGAAGCGAGACTCGTGAGCTGTTCGATGCCCTGGATCGAGCTGATCTGGTTGTTCTCTAAGTCGAGCTCGGTTAAGCGCTGCAGCCTTGTACCATCTAGGTTTACTTCGCTGAGAAGGTTGCCTCTAACTCGGAGGACTTGTAAGCTATCATGCATCTTAATACCATCCAGATCAGCGATCTGGTTGTTGTCGGCGCGAAGGTTTCGCAAATGGACGAGATCTCTAAAAGCATGCAGACTGCTGATCTGATTGTTCGACACATCGACATACTGCAAGTTCATCAAGTGACCCCATGCCGTCAACTCGGAAAGGTGATTATGGGTGATGCGCAAGTTGCGAACGCTTCCAGGCATGCCGTCTAAGTGCTCGATAGCGTTGTTCGATGCGTTAAGGGTGACAACATTGGTGCAAAACTCGTCCAACATGTGAAGTGTCTTCAATTGTTTGTTATTGATATCCAACTCGTGCATGGACTCCCAATCAGGCTCGAATGGTTCGACCTCCGTGATCTTCTCGACCAGGTTTTGGATGGCCTTGGACATGATCTTCTTGGTGCCATCGCCGGTGGCAAGATAGCGGTCCCCTACAACGTAGCTGACTTCTAATCCGCAGGACTGATCCGCCTGATGCATAGTGAAATCGGACAGAGGACTTAGCGAGAAAGTGCCGACATACTGCCCGATGATTGGCGTCGCGGAAGCCTGCGAAGTTTTTGCAGGAGCTGGTGTCACTACGACGCTTAAACTAGTGTTCCCCTGATGGTGATTTTCTGGATAAACACTACTATCATCTTCGCGAATACTGATCTGACGCTCTTCGGATTCTGCTCGCTCTCCGCTCGCTTCTTCGTCCTGTTCGTCAATTCGTGACACGGGCCGTGGGACAAATTCCTGCCCTTTAACCGACAAGTTCCTTGCAGAACGACTTCGTGACCTGGAGCCGGTAGTCGAACTCGTGACTGGTTTAGGTGCCTTGGAACGACCTCCACGCCTAAGTGAATTAATTGCCACATATTCAGGTAGATCGTCTAAGAGGCCCAATTCTTGAGCCGCATTGTCATCATCGGAAAGGTGAGCGACATCTTGTATGATGGAAGCAATTGGTGATGAAAACGAAATTGTCAGATTTCTTCGTCGCGACGAACTTGACCTTTGCATCCGGTCTTCGTGTATTGTTATCTCGTGTTCAATCTCCTTATCGTCTTCGACTGCTGTTTCTGCTAACGGTTGTTTCATTCCCGTGAATACCTCGTTTGTATGGCTCAAAACACTTTCGTCATTGAAGGAGTCTGGCATTACTATAGACGATTTAGTAGGAGAAGGCATTATAGAAGACTCTTCTTGTAGGGATAGGTCATTGCCATCTGGATTCTGGTTTGTAGTTGATTCGAGATGCTCCGTCTCCTTAATTGTATCGACTGAAAGATCCGGGATACTAGCGAAAGGATCCTCGCTGTCTTCGGACGGAAGAATGTTTCTACCATCCGAACTAGGACGTGGCTGTTTGACCTTATACCATACGTTCCTTTCCTTATCAAATACCATATTGCCCACCTGGTTACCGATAAGGGGTGTGACTACATCTGGTGCAATGAGTCTCTTTGAATCCGATGCGTGCGAGGAACTAGTATGGATGGAGCGCCCAGTGGAAACCCCAGAAGATCGTGTCCCATTCGTAGGGAACTCGATGGTGTTCTCACTAGGTTCGGGGAAATCCGGGTTACGCGAAATCCTGATGTTGGGAAGGTCGCTAATGCCATCTTGATCATCAGGAGGACTATCCCATCCATTTTCAGAGAGGAAGCTTTGTCTAATAGACTCGCTAAGGTTATTAGCTTCGTTAATAGCTTCTCTGATTCGGCCCATCGAATGCATTGAATTCGTTATGATTTCTCCCAAATCGCTGGCTTCCTCGTATTGCTTCAGCCGATCTGCAAGCGTTGGGTCCTCTTGATGGTTTGGCACTCTCATTAGAGGAGGCCCTTCCCGACTCGGGGGTCGCAAAAACGACTCTTGCGTGGATTCCTGCACCGAACTCTCATCCTCAGCCGTAACAGTTACGTTATGCTGTTCAGTAATCTCAGCCTCAGATTCCTCCACGCTACTAAGATCGTTCTTCGGGCGAGCCTTACTTCGGATCATAGCCATGATCTCCTCTGCAGCATCGAAAAAATCTTGGGTCTTCATAGACGTCCTTGCGGATCCATCAACAGCAAAATCTTGGATCGATGTGTCTGGTATATCATTTTGATGATCTGGGTCGAAGGTAAGGCTAGCAAGTGGCTGTCGCTCATGCGATGTTGACTGTCGTTGGCCAGGAGTTGGTGACATCGGTCGGAACATCCGGTACATTGGTAAAGGGGGTGGACTATCAGGTTGCTGTGGTTCGCTTTGACCAGAACGTTGTCTTTTCCCCTCCATAATCGATTGCATGGTTCTGTGTGAAGTTTGTACAGAGCCTACCCCTGTGTGTTGGTTTTCTAACCCGTACGCAATGTCCGACCGGTGAAGTGTTCTCCTCCTTTTTGGAGTGGGATCTTTAGATGGTGAAGTCCGCGGCCTCTTTCCATCCGAAGTGTCCCTCTGCGGCGTTGCGTGGACACCACCAAAGGGCCCAAGCGGATATGAAGAGCTCTGTGGCTTCAAAAGATTGGCAATCCTAGACATAGTGATGCTGCGTCGGGGGGAGAAGGAACTGCTATGTGGTTTATGGCGCCGGCGCTGTACGGCGAGGGATCTTCCTCCTAAAGACAAGTCCTGGGGAAATTGAAACTTCAAAAATTGACTTGGTGGGAATGAGTCGTCTGCAGGTGCCACATTCTCTTTATTTGTCAACTGTGAGTAATCAATCGAATTCTGAGTGATGTCCTCGGTGAATTCGTAACCATCTAGCTCCCCAGCTCCAAAGGTGCTAACATCCAGATTTTCGGTATAATCAAAGTTAGCCTGTGAAGCCCTTCTGGGGCCAGACTCGGTCCTAGACCCCCTATTGCCGCTAATTCTTGAGGGTGATTCTTGCATCGACAGGGCATTAGTCTCGTCTGCCATTGTGCGTGAGATGGGCTCTATCATTTGGTCCTCAAATTGGCTTATGCGTCGAAGAAGAGTCTGGTTGGTGAAGGTATCATATGGACCAAATAGCTTCAGGGGGCTACCGCTCTGGCCCGAAGACGGTTGGGATCGTTTCTCGGGACTTGGATATGGCGCAGGAGGTAAGACAGGGCTAAGAGCAAACCTGAGTGAATTTTTCCGTTCATCCGATGCAACGCGATCTATTCTAACAGTTGGGAACTGCTTCGGTGTGCTGGCCTGGAGTGACGACTCTGGGAGCATATCCGATGTATCGAGGTTTAGTGGCGGGCTGAGAGGGCGTTGGCGAAAAGATCCGTCTTCCGAGCGTCCACCTCGCTGAACATTCAAAAAACCTCCCTTTTTGATGAAATCGTCAGTCGTATCAATCTTCTGAGTATCGTCTGCAGCAGGGGCCGGTCCTTGTTCTGAGTGACCATCAGGATCAAAGTCTAATAACATTTGGTTTCTTCTGAGTTTGTCGAGGCGCTTACGTAGCTGTTCTGCCGGTAGTTCCACGGGAGCGAAGTTCACCTGTCCGTCTCCAGAGTCGTGGCGTGATAATAGAATTGGGCTTAGATCCTCATTTCTAATAACACTTTGCCCGCTAACCTTACGTGATGCATCAAAATCGTCGTTAAGACTGTAAGAGATGTTAGATTGCTCTCTGCGTTCGCTTTCACCCCCCTGGCCGCCATGATGTTCATCATGTGTTACATCATCTCCGCTCTGTTCACCAACCATCTCTTCCGTCATTCGAAATTTTATCTGCTTGCGGTGCGGACGAGGTTGCCGAACCGGAGATTCGTTAGCAAATTGTTCGAAGCTTCGTTCATCACAAGTCTGATGTCTCGAATAGGGCGGAGGACTCGAGGGTAAGGTCGACTCATTGGCGGTATCTTCTTCGTTCCCGGCGGATTCGTCCCCTGTGGATTCCTGGGCCACAGGTGGTCGAAAGATGTTTTCCAACCCTGTCCCGGCGGAACTAAAAAGGTCCTTCGACTCTCCATAATTTAATTCACCATAAACTAATCGTCTTCTCCATTCGGGAACATTGTCCTTAGATTTAGACGGGGAAGAACTCTGTGACTTGTTATGTTGAACGGTATTGTGAACGACAGACGCAGCACTAGAAGCGGACGTCGACCGACGAAGATAGCGTCTCCCTTGTGAGGCCCCGACTGCTTGCGGAAGCTTTGGAGGGGTAGATTGCGCTCCTCGGCTATTAATATCGTTTATGCTTCGTTCACTCAATATATTAAAAGCGCTACTGTCGTGCGCCGATTGTTGCGACTTCCTTCCTGTAGCATTTCCAGGGTTGAATCTCGGTATGCGACTAGCGGGTTCGTGTAAACTTCTGCGACTCGTGTTGGCCCTAGAGCTCGAAAAACTAGGTAGTTGCGCTTGCGAAGTATCGGACCTAGGCTGAGATACCCAGTCCTCGGAAAGTGAGTCGAGCCAGGCCTGGGCCATGGCGGGCGAATATGGTCAGGGTATAGACGCGACGAGTAGTGATCAGCAACACTGGCGATTGTCCATGAAATAGTTATATCAAGTTCCGGAGATGTTTTCAAGCTTTTTGATAATAGTCGTGTATCAACCTAACGTATGTTTTGTGGCTGTATAAGTGGTGTATGTGTATGTGTTGTGTTGACAATGATGTGTGTAGAAATAGGCGCGTCTGAAAATACGATTGCGATAAGAAATGTGTCGAGAGGAATTGAGTCTAATTATCGCAACATTTACCAGGGTATTTCATCAGAAGAATACCTTAATCCTAGGTCGTTATCGTACCTAAATTAGGTTCGTAAGGCGCAAAGGTTAGGTTTTTGAGATAGATAACAACATACCTACGTAATAAGTGGCGGGCGTGTTTGCAGGCGGTGTACCGGTATACATACCGTTCATACCGTCACTCTTCTCATTCCTCACCCGATTTTACCGTTTGTTGGTCAAAGCACCCGACGACAACTGGCCTTGGATTTACCGGTTTCTGTAGCAACGGTGCCCCATCTCTCCATAAGGTACATATTCAGCCCCATCTAATTATCTAATCGATCTAACCATCTCTAGCCACATCCACTAATTTCAATTAACGCGCTCAGTCGCGTCTTTCGCAATCCCTTACACTATGCAGGTCCCCCTCCTAGGGAAGCTACAAAAGTACTTAATAAAGTTACCTAAGGCACGTAAGGGAGTTGTAACATTCTTATGTTAGGTACATTTGACTAATAACCCGAATTATCAAACTTTTTAAAACTCATGCCTAAAACTAAGCCCCACCTACTTTCTATTCTCAAGCCCCCATCCGAGTTTGAGTTGGAATTGCTCTACTAATTCTGCTTGAGAATTCGAAACATGATGTTGGATTAACAACCCATTGTACCCGGTAGTGAAACGATGGATAAAGGTACCGCCGGTGTCGAACCGTGGAGGCGAGCTCGCCTCGGAACCGAACCGATTTATTGCGCCGCACCAACCCCGTCGAATCCGGACGACATTATCTGCCTAGGCTCAGACGAAGAACTCGACGATGACGAAAAGATCGCAAAGAGGCTAAGATATGAGGCACAGGCACTGCGATATTTGCACGGTAAACCAGTGCGAGTCCTATCCGCATCTCTACATGGACCCTTCGACAAAGCCTCAGGCTGGAAGAATCCTTGGCTCCCAAAACAACCCACGACAAAGAAATCCGTTCTCAAATCATCCCGATATCCGACTAAACCTATCCCATCGCTTGGTGAACACGTCCACAAAGTTTCTGGACGATTAAGGCAGCAATTTAGTATTACACCCGGCACCGACAGCTCTGCGCGTTGCCATTTACCTAGTCCTGAAAGTAACCACGGGCTACAATTATCCAGCGATATGTTGGAAACAGAAAAGCATAGTCGAATACAGGCTTGGGCAAAGGAGATATCAAGAGGTACCGTCTTAGAGAGAGATGCTTTCTGGGCACCTGACGAAGTACTGCATGAAGAAAAGGATGAATCTAGAAAGAAACGACCTGCTGGGAAAGAATGGTTAAAGAAAATATCAAAGCGGAAAAGACTGAGCAGTCCACAAAATACAAACACAGGGTCTACTCCCACGCCGTTATTACCGACGCAAGCATCGGTTCGAAGTACATCAGTGCCCATAAATACACACTATCGTGAAAGGTCGAGTTTCCCAAAGCTTAAGGTCAGCCAGAGCTTTGACCTCGCTACTCCATCGTCTACCATTAGCCCGAGTCACCGCGAAGTTAAATACGAAATAGAGGCTAAGGTTCCTCCTCAGGGTAAGATAATATCATCACGAGATGAATTATCCAATGGCATCCAACTAAATGCCAAGGACTGCAACCCAGTTTTGGATCCCGAAAGAGCGAACCATTCAAATGAGTCCCTTGAAAGTCCAATCAATCAAGAGGCTCAGGTGGGCCAAGAAGTAGAAGAGGATACAGCCTTCGAGAGTTATATAGACGAAAGCTTTCACTATCGAGCGCGGCTCCCGGTGCAGGCTTCTCCCATAACTGGACCGAATGTCTCGGCTATGAGCATCCATTCTAAGCTGACTCAGACTGGAATACCTAAGTCTCCGGGCGACGAAGATGCAGCGGCTATCGCCATTCCCGAGAATCAGTACCTTCCAAGGCAGATAACAGCGTTAGAACAGTATGTCGCCACGGAATCAATAGCTATAGCTCAAGCATCCGTGCATCTACTAGAATCGATGTGTAGCCGAGGGAAAGATGACGGCATTCAAGACTATAGGTGCCAGCCAGCACCGTCAGCACTAAATGAAGACCGGGTAACTAACAGCGATGGCGAGGGACCATACAAGTGCAACGAGACCATTGGTTGTGCAACCGTAATAGAAACTGGGCCTTCTAACAATGAAAAGGCATCTGATGAAAACCCTTATCCAGCTCAAATCGACATAGCTGGCACTTCAATTTTGGTGGAGACGGCCAACGCTCTTCACACGGAGAATAGGGCTACGGAGAACGACATTCAAGACGTGGTAACCAACAGCTCGCATGTATCGCATATAGTATTCGATATTGAAACAACGAGAAACACCAATACCCTGGAAGGCTCTGCGGCGTTCAAAACACATCCAACCGAATTCGGACTATTAGTAGATGAGGGGTCTACCTTGATCGGTGATCCAATGAATTTTAATCGGACCTCGCCAATTGAGGCCAATAGTTTGCTTACACCTAACCACGTATCTAACAACGCAGATATAAAGGCCGAAGCATATGATCCAATAAGAAATTTAGTAGGAATAACACGAGAAGTAGAATCGGATACCGAATCCGATCCAGTCATAGTACCATTGTCACAATTAGAATGGGGCATTGGCGAAGATAAACTGAAGATCGTAGTTGCCAACAATGAAGAGGCTCCTCAGAATGACACCTCAACCAAGGCCACTCTATTAGATCCTCCGGAATCTTCTACACGAGAAAGGGTCTCTGATTCTCCTTCAGGGGCGGATCTAACAATAGAACACATTAAGTTGGAGCCTATTGAAGATGAGCCCTCGCATTCTCTTTGTCCGTCCCAGACCATGTGGCAAGGTTTCCAAACAAACGGTCATGAGGTACCTGGGATTAGGCCATCACAACAGAGTCCCTGGGCTAGGGAGATCTTGGAAAAATCAGATAAGCGAGACTGGTATTCTACTACGGTTGGAGGGACGACACCCACAAACACATTCCTTGGTACAACAACATCTAGGGAACGTCAGAGTCCCTCGCCTACAACAAACATAAGCATGATGCCCCGTTCTGAATGCCCACCTATTTCGCCTACAACGGCAACTTTTGATAAAGATTCACTATTTCCACCCCCTCAATCTCCCACAGTGGCTCGTGAATCAGACAGTCGGTTCTCAGAGCATCAAGCTGATCCTCCTACTACGCCTCCTCGAATGTCTATACTTCACATACGTACCCCCGACCTCGAAAGATCGATCAAGCCATTCTCCTTATTCAATACCCCATCGCCGAAGCGCCGGCGGCGAAACTCTAAGCAATATGCATCTACCAGCCGTACCGTTGGGATTCTATTGAACGCCACACATTCAAATTCACGGAGTGGCCAGAAGTCGAAGCGGCGAGTGTCATTCGCTCCGTTGCCAAACGAAGATGACGTCGACACTCCGCCAGTATTCAACACCGTGAGAGCCGCATCACCCCCACCACAGATACTCGTCAATACTGGAGACGATGATATCGATAACCAATTCCAGGGACATTTTGATGCTATGAAGCTACGCGCCAATGATAGGAATGTCCGACTTCGACTACAGCCACGGCTACTCCCGAGCCCCTCGCAGCAAAAGCCTACAAGCCCACATGTTGGCGCGATGGCCGAGGCCTTTCGGGAGGCAGACGCATACGCAGCCTATGCACGTGAAGATTTAGTTGAAGACAAGGAGAAGGACTATACCGAGGATGTTCCTGAGAATGTTGCTGAGGATATAGTTGAGGATATGGCTGATGTAGAGCAATCACCATGGCGAAAGGAGAGCCAGGGTATAGATCACGTTGCAGACGTGATGGAGAACCTGGATGATTTTATCAATGCTTGGGACGTGAACGTCGAGCTTCAGAAGGCGAGACAAGAGTCGGGCAGAGAAAGCCTGGGCGGGGAAACCTTTTGGTGAGGACAGATATAGGTGTATGACATGGACGTATAATGGTGGCATGGGACTAAGTGTAAGGAGTCGTGTTGATACCCTTAGGCGCACGTTGCTTTCCAGCATGGCTAAGAGCTTAGTCAGTCACGATCTGACAGATAACATGGTTTGGGAGTACCTTAGGGTTGCATCTTATCGCGAGGCTTTGCTTACCTACCTTATGAGGACAATTCAATGTCCATTCATAGCATAAGATTGAGTTTATGCTTGGTATCCCCCCAAGGTTTTATTTAGCTATAAGTATTGCCAATATAAGAGACATTAATACTTGATACATTATAAGCAAGTTGGTCACGTTTAAGAGCTATTAGGTGAGGCGACTCAAGACATAGCTGCAGTGGTACCTATTATTGACATCTCATCCTGCTTTGGTAAGGACCTGGGGGGGGGGGGGGGGGGGGGGGGGGGGGGGGGGGGGGGGGTGGGGTGGTGGGGGGGGGGGGGGGGGGGGGGGGGGGGGGGGGGGGGGGGGGGGGGGTGGGGGGGGGGGGGGGGGTGGGG